ATAACTTCATCTTTGGATATTCTCTGTATATCAAAATAATCATTATCATATTCAAATTCATCAAGTGGAAGATGAGACACGTCATCATTTTCAATGTAACATTGTTCTGAACCTATTCTAGCGTTCATATCCCCCATCAGTACAAATGAGGTTCCTGGGTGTTCCGTTAGTAAGATATGTAATCTACTATCTGACAAGTCCATACCCTTGAGGTGTTCACTCGGAGAAGCAGATGCTTCAGAGTTGGTGACGTAAACAAAACCAAATATAACTGGTGAGGAGTAGACACTACACCAGTAAAAGATAGAGTCTGTCCAGTCAGCATGTAGTCTGGTGAAGGTGTTGACAATCGACTTAGCGATGTATACGGCAACACCTCCGCAGTATCTGCCCCGATGAAAGCGACGGTTTCTAATACACTGGAAACATTGGTGTTCTGAAAATAAAGTTTCAAAGTCGGAAGCCTTTTTTGCCCAAGTCTCTAAGATACTTTCATACTTTGAACAATATTTTAATGCATTTTTATCTGATTTAGTTTCGAGTATAACCTATTTACATTCCATGTATACAATTTCAATGATCTCAATACATTGACTGGATGTGCATCATAAGTATGGCTATTTGTACTTAACTTTGATTTAGTAAAACTGTTTGCTCGGCCTCGGGCCCCCTGCTAAGTCTCCCGCTCACTGTCCCTCGCTACATCCGGGGTAGAAGAGGCATGTCGTCTGCTACCACCAGCCCTCTGGTCTCCAACTCTGTGGTCTCCAGTGAGGATTTTGACCGGTGGAGTATCGTCGGGACGTCTACGCTTTCCTATTTTGACTAAAGATTTGTTACTCCAATCATATGCATATACATCGCCAATGACGATCAGAGTGTTGTAGGAGATGTAACAGTCGTCACCGTGATCTCGATGCTGCTTCACATCTCTTTGCATAATACTTGAAGTTATTGTTCAATAAGATTTTAGACATGGGTGTGTTTCCAGAATCTTTGAATATAAGTATGTTATTTCATGATATAAAGTAACTATAGGCATTTCACTTCTAAATGTTATGGGAAAAATCTTCACGTCAATCATAGAAAAACGTTTAAGAATATGGATTGAAGTAAATGATTTATTGTCCGAGTCTCAAGCAGGGTTCCGACCTAACTACTCTACTGTTGATAATTTGTTTGTTTTACAAGATCTTTGTTCTAAATATTTGTGCAAAAACAGAGGTCGTTTTATTGTGTATTTATTGACTTTTAAAAAGCTTTTGACAATGTACATAGGAAAAGATTGGTGTATTTACACAGACACTTGCGTAACTCTTCCAGCAAGAAGCTGGTTTCAGTTATACGGAAATTCGTTTATACGGACGAATTGTGAAATGACGCAAGTGTCCGTATAAACGAGGCACGACTGTATTACCAAAAGATGTCGTGGTAAGATGTCTGTACTTTCACAAAGCCATGTAAGTCAGGTCAGCGCATGTATACAGAACAATACATGACCGTACGGGCTGCTTACAACATCCTCCGGTGTACGACAAGGTTGTGTTTTCAGTCCGTTGTTGTTTATATTTTTTATAATTGAATAGAGCTGCAAAATAGTTGCAAACATGGGATATTTGTAACACAAAACATAATGGACATTAAGCTCCTTCTCTTTGCTGATGATGTTGTAATTTTGTCCATAAATGACTTGCAAAAACAGCTAAATGTGTTAGAGAGTTACTGTTCAAAATGGAGTCTTGAAGAAAATCTGAATAAAACCAATGCTGTAGTTTTTAGAAAAGGTGGTATTGTTGAAAATATGAAATGTGGTCTCTTGGCTCGTCTGCCTTGAGTGTAATCACTTACTATAAATATTTAGGTTTTATGTTCTCCTCATGGTCTATGACATGACATCTTCCCGAGGCAAGAGAGTTAACTGACTACAAAAGTCCACTTTCCACCCTTGCCGAACTAGACTGGAATTTCTGGGCTCGATCGTAGCGCCACCAATGGTTATTACGAGTTGTGTCTCTTCTATGCCTCTCCTATTGATTTCACCTCTTGTATCACTTGCATTTGCGCCCAGTCAGGACGATCTGATCAATAATCTAGATCTATATTGTGATAAAACGGGTCCTACATCGCAAAGTGCATCAAATCACATGAGCACCTTGATTAAAAACATGAAAAGATTTGGAAAATATCTGTTGACGCCGAGTTGGCGGTGCACATGCTTTGCAAATCCTGCAATCGACCGAAATCTGCACGATAGTTTACGAACCGGATGTCGATGTCTTTGTGCGATTTTGATTGGACGATGCATAGACTCGTTAATCCAGCCGAAATGTGACTCCATAATACCAGCCTAGTTCGGCAAGGGTGGAAACTGGACTTTTAAAGTCAGTTAACTCCCTTGCCTCGGGAAGATGGTGGCATGTAAGCAATTAGCTGCTCAGGCGTCGAAAGCCATTATGCCTCTTTATAATTTATTCAGGGAGAATAGTTGTGTGTCATTTTTCACAGCATGTACCATTTTTTGAAGGCAAAATTATGCCTATACTGTTCTATGGTTCTGAAATATGGGGTGCTAAGTATTAAGCTGCAATTGAAAAAGTTCACACTTCATATTTCAAATGTTTTCTGGGTGTTGGTAAGTTTGCCTCAAACAAAGCAATCCTTGGTGGAACAGGCCGTAGTAATATAATAATAATATTATTTGTATCCAGCCAATAAAGAATTAGAATGATACCCATATCAGTGTTACAAAATGTTAAAGGTACTTGATGATAATGGTAAAAATAATTGGGTTTCAGATGTGAGAAATCTATTATTTGTTAGTGGCTTTCCATGTGTATGGATTTCCCAAGATGTAGGAGATCAACAGTTATTTTTGTATTCATTCAAGCAAAGAGTAAGGGATATATTTTGTCAACAGTAGCACCAAAGCATTTCTGAATCCCTTTATCATAGCAATTACAGCAAAGTAAAATCATTGTTACAAACTGAAATATATTTAACTTGTTTAAATGAAAAAAGTTTAATCAGAGCTTATTGTAAACTTAGAAATTCATTGCCCAATTCTAATATAAATGTATGTCGCAGGTCCAAAGACGGTGATATTGTGAACTCTATTTGTACAAACTGTTCATCCGGAGAAGTAGAGGATGATTACCATGTGTTACTTATATGTTGAACGTATTCCCATTTAAGGTATAAATCTCTCCCCATGTTGCAAGGTATGTTTAAAGACCGTCAGTTAGTGATAAATCTGCTAAACTCTGAAAATCCTGATTTGATCCATGCTGTTTCTGTATTCTTAAAAGATGTCTTTATAATGAGGAATGTGTAAATAGATTTTAAATCTAATCATGTGCATCACGTGACAATTGTTAATATCCAATCTGCATTGTACTATGGGCCTTAATGCCTAAACTGTCTGTCTGTCTGTCTGATACTTATCCTATTATTTCCTTGGTTAACTATGTACGTGGTCTCACTATTTACATGCACGTGGTCTCACTATTTACAGGCACATGGTCTCACTATTTACATACAAGTGATCTCACTATTAGCATGTACATGGTCTCACTATTAACATGCACGTGGTCTCACCATTTACATGTACGTGGTCTTACTATTAACATGTACGTGGTCTCACTATTTACATGCACGTGGTCTCACCATTTACATGTACGTGATCTCACTATTAACATGTACGTGGTCTCACTATTTACATGCACGTGGTCTCACCATTTACATGTACGTGGTCTCACTATTTACATGTACGTGATCTCACTATTTACATGTACGTGGTCTTACTATTTACATGTAAGTGGTCTTACTATTTACATGTACGTGGTCTTACTATTTACATGTCGTGATCTCACTATTACATGTACGTGGTCTCACTATTTACATGCACGTGGTCTCACTATTTACATACAAGTGATCTCACTATTAGCATGTACATGGTCTCACTATTTAATGTACATTTCTCACTATTAACATGTACGTGGTCTCACTGTTAACATGTACGTGGTCTCACTATTTACATGCACGTGGTCTCACTATTTACATACAAGTGATCTCACTATTAGCATGTACATGGTCTCACTATTTAATGTACATTTCTCACTATTAACATGAACGTGGTCTCACTGTTAACATGTACGTGGTCTCACTATTTACATGCACGTGGTCTCACTATTTACATGTACGTGGTCTCACAATTTACATGTGCGTGGTTTCACTATTGACACGTAAGTGGTCTCACTATTTACATGTAAGTGATCTCACTGTTTACATGTACGTGGTCTCACTATTTACATGTGCGTGGTCTCACAATTTACATGTAAGTGATCTCACTATTTACATGTGCGTGGTCTCACTATTTACATGTACGTGGTCTTACTATTCACATGTACGTGATCTCACTATTTACATGTACATGGTCTCACTATTTACATGTACGTGGTCTCACAATTTACATGTGCGTTGTCTTACTATTCACATGTACGTGATCTCACTATTTACATGTACGTGATCTCACTGTTTACATGTACATGGTCTTACTATTTACATGGACGTGGTCTCACTGTTAACATACAAGTGATCTCACTATTTACATGTGCGTGGTCTCACTATTTACATGTGCGTGGTCTCACTATTTAAAAGTGTGTGCAGAACCCGAAAGAACGAACCATTTAAAATATATTTTCATATGGGAAGGTTCCGGGTGTGATATGTCTGATTTAAATGAGTCGGTAAACACTTGATTCGCGCCTCAACCAGTCTTTCAACACAACGACGTTTTAAATGAAATACTATGTACACAACCATTCCTTAATAATCATTTACTTTGTAATTTGTCACATCTGCAGTGAGATGCAACACCGGGTTTACATTATGAGCGAAAGTGGTTCATTGAGATTGTCAATAAAGGACCGCACGGTCTGACAGTTGCTAGGCGAAAGCGTCCTCTGGAATGAGGTTGTCAGGTGCTTGGGTCACGTGATCAAACAAAGATGGCGGATTTGGCCTCCGACACGTAAAGATTTATCAAGTAAAACAAAAGCAGTGGTGGGGCTATCTGGAAAATATTTACCTTTTAAAACATTGGATTTCAATTACCTGCTTCTGTACGATAAAGGGAGATTTAAGGATGTGCACCATGGCGATATGGTAGGTGTTTCTGAGAGGAATAATCTCCAAGTTTCACCGACCTCGATGTTGGACATTGTCCACTTTCACCAGGATTTCACTGATACATGTGTTGATTTTCGCTATCATTCGGCCATACTGTTTATTGATGTTGTTGTCTTGTTAATCTGATGAAGATCCGAGGTGTTGACGCGTTGATAACAGTGACAACCGTACACGTGACGAGGTGACGGGTATGAGAGATTGTTGATAGGGTAGATCGATTCCCCCACCGTCCGATAGCCGTGGCAACCGATGAAAGTTACTGACTCAGTGTTGTTCAGAACATATATATATATGTGTTTGTATATTTGTCAAATCTAATATAAAACATAGTCATCAAAACTCATGTCATCTATTTGAAATAGGTATGACGTGTGTGTTACCTACACAAAGATTCACCTGCTATTTAAAGAACTCTGGAAGTTTATTGAGAAGCGATCGATCTCAGAGCTCTATCTTATCTCCCCCCCCCCCCCCCCCCCCCCCCCCCCCCCCTCACACACACATTTAATGTTACATTTGTTCAACTCCTGTTAAAAATTACCAGCACCTCAGAAGTTTACAAATTTTTATTTTTTTCTATTTGACAAATTAGAACTGTCAGGTTTTTTATGTCCTCCCACCCCTGCTTAATCTACTTGCCACACCACACCACCACCACCACCCACACCACCAACCCCCACACCCACCACCACCCACACCACCACCCTCCAACCATCCCCTACATAATACATCACCATGCAGTGCCTCAGGTGACACATGTGTTTGTGTATTGATAAAGTAAAAGTGTATGATGATTATTATTTAAACTGATAAAAAATAGTGAAACCCCCACCTAGTTCTAGGTGTATATATTTGTATCCTTTGGTGTATGATCTGTGTGGTCGGGGTCTATGTGGTGAATCTTGACAGCCGGGTGATTAATGTTGAACATCAGTATTCAGCATGTTGCACAAGATTCATCTTATTTGGTTAATAGTGAAAACAGCCCATTTGAAAGGAGCTGATCATGTGACAATTTTTATATTTATTTAGACATTGACATTCAAAGACTTAGGCAATACATCACGTTGAAGAAGTTGATCTGATCCAGATTTTATCTTTATGATGTTCTTAATTAATCTGATCATTTTCTGGTGTGGTAAGATAACTTGAACATTTAACAAATAAATTCCAACAATTTCATTGCCCAATGTTGTGGATATTAGGGCTGCACTAACTATACTGATGTCCCTGTTGGAAACAAAACTTGTTGATGTCAGCAAAGAATTTCTGAAGTGGACAGTCTGAGCTTTCAATCCTTGATTGTGATTGAGTTAATCTTAATGATTCCATCATCCATACTTGTTTCGGCCCTGTGGGACTCTCAATCATAGTCTATGGCTATTGCTTGTGCTTTCAACTTCCATGTCTCAAGCATCAGGAACCCTACGTCATACTTTCCTTTGTTTCAGATTCATCAACCGACTTCATTCTGCCTCATTCTGGTATTGGACACAATGTGACGCCACCGTCATTGTTGTTGTTGACGTTGGTGACACTGCATACAGTTTAACAGAAGTGTGAAGGTGAAGGTCATGTCGGGGATGCGGCCAAGTATATCCATGTCTTCACTGTCTTCAATGGATAGAGGAGGTACGTTGTCATGGTGACACACCTGGTTGTCACAGTGCCCTGTGTCAAACTGACACATTGTTGTTAGTGTCCTGTGTTAAACTGACACATTGTTGTTAGTGCCCTGTGTTAAACTGACACATTGTTGTTAGTGTCCTGTGTTAAACTGACACATTGTTGTTAGTGCCCAGTGTTACATTGACACATTGTTGTTAGTGCCCTGTGTCAAACTGACACATTGTTGTTAGTGTCCTGTGTTAAACTGACACATTGTTGTTTGTGCCCAGTGTTACATTGACACATTGTTGTTAGTGCCCTGTGTCAAACTGACACATTGTTGTAAGTGCCCTGTGTTAAACTGACACATTGTTGTTAGTGTCCTGTGTTAAACTGACACATTGTTGTTAGTGCCCAGTGTTACATTGACACATTGTTGTTAGTGTCCTGTGTTAATCTGACACATTGTTGTTAGTGCCCAGTGTTACATTGACACATTGTTGTTAGTGTCCTGTGTTAATCTGACACATTGTTGTTAGTGCCTAGTGTTACATTGACACATTGTTGTTAGTGCCCTGTGTTAAACTGACACATTGTTGTTAGTGCCCTGTGTTAAACTGACACATTGTTGTTAGTGCCCTGTGTTAAACTGACACATTGTTGTTAGTGCCCAGTGTTACATTGACACATTGTTGTTAGTGCCCAGTGTTAAACTGACACATGGTTGTTAGTGCCCTGTGTTAAACTGAAACATTGTTGTAAGTGCCCAGTGTTACACTGACACATTGTTGTTAGTGCCCTGTGTTAAACTGACACATTGTTGTTAGTGCCCTGTGTTACATTGATACATTGTTGTTAGTGCCCCGTGTTAAATTGAAACATTGTTGTTAGTGCCCAGTGTTACACTGACACATTGTTGTTAGTGCCCTGTGTTACACTGACACATTGTTGTTAGTGCCCTGTGTTACATTGATACATTGTTGTTAGTGCCCTGTGTTAAACTGACACATTGTTGTTAGTGCCCTGTGTTACATTGATACATTGTTGTTAGTGCCCTGTGTTAAACTGACACATTGTTGTTAGTGCCCTGTGTTAAAAAAACTGACACATTATTGTTAGTGCCCTGTGTTAAACTGACACATTATTCTATGTGCTCTTTGTAATCAGTGGATAACCAAAAGTCAACAATTGACATGAGGTTTTGATACAACCTCCAGATATCCATTGTCTCTGTACTTTGAAGGAGGACAACTTGACTTGTCATCTGATGATCACCTCATCTCTACTACACATTAGATCACTCCACTGTCAGGTGACCGGTCAAGGTCAAATGTGAACTACAGGCAGCAAGCATCGCACAACCAGGGATAATGCTACTTCTGTAGTTCTTTCTCAGGTGGTCAAGTGTTTGTGTGTGGTTGGTGTTTAATGCCAAGCTCAGCAATTGTAACGGTTATTGATTTGGTGATTTTGGCCTGTTTCACACAGCTGGATGATGTTCCATGCTCCTAGTGATGTAACCATGAGACGCAACACACTTCATGAATTTGGATGGATGTATGACTGATACAATGTATCGCATTCTTCAACTCAACATGTGCTCTCGGTCGTGGCTTCCGTCCAGAGGGACATAACTCGTCCTCACATACCGCTGATAATGAAAAACGCATTGCCATATCGTAACACTAAAAATGTAAATCAACCATTAAATCTCCCAACATAACAGCAATATTCCAGCTATATGACAGCAGTGGTCAAGTGGTGCCAATGTATTTTGGGTACACCTGTCCTTGATCACTGTGTCATGGAAAACTGACTTTCGATCGGTCGTCAAGCGAGATTGTGAAGGTCCCCCTTGTCTGATGAAATATCTCAGCCCTATATTTTTGTTGTTGATTTGTTCAGATATGTTTAGTGGTTGGATCTTTGGTTAAAACTAAAACACAATTGTAAATAAATATGTTCTTCATAGGCATGATCTTCAAATGTAAAATTAGAAATGAAAGTGACGGACTGGATTGTTATATTGAACTACCGATTGAAGACTTGCTTCTCTTTCATATCACTGTACTGTGAACTGAAGAATATAGTTTTGTTTTGTGAAATTTTAGGTTAATTTATACAAACCAAGCAATATGTAACAAAGTGTTTCTTGGTAGATTTCTTTCTAAGACTCTTCTACTTAGGAAATGTATTTCATGTCCAGTGCTGGCCGGGGACAGGAGCAGGAGGATGGTGGTATTAGATTGCAGTTGTTGGTCAGCAGCTGGGTGGGGACAGGGCGTGTCTGTGATCTGGGTCAAATGTTTCATTCCAGGCAGAAATGTACATCCATTTGTAGCCCGACATGCTATAGACGCCACATGATATGATGTCATTCCAGCTGTGATGTTGAAGTAGGCATGTTCAAAGTAAACAGGATCCGATACAGACAAAGGGCATATACAAAGCAAATAGATGCCAAGTTAGGGTGAGACTGTGTGAGGTCTGTCATTATAGACTAGGTGAGGTCCATGTCATTAGACTGGTTGAGGTCCATGTCATTACAGACTGTGTGAGGTCTGTCATTATAGACTAGGTGAGGTCCATGTCATTAGACTGGTTGAGGTCCATGTCATTACAGACTGTGTGAGGTCTGTCATTATAGACTAGGTGAGGTCCATGTCATTAGACTGGTTGAGGTCCATGTCATTACAGACTGTGTGAGGTCTGTCATTATAGACTAGGTGAGGTCCATGTCATTAGACTGGTTGAGGTCCATGTCATTACAGACTGTGTGAGGTCTGTCATTATAGACTAGGTGAGGTCTATGTCATTAGACTGGTTGAGGTTCATGTCATTACAGACTGTGTGAGTTCTGTGTCATTATAGATTAGGTGAGGTCCATGTCATTATAGACTGGTTCAGGTCCATGTCATTTTAGACCAGGGTAGGTCTGTATCATTATAGACTGGTTCAGGTCCATGTTATTATAGACTGGGTGAGGTCCATGTCATTATAGACTGGTTCAGGTCCATGTTATTATAGACTGGGTGAGGTCCATGTCATTATAGACTGGACCTCATTATTGTCATTACAGAACATGTGAGGTCCATGTCATTATAGACTGGGTGAGGTCTGTGTCATTATAAACTGGGTGAGGTCTGTGTCATTATAGAATGGTGGAGGTCCATGTCATTATAAACTGGGTGAGGTCTGTGTCATTATCGACCAGGTGAGGACTGTGTCATTATAGTCATTATAGACCAGGTGAGGTTTGTTTTATTATAGACTGGGTGAGGTCTGTGTCAGTATAGACTGGGTGAGGTCCATGTCATTATAGACTGGTTGAGGTCCAGGTCATTTTAGACCAGGTGAGGTCTGTGTCATTATTGACCAGGTGAGGTCTGTGTCATAATAGGCCAGGTGAGGTCTGTGTCATTATAGGCCAGGTGAGGTCTGTGTCATTATAGACCATGTGAGGTCTGTGTCATTATAGGCCAGGTGAGGTCTGTGTCATTATGATCATTATAGTCCAGGTGAGGTCTGTGTCATTATAGACCAGGTGAGGTCTGTGTCATTATAGGCCAGGTGAGGTCTGTGTCATTATAGACCATGTGATGTCTGTGTCATTATAGGCCAGGTGAGGTCCGTGTCATTATAGACCAGGTGATGTCTGTGTCATTATTGACCAGGTGAGGTCTGTGTCATTATAGACCAGGTGAGGTCCGTGTCATTATGGTCATTATAGGCCAGGTGAGGTCTGTGTCATTATAGACCAGGTGAGGTCTATGTCATTATAGGCCAGGTGAGGTCCTTGTCATTATAGGCCAGGTGAGGTCTGTGTCATTATAGACCATGTGAGGTCTGTGTCATTATAGACCAGATGATGTCTGTGTCATTATAGACCAGGTGAGGTCTGTGTCATTATATACAGGGTGAGTTCTGTACAGTTTTGAAATGTTCCTTGCAGATGTTGGGATTTCGTCCATACCGCCTCACATGCGGAAAAACAGTGGCCTGCACACCCAGCAGTATGACCGTGACGATGGGAACATTGACCTGTACCCCAACAATGGTAACCGGGGCGACCGAGGAGAACGAGGAGGAGGGAGTGGAAATGCTGCAAAGAAAAAGCGGAAGAAGCGCCACCTAGTGACAGCGAATCTCTCAGGAACCAGATATGAAGTTGGTATGTGGCTAGATGACCTTGTGCATGGGTGTCTCTCAGTGATGTCGGCTGACAAGCAAATCATGGCGTTTACAGGGTGGCCTGTGTGAGAATGTAGCATCTCCGTGTGAACTCTGTCGTCGGTAGATAGGATTGTTAGCTGAACTCAATTTGGAACTGACTGTGCCACATGAGGTTTCAAATGTTACATTTAGCATAGTTACATGTACAGGTAACTTAGCTCCACCCGGAGACTAGGGCCGGCTATAGATATAGAGCATAGAGATTGATAGTCGCTAACTAAATATTGATCAATTTTCAATAAATGTCAAAGAAATAACTTTAAGCAAATATGCACGAAAATCTCGAAAGAAATTGACATATTTCACACTCTTGGTGAGCAGTGACACATTTATGCATGGATTACTTTGTGGACATTTAAGATATAACAAAAACATATGCTTTTCGTCTTTGACAATTGACATGATTGACAATAACTAGTCTCCTTACATAAATCTAAACTTTTTCCATCACAATAGTTGTAAGTTATTATCGATAACAACAACTCATATCAATAATCTTCCCATCAACAATAATTCCAATTATCTATCATTATCCATTATCAAAATGTATCAGCACACATACTCTGAATATTGGAGGAACTTGGCATTGGCCCCCCTTCCTTCATGTTGTGTGTTGTGTGTTGTGTTGCAGTGCGGCAGATGGTGGAGAAGCTGGGCTTCACGGCATCGCGGGACGACGATCCTCTCAGGTGGGTTGTCGGCACCGAATCATTGGATGTTCTCAACTTCCTTTGCTTCCAATTCTGTATAAGGATGGGTTGTATCTTGTATAAGGATGGGTTGTATCTTGTATAAGGATGGGTTGTATCTTGTATAAGGATGGGTTGTATCTTGTATAAGGATGGGTTGTATCTTGTATAAGGATGGCCATGTGGAATCTTGTATGAGGATGGGCGTGTTGTATCTTATATAAGGATGGGCGTGGTGTATCTTGTAAAAGGATGGGCGTGCTGCTTGTTATATAAGGTAGGCATGTTGTATCTTGTACAAGGATGTCATGTGTTTTCTTCCAGCTATATCTTGTGGAATGACAGCTTCGTGTCGACGGAGCGAGTCTCCGAGCTGAAGCCGTATCAGAAGTTGAACCACTTCCCTGGGATGGGGGAGGTGACGAGGAAGGACGCTCTCGCCAGGAACTTCCTCAAGTGAGTTGTGTCAGAGATTTGTCACGCAAATCAAGTGTGTCCAGGCACCTTCTGTTGTTTGGGAGCTGACGGTTAGACCGTGAAGTTTTAGGGGGTCAACACCATTGCGATCTAAGGTCATAACAATTTGGGACCACAGCCGGCAGATTGGCTGTTGACTAGAGTTATGTACAACACTTGGGTCATGTGAACGATGCTGGCCTTGTAGAAGGTCACTGAACTTGGGGACAGTTATTCCAGATGTATTGACACGTCCCCACATCCAACCTGTGGTAGCCGGCAGTGTATGTATGTCTGTTGTCTGATTGATGATAGACAGTCTTGCTTCCAACCATGACGGGATGATCATGAAATGCATGTCAGACGTAGATGACCTCGGTCGTAGTTGACTCATCGTGACGATAGTGTGGTTTGGTTCCTCACGTACGAGTCGGTGCAATGTGTGTAGCCCCTGCTGAGATATTGCTGGAATCTCACTAAAATCCACAAACAGAATATGAGCAACAAGCTACTTTGGGACCTGGGTGCCGTTGTACAAAACAACCTCAGGGTACGACTGTCGTAAGTCTATGTTAAGGTATGGGAGTTACGCCTTGTACCACGCCACCCTGGTGACGTAGAAGTTGACCCTAAAGTGGCCTCAATAAATACTTTTGTTACAGGAATCATTATACCGATACAGCTGCAACTGTTTGACACCTGACACTGAACCAAGCAGATATCAGAGAAGCTATCTAGTCGGAAGTAGATTATCTGATTTAAAAATGTTTTTGTTTTCCAGAATTCAGAAATCTTTTCCTGAAGATTACAACTTTGTGCCCCGAACATGGATTCTGCCGACCGATTACAGTACACTGCAAAACTACGCCAAAGAACTCAAAGCAAAGAAAAAATTGAAAACTTTCATCGTAAAACCTTCCAATGGCGCACAAGGGCACGGGTAAGACACATGATGAATGGGGGGCACGGGTAAGACACATGATGAATGGGGGGCACGGGTAAGACACATGATGAATGGGGGGCATGGGTTAGACACATGATGAATGGGGACACGGGTAAGACACATGATGAATGGGGGGCATGGGTAAGACACATGATGAAAGGGGGGCGCGGGTTAGACACATGATGAATGGGGGGCATGGGTTAGACACATGATGAATGGGGGGCACGGGTAAGACACATGATGAATGGGGGGCACGGGTAAGACACATGATGAATGGGGGGCACGGGTAAGACACATGAAGAATGAAAACATAAATGAATGGATGGAGGGATGAATGGAAGAATGGTTGAAAGGCTTTTTTAGATTATGTTGGGAGGCGTTTCTTCTGAAACACCATAGAGGAACACAATTGAACACAGGGGCATGTGTGACCCCTTTGAAGGCACCGCGATTTGTTGTGCAGAGTTGTGTCCCATGAGTTCGAATCCTGGTTCGCCCCGATTATGTTTCTAGGTTTGTCGGCACCATACCCGTGCTCATGGGTTTCACCAAAGTGGTAAACGTCTCAGACCTGCATCACTTCAGGCTTTCCTCCCACATTAAGCTGACACGCCGCGTTATAGCTGGAATACTGTTAAAAGCGGCGTAAACCAAACTCACTCACTCACTTCAATTGAACACCATTTTGTAGAAATCTTGAGAGGGAAAGTTCCTGGTCCATATGATGGATGGTTTCCGGGGAGAGTAGGGTCCTCCTGCTTGTCTGATGATACCAGGGGTGCTAAGTGCCAGTGGTTTGCATGTGATGTACAGCGAATCACCGTACCAAGGGGCGCAAACTTTCAGTCGCTTAAAATGGGACCAGACCCTGGGATGAGCTATTCATTTGCGTACTCAAAGCGATTAGTGGCATGCAGTGTGCCCCAAGTGATATTTTGATTGGCCGATCCAGCTCTGTGGCTGCGTGTCATAGGACCCCGTAGTGAACCCGTACTTGTGCATTCAGCGTCTGTCCCCCAGACCTGATAATTTACAGACTCCCAGGAAATATACCACTCCAAAGAAGTAAAGGAACAACTGATTCTTGCATATTACTAAAGTAAATGTGGCATGCCATGACAGACTGACAAGAATAATATGCAGAATTGGTTATAGTATAGCTGGAATATTGCTGACTGCAGCATTAAAAGAGGTTTCTCTTACTTATTTCAACTCTCAATATTTGCCCTTCAGCATATGTCTATACAGAAATGCAGAGAAGATTCCCCCGACTGAGCACTTCATCGTTCAGGAGTATATTGACAAGCCCTTGCTTCTTGATGGCTACAAGTTCGACCTGCGCGTCTACGTCCTTGTCACGTCATGTGACCCGCTCCGCATCTTTCTCTTCAATGATGGACTTGTCCGACTTGGCACTGAGAAGTACCTTCCCCCACACGAGAGTAACATTGTGAGTAGATAATACTGTGTACCTTTCCCCACACGAGAGTAACATTGTGAGTAGATAATACTATGTACCTTCCCCCACACGTGAGTAACATTGTGAGTAGACAATACTATGTACCTTCCCCCGCACAAGAGTAACATTGTGTGTAGACAATACCTTCCCCCACACGAGAGTAACATTATGAGAAGACAATACTATGTACCTTCCCCCACACAAGAGTAACATTGTGAGTAGACAATACTATGTACCTTCCCCCACACAAGAGTAACATTGTGAGTAGACAATACTATGTACCTTCCCCCACACGAGAGTAACATTGTGAGTAGACAATACTATGTACCTTCCCCCACACAAGAGTAACATTGTGAGTAGACAATACTATGTACCTTCCCCCACACAAGAGTAACATTGTGAGTAGACAATACTATGTACCTTCCCCCACACAAGAGTAACATTGTGAGTAGACAATACTATGTACCTTCCCCCACACAAGAGTAACATTGTGAGTAGACAATACTATGTACCTTCCCCCACACAAGAGTAACATTGTGAGTAGACAATACTATGTACCTTCCCCCACACAAGAGTAACATTGTGAGTAGACAATACTATGTATCTTCCCCCACACAAGAGTAACATTGTGAGTAGACAATACCTTCCCCCACACAAGAGTAACATTGTGAGTAGACAATACTATGTATCTTCCCCCACACGAGAGTAACATTGTGAGTAGACAATACTATGTACCTTCCCCCACAAGAGAGTAACATTGTGAGTAGATAATACTATGTACCTTCCCCCACACAAGAGTAACATTGTGAGTAGACAATACTATGTACCTTCCCCAACACGAGAGTAACATTGTGAGTAGATAATACTATGTATCTTCCCCCACACAAGAGTAACATTGTGAGTAGACAATACTATGTACCTTCCCCCGCACAAGAGTAACATTGTGAGTAGACAATACCTTCCCCCACACGAGAGTAACATTATGAGTAGACAATACTATGTACCTTCCCCCACACAAGAGTAACATTGTGAGTAGACAATACTATGTACCTTCCCCCACACGAGATTAACATTGTGAGTAGACAATACTATGTACCTTCCCCCACACAAGAGTAACATTGTGAGGAGACAATACTATGTATCTTCCCCCACACAAGAGTAACATTGTGAGTAGACAATACTATGTACCTTCCCCCACACGAGAGTAACATTGTGAGTAGATAATACTATGTATCTTCCCCAACACGAGAGTAACATTGTGAGTAGATAATACTATGTACCTTCCCCCACACGAGAGTAACATTGTGAGTAGACAATACCTTCCCCCACACAAGAGTAACATTGTGAGTAGACAATACTATGTACCTTCCCCAACACGAGAGTAACATTGTGAGTAGACAATACTATGTACCTTCCCCCACATGAGAGTAACATTGTGAGTAGACAATACTATGTACCTTCCCCCACACGAGAGTAACATTGTGAGTAGACAATACTATGTACCTTCCCCCACACGAGAGTAACATTGTGAGTAGACAATACTATGTATCTTCCCTCACACGAGAGTAACATTGTGAGTAGACAATACTATGTACCTTCCCCCACACGAGAGTAACATTGTGAGTAGATAATACTATGTACCTTCCCCCACACAAGAGTAACATTGTGAGTAGACAATACTATGTACCTTCCCCCACATGAGAGTAACATTGTGAGTAGATAATACTATGTATCTTCCCCCACACAAGAGTAACATTGTGAGTAGACAATACTATGTACCTTCCCCCGCACAAGAGTAACATTGTGAGTAGACAATACCTTCCCCCACACGAGAGTAACATTATGAGTAGACAATACTATGTACCTTCCCCCACACAAGAGTAACATTGTGAGTAGACAATACTATGTACCTTCCCCCACACGAGAGTAACATTGTGAGTAGACAATACTATGTACCTTCCCCCACACAAGAGTAACATTGTGAGGAGACAATACTATGTACCTTCCCCCACACAAGAGTAACATTGTGAGTAGACAATACTATGTACCTTCCCCCACACAAGAGTAACATTGTGAGTAGACAATACTGTGTATCTTCCCCCACACAAGAGTAACATTGTGAGTAGACAATACTATGTACCTTCCCCCACACGAGAGTAACATTGTGAGTAGATAATACTATGTACCTTCCCCCACACAAGAGTAACATTGTGAGTAGACAATACTATGTACCTTCCCCCACACGAGAGTAACATTGTGAGTAGATAATACTATGTATCTTCCCCCACACAAGAGTAACATTGTGAGTAGACAATACTATGTACCTTCCCCAACACGAGAGTAACATTGTGAGTAGATAATACTATGTACCTTCCCCCACACGAGAGTAACATTGTGAGTAGACAATACCTTCCCCCACACAAGAGTAACATTGTGAGTAGACAATACTATGTACCTTCCCCAACACGAGAGTAACATTGTGAGTAGACAATACTATGTACCTTCCCCCACATGAGAGTAACATTGTGAGTAGACAATACTATGTACCTTCCCCCACACGAGAGTAACATTGTGAGTAGACAATACTATGTACCTTCCCCCACACGAGAGTAACATTGTGAGTAGACAATACTATGTACCTTCCCCCACACGAGAGTAACATTGTGAGTAGACAATACTATGTACCTTCCCCCACACAAGAGTAACATTGTGAGTAGACAATACTATGTACCTTCCACCACACAAGAGTAACATTGTGAGTAGACAATACTATGTACCTTCCCCCACACAAGAGTAATTTTGTGAGTAGACAATACTATGTACCTTCCCCCACACGAGAGTAACATTGTAAGTAGACAATACTATGTACCTTCCCCCACACGAGAGTAACATTGTGAGTAGACAATACTATGTACCTTCCCCCACACGAGAGTAACATTGTGAGTAGACAATACTATGTACCTTCCCCCACACGAGAGTAACATTGTGAGTAGACAATACTATGTATCTTCCCCCACACGAGAGTAACATTGTGAGTAGACAATACTATGTACCTTCCCCCACACAAGAGTAACATTGTGAGTAGACAATACTATGTACCTTCCCCCACACGAGAGTAACATTGTGAGTAGATAATACTATGTACCTTTCCCAACACGAGAGTAACATTGTGAGTAGACAATACTATGTACCTTCCCCCACACGAGAGTAACATTGTGAGTAGATAATACTATGTACCTTCCCCCACACGAGAGTAACATTGTGAGTAGATAATACCATGTACCTTCCCCCACACAAGAGTAACATTGTGAGTAGACAATACTATGTACCTTCCCCCACACGAGAGTAACATTGTGAGTAGACAATACTATGTACCTTCCCCCACACGAGAGTAACTTTGTGAGTAGACAATACTATGTACCTTCCCCCACACAAGAGTAACATTGTGAGTAGATAATACTATGTACCTTCCCCGACACGAGAGTAACATTGTGAGTAGACAATACTATGTACCTTCCCCCACACAAGAGTAACATTGTGAGTAGACAATACTATGTACCTTCCCCCACACAAGAGTAACATTGTGAGTAGACAATACTATGTACCTTCCCCCACACAAGAGTAACATTGTGAGTAGATAATACCTTCCCCCACACGAGAGTAACATTGTGAGTAGACAATACTATGTACCTTCCCCCACATGAGAGTAACATTGTGAGTAGACAATACTATGTACCTTCCCCCACACGAGAGTAACATTGTGAGTAGACAATACTATGAACCTTCCCCCACACAAGAGTAACATTGTGAGTGGACAATACTATGTACCTTCCCCCACACAAGAGTAATATTGTGAGTAGACAATACTATGTACCTTCCCCCACACGAGAGTAACATTGTGAGTAGACAATACTATGTACCTTCCCCCACACGAGAGTAACATTGTGAGTAGACAATACTATGTACCTTCCCCCACACGAGAGTAACATTGTGAGTAGACAATACTATGTACCTTCCCCCACACGAGAGTAACATTGTGAGTAGACAATACTATGTACCTTCCCCCACACGAGAGTAACATTGTGAGTAGATAATACCTTCCCCCACACGAGAGTAACATTGTGAGTAGACAATACTATGTACCTTCCCCCACACGAGAGTAACATTGTGAGTAGACAATACTATGTACCTTCCCCCACATGAGAGTAACATTGTGAGTAGACAATACTATGTACCTTCCCCCACACGAGAGTAACATTGTGAGTAGACAATACTATGTACCTTCCCCCACACAAGAGTAACATTGTGAGTGGACAATACTATGTACCTTCCCCCACACAAGAGTAATATTGTGAGTAGACAATACTATGTACCTTCCCCCACACGAGAGTAACATTGTGAGTAGACAATACTATGTACCTTCCCCCACACGAGAGTAACATTGTGAGTAGACAATACTATGTACCTTCCCCCACACGAGAGTAACATTGTGAGTAGACAATACTATGTACCTTCCCCCACACAAGAGTAACATTGTGAGTAGACAATACTATGTACCTTCCCCCACACGAGAGTAACATTGTGAGTAGATAATACCTTCCCCCACACGAGAGTAACATTGTGAGTAGACAATACTATGTACCTTCCCCCACACGAGAGTAACATTGTGAGTAGACAATACTATGTACCTTCCCCCACACGAGAGTAACATTGTGAGTAGACAATACTATGTACCTTCCCCCACACGAGAGTAACATTGTGAGTAGATAATACTATGTACCTTCCCCCACACGAGAGTAACATTGTGAGTAGATAATACCATGTACCTTCCCCCACACAAGAGTAACATTGTGAGTAGACAATACTATGTACCTTCCCCCACACGAGAGTAACATTGTGAGTAGACAATACTATGTACCTTCCCCCACACGAGAGTAACTTTGTGAGTAGACAATACTATGTACCTTCCCCCACACGAGAGTAACATTGTGAGTAGATAATACTATGTACCTTCCCCCACACGAGAGTAACATTGTGAGTAGACAATACTATGTACCTTCCCCCACACAAGAGTAACATTGTGAGTAGACAATACTATGTACCTTCCCCCACACAAGAGTAACATTGTGAGTAGACAATACTATGTACCTTCCCCCACACAAGAGTAACATTGTGAGTAGATAATACCTTCCCCCACACGAGAGTAACATTGTGAGTAGACAATACTATGTACCTTCCCCCACACGAGAGTAACATTGTGAGTAGATAATACCTTCCCCCACACGAGACTAACATTGTGAGGAGACCTTCGAACATGATCATTGCTCATCAATGCCAAGCATCAAATATTCACAACTACCTGCAAATCTGAAAAATAATTATGTACGCTCCCGTTTTTCCAATTGTGCAAAGAATGATTGTTGTTCAGGAAGAAGGGTTATAAATCAAAATAAAACATTTTCTACCAATTTATTTTATCTTTCTGTGCAACAACAATATATTTAAGAGTTTACTTAACAGAGAAAATAGTTTTTAAAACCAATTCGCACCATTCACACTATGGTTTTGGCATATCATTGATTGTATAGCAAATAGTTGAAGAAAGATGTTAGCTGGTCAGTGATACTGTTGTGTCCTCCTTGCTCCACAGAACCACCTCTACATGCATCTCACCAACTACTCTGTGAACAAACACAACGAGTTCTACGACAAAAGTGCGTCCGTGGACACTGGGAGTAAACGCTCTATACGCTACTTCAACGACTTCCTCCGACGCAATGACATTGATGTTGCATTGTTGTGGCGCAACATCTCCGACATGATTGTCAAGACGATGTTAGTGGCCCAGCCTCATGTGCTGCACTCATACCGCATGTGTCGTCCCGGGGCCGCGACAGGGAGCGACAGTGTGTGCTTCGAGATTCTGGGATTTGACGTCATGATTGACAGAAAGCTCAGACCTTGGTTGTTGGAGGTGAGGCCTTGTTGTTGACGAGGAGAATATTGTGATGTTTACACCTGTTGGTGAGAAGTCTGCAACATATCTTTTCTTGTTGTTTTCAGATTAATCGATCCCCAAGTTTTGGTACAGATGAGAAAATTGACTACGACATCAAATCTGGTCTTGTTGAAGACACACTCCGACTGCTCAATATCAAGTAAGTACGGCGACCTTTGCTGGTCGTCACAGGTGACCAATTGGATCGATACCCTGACGACATGGATCATTGCTCACAATATCAATCACTGGATTGTCAGGTCAACACTTGAACATCTTCAGGCTGCAGCTCTATAGCTGGAATATTGCTGAGTGTGACGTCAAACAACAATCAAACAAAGAAACATTTTCAAACTAAAACAGAGTCTGCTGTGACACCTGCAACATGAGTAGGACCTGTCACGGGATTTGAGGTGGAATGCGACTATTTCTGAAATATGTCCGAAGAGAAAGTATATATTTATTTAGGCCTGACTGTATTTCTTGTTTACGGCTTATTCAGTAGGAGACATGATTTTGATTCAATGCTTTTATTCTTTAAAAGTTATGACATGGATATAAACACAACATCTCTTTGTTATCTCTTTCCCTCCTTACATGTGCTAATCTTAGAGGAGCTAATTTGTCAAGTCAACAAACTGGGTGACCTCTCAGGTCGCCGATGGCTGAGTGTCCTTGACATTGCATCAAGTAATGGATCCAGAATATATGTCGTATTGGAATGGGGCTGTGATACGTGGGATGTCTGGAAGTCTCAGCCTGAAGGTTATTGTCATCTATTGCTGTGCAGGTCGAGTGACAAGCGGCGGAACATTGCTGCCCAGAAGGCAGAGGCCAGGAAGAGGTTGTTCCGGTCAACGAAGAAGGTGGAAGTCGATGTCACCGACCTGGAGAAGAAACGTCAGACCATTGAACGGAGGAAAGAGGAACTTGTATGTTGTTTATCATGTCGCATTCCACACGTCTCACTCCGCATGTCTCACTCCACACACGTCTCACTCCACAACATGTCTCTCTACACACATCTCACTCCACATGTCTCACTCTACACACATCTCACTTGTCACACGTCTCACTCCAAATACGTTTCACTCCACAACATGTCTCTCTACACATATCTGACTCAACATTTCTCACTCTACACACATCTCACTCAACACACGTCTCACTCCACACAAGTCTCACTCCACACGTCCCACTCAACATGTCTCACTCCACATACGTCTCACTCCACACACGTCTCACTCCACGCGTCTCACGCAACACGTCTGTCATGATGTCTCACTCCACACACGTCTCACTTCACACGTCTCACTCTAAACACGTCTCACTCCATACAGGTCTCACTCCATATGTCTCACTCAACATGTCTCACTTCACCTACATCTCATGCAACACGTCTCACGCAACACATCTCTCTCCACACACTTATCACTCAACACACGTCTCTCTCCAAACATTTCACGCAACACGTTTCACTCTAAACATGTCTCACTCCACATGTCTCACTCCATTATCTCCCATTCTACATACATCTGCAGTTATCTCCAATTCTACATACATCTGCAGTTATCTCCCATTCTACATACATCTACAGTTATCTCCCATTCTACATACATCTACAGTTATCTCCCATTCTACATACATCTACAGTTATCTCCCATTCTACATACATCTACAGTTATCTCCCATTCTACATACACCTGCAGTTATCTCCCATTCTACATACACCTGCAGTTATCTCCCATTCTACATACACCTGCAGTTATCTCCCATTCTACATACATCTGCAGTTATCTCATCCATAATTGTTTCTTCAGAGGGAGCTGCTATCTCGCATCAGGAGGGCGGCGACGCGGGAGGAGTATGAGAACCGCAACTGTGGCAGGTTCCGCCGCATCTTCCCGTCAGACGACCGGGCCCGGCAGGAGAAGTACTGCAGCCTGCTGTCTTCCTGCTTCACCGTGTTCCTCGCCGGCCGGGGCAGCTCCATGCAGAAGGAGATCCAGACCACGTACAACAACAGGTTCAGGGTAAGCAGATCCAGACCACGTACAACAACAGGTTCAGGAGACCCAGACCACATACAACAACAGGTTCAGGGTAAGGAGATCCAGACCACGTACAACAACAGGTTCAGGGTAAGGAGATCCAGACCACGTACAACAACAGGTTCTGGGTAAGGAGATCCAGACCACATACAACAGGTTCAGGGTAAGGAGATCCAGACCACGTACAACAACAGGTTCAGGGTAAGGAGATCCAGACCACGTACAACAACAGGTTCTGGGTAAGGAGATCCAGACCACGTACAACAACAGGTTCAGGGTAAGGAGATCCAGACCACATACAACAGGTTCAGGGTAAGCAGATCCAGACCACGTACAACAACAGGTTCAAGGTAAGGAGATCCAGACCACATACAACAACAGACTCAGGGTAAGCAGATCCAGACAACGTACAACAACAGGTTCAGGGTAAGGAGATCCAGACCACGTACAACAACAGACTCAGGGTAAGGAGATCCAGACCACGTACAACAACAGGTTCAGGGTAAGCAGATCCAGACCACGTACAACAACAGGTTCAGGGTAAGGAGATCCAGACCACGTACAACAACAGGTTCAGGGTAAGGAGATCCAGACCACGTACAACAACAGGTTCAGGGTAAGCAGATCCAGACAACGTACAACAACAGGTTCAGGGTAAGGAGATCCAGACCACATACAACAACAGGTTCAGGGTAAGCAGATCCAGACCACGTACAACAACAGGTTCAGGGTAAGGAGATCCAGACCACGTACAACAACAGGTTCAGGGTAAGCAGATCCAGACAACGTACAACAACAGGTTCAGGGTAAGGAGATCCAGACCACGTACAATAACAGGTTCAGGGTAAGGAGATCCAGACCATGTACAATAACAGGTTCAGGGTAAGGAGATCCAGACCACGTACAACAACAGGTTCAGGGTAAGGAGATCCAGACCACGTACAACAACAGGTTCAGGGTAAGGAGATCCAGACCACGTACAACAGGTTCAGGGTAAGGAGATCCAGACCACGTACAACAACAGGTTCAGGGTAAGGAGATCCAGACCACGTACAACAACAGGTTCAGGGTAAGCAGATCCAGACAACGTACAACAACAGGTTCAGGGTAAGCAGATCAGACCACGTACAACAACAGACTCAGGGTAAGGAGATCCAGACCACGTACAACAACAGGTTCAGGGTAAGGAGATCCAGACCACGTACAACAACAGATTCAGGGTAAGCAGATCCAGACCACGTACAACAACAGACTCAGGGTAAGGAGATCCAGACCACGTACAACAACAGACTCAGGGTAAGGAGATCCAGACCACGTACAACAACAGGTTCAGGGTAAGCAGATCCAGACAACGTACAACAACAGGTTCAGGGTAAGGAGATCCAGACCGCGTACAACAACAGACTCAGGGTAAGCAGATCCAGACCACGTACAACAACAGACTCAGGATAAGGAGATCCAGACCATGTACAACAATAGGTTCAGGGTAAGGAGATCCAGACCACGTACAACAACAGGTTCAGGGTAAGGAGATCCAGACCACGTACAACAACAGACTCAGGGTAAGGAGATCCAGACCACGTACAACAACAGGTTCAGGGTAAGGAGATCCAGACCACATACAACAACAGGTTCAGGGTAAGGAGATCCAGACCACGTACAACAACAGGTTCAGGGTAAGCAGATCCAGACCACGTACAACAACAGGTTCAGGGTAAGCAGATCCAGACCACGTACAACAACAGGTTCAGGGTAAGCAGATCCAGACCACGTACAACAACAGACTCAGGGTAAGGAGATCCAGACCACGTACAACAACAGACTCAGGGTAAGCAGATCCAGACCACATACAACAGGTTCAGGGTAAGCAGATCCAGACAACGTACAACAACAGGTTCAGGGTAAGGAGATCCAGACCACGTACAACAACAGGTTCAGGATGAGGGCAGTTGGCCAACCGGGGAGGAGTGGTAGGAGATGGAAGACACGGAGCTTGTTGCTGTTTGTGTGCACATACGTGTGTTATGTACATCAGGATTAAATCAGTACTGAATGCAGATAACATTTCCAGCAATTTTGTGTCATAGTCTGGGCAGGTGTCCGTCTTCTATTGTGCCCAGGAGTGACTTCCCTTGGTCCAGGTAGTTCAGACGAGAATCCTGGCTTTCGATTACCTGATTTATCCTGATTATCATTCTTGATTTGTCAGCATCACACCCTCCATCCTCGTGTGTTTCATCAAAGTGGTAAATATCTAAGACCTGCATAACTTTGGGCTTGCCCCCCAGTGAATTGACATACTGTGATGTGACCAACTACACCACTATTGTATGCATCATGCAGACTGTGTGACTGACCTGTGACTGTGTCACTGTGTGCCTGACTTGTAACTGTATGACTGTGTCACTCTGTGAATGAGTGACTGATCTGTGACTGTGTGACTGACCTGTGAATGAGTGACTGACCTGTGAATGAGTGACTGACCTGTGACTGTGTGACTGATCTGTGACTGTGTGACTGATCTGTGCCTGTGTGACTGACTTGTGTCTGACCTTTGACTGTGTGACTGACCTGTGACTGTGTGACTGACCTGTGACTGTGTGACTGACCTGAGACTGTGTGACTGACCTGTGACTGTGTGACTGACTTGTGACTATATGACTGACCTGTGACTGTATGACTGTATGACTGACCTGTGACTGTGTGACTGACCTGTGACTGTATGAATGACTTGTGACTATTACTGACCTGTGACTGTGTGACTGACTTGTGACCATATGACTGACCTGTGACTGTGTGATTGACCTGGGACTGTTTGACTGACCTGTGACTGTGTGACTGACCTGGGACTGTGTGACTGACCTGTGACTGTGTGACTGACCTGTGACTGTATGACTTACCTGTGACTGTGTGACTGACCTGTGACTTTATGATTGACCTGTGACTGTCTGACTGACATGTGACTGTATGACTGACCTGTCACTGTATGACTGACCTGTCACTGTGTGACTGACTTGTGATTGTATGACTGACCTTTGACTGTGTGACTGACCTGTGACTGTGACTGACCTGTGAAAGTATGACTGTATGACTGACCTGTGACTCTGTGACTGTATGACTGACTTGTGACTTGTGACTGACCTGTGACTGTTTGACTGACCTGTGACTGTTTGACTGACCTGTGACTGTGTGACTGACCTGTGACTGTGTGACTGACCTGTGAATGAGTGACTGACCTGTGACTGTGTGACTGATCTGTGACTGTGTGACTGTATGACTGTGTGACTGACTTGTGACTGACCTTTGACTGTGTGACTGACCTGTGACTGTGTGACTGACCTGTGACTGTGTGACTGACCTGAGACTGTGTGACTGACCTGTGACTGTGTGACTGACTTGTGACTGTATGACTGACCTGTGACTGTATGACTGTATGACTGACCTGTGACTGTGTGACTGACCTGTGACTGTATGAATGACTTGTGACTATTACTGACCTGTGACTGTGTGACTGACTTGTGACCATATGACTGACCTGTGACTGTGTGACTGACCTGGGACTGTTTGACTGACCTGTGACTGTGTGACTGACCTGGGACTGTGTGACTGACCTGTGACTGTGTGACTGACCTGTGACTGTATGACTTACCTGTGACTGTGTGACTGACCTGTGACTTTATGATTGACCTGTGACTGTCTGACTGACATGTGACTGTATGACTGACCTGTCACTGTATGACTGACCTGTCACTGTGTGACTGACTTGTGATTGTATGACTGACCTTTGACTGTGTGACTGACCTGTGACTGTGACTGACCTGTGAAAGTATGACTGTATGACTGACCTGTGACTCTGTGACTGTATGACTGACTTGTGACTTGTGACTGACCTGTGACTGTTTGACTGACCTGTGACTGTTTGACTGACCTGTGACTGTGTGACTGACCTGTGACTGTGTGACTGACCTGTGACTGTGTGACTGACCTGTGACTCTATGACTTGACTTGTGACTGTATGACTTGACTTGTGACTGTGTGACTGTGTGACTGTTTGACTGACCTGTGACTGTGTGACTGACCTGTGACTGTGTGACTGACCTGTGACTGTGTGACTGACTTATGACTGTGTGACTGACCTGTGACTGTATGACTGACCTGTGACTGTGTGACTGACCTGTGACTGTGTGACTGACCTTTGACTGTGTGGCTGACCTGTGACTCTATGACTTGAGTTGTGACTGTATGACTTGACCTGTGACTGTATGACTGACCTCCTCTGATTGTATGACTGACCTGTGACTGTGTGACTGACTTGTGACTGTGTGACTGACCTGTGACTGTTTGACTGTGAGACTGACCTGTGACTGTTTGACTGTGTGACTGACCTGTGACTGTTTGACTGTTTGACTGTGAGACTGACCTGTGACTGTATGACTGTTTGACTGTGTGACCGACCTGTGACTGTTTGACTGGGTGACTGACCTGTGACTGACTTGTGACTGACCTGTGACTGTGTGACTGACCTGTGACTGTGTAACTGACCTGTGACTGTGTGACTGACTTGTGACTGTGTGACTGACCTGTGACTGTTTGACTGACCTGTGACTGTATGACTGTGTGACTGACCTGTGACTGTATGACTGTGTGACTGACCTGCGACTGTGTGACTGTGTGACTGACCTGTGACTGTGTGACTGTTTGACTGACTTGTGACTGTGTGTGACTGGCTTGTGTGACTGTGTATGACTGACTTGACACTTTGTGACTGACTCTGGACTGTATGGCTGACCTGTGACTGTATGGCTGACCTGTGACTGTATGACTGTAGGACTGACTTGTGACTGTATGTCTGACTTGTGACTGTATGTCTGACCTGTATGACTGTATGTCTGACTTGTCACTGTATGTCTGACTTGTCACTGTTTCAGGAGGAGGAGATCATGGACATGCTGGCTGAGTGTGAGGCTGATGAGAAGGAGGGGCGTGTCTTCACCAACCCCGGGTCATCGCGACCTAGAGGACCTAAGGTCAGGAGTTCAGTCCAAACTGTAGGAGATTCAGTTCCATAGTTCTAATGTAGTTGTTTACCATACACAACGAATGGTTATTTCTCAGAGTGGTCGGCGTCTACAGATGCAGTCTTTGGGTTTTTTAAGCCAATATTCTGTCATTTAACTGAAATGTTGTTCCACCCAGTATTTTTCAGTGGTAGAAACCGACTAGTGAGGATCCTTGGATACAGTTTGTGATGTGACTGTTACACTGTTAAGTTGTTGTCACTGGTTTTCCTGGCTAAGATTCAATCATGTAATGGCAGCCGTGATTGCTGACTGAGGTTTAGAACAGCACCCACTCATTCTTTATGTGTCCATACAACCTCGACCTGTCTGCCTTCAGCCTCTTCAGAGTATGCCAGAGAGTATTCCGGCACCACGTGACGAGCTAGACGACGATGATGAAGACGAGTTGAGTGACAGTGCCTCTCCCCCTAGTTCTACAGTTCTCCGGCGCCGCTCAGCACACACACCCCCACGACCTTCTTCCCGACCAGACAGCGTCCACAGCAACCGCAGTTCGCGGCCGACGTCGGGGGTTCTACGCATGACCCAGCGCCCCTCCAGCAACACGTCCCTTCCCGGGGCCCAGCAGCGCTCCAAGTCGTTGTCCCGGGCGGCCACCTCCAACAAACTCACCATCATGCAGAGGAATGGCATTGTAAGAACTGGCTTACTTTCACAGTGTATGAAACTCCTGGTGAAAGAAAATATTTTGCTTTTTTCAAAAGCCTTTTGTGAGGGAAATGGTAGCTAGAAACTTGATTAAGATGCAGATGCCTGTGCGTAAGATTTTTATCATTATTTGACTCGTTTTGTAAGTTTGGATAACTCAGTAGCCTAGTCCTAGCGTCAGTTGTAAGTTTGGATAACTCACTGGCCTAGTCCTAGCGTCAGTTGTAAGTTTGGATAACTCACTGGCCTAGTCCTAGCGTCAGTTGTAAGTTTGGATAACTCACTGGCCTAGTCCTAGCGTCAGTTGTAAGTTTGGATAACTCAGTAGCCTAGTCCTAGCGTCAGTTGTAAGTTTGGATAACTCAGTAGCCTAGTCCTAGCGTCAGTTGTAAGTTTGGATAACTCAGTAGCCTAGTCCTAGCGTCAGTTGTAAGTTTGGATAACTCAGGAGCCTAGTCCTAGCGTCAGTTGTAAGTTTGGATAACTCAGTAGCCTAGTCCTAGCGTCAGTTGTAAGTTTGGATAACTCACTGGCCTAGTCCTAGCGTCAGTTGTAAGTTTGGATAACTCACTGGCCTAGTCCTAGCGTCAGTTGTAAGTTTGGATAACTCACTGGCCTAGTCCTAGCGTCAGTTGTAAGTTTGGATAACTCAGTAGCCTAGTCCTAGCGTCAGATGTAAGTTTGGATAACTCAGTAGCCTAGTCCTAGCGTCAGTTGTAAGTTTGGATAACTCAGTAGCCTAGTCCTAGCGTCAGTTGTAAGTTTGGATAACTCACTGGCCTAGTCCTAGCGTCAGTTGTAAGTTGTAAGTTGTAAGAGTATAGGTTTTTGACTGCATCAGGGCTCAATAAAAATTATCCATACAAAGTTACATTTACGCATTTATAAAAGTTGTTGTTTTAAGGGTACTTTATTGCAGGATAAGGAACAGTCGGCGCCTTTGATCTTTTAGAAAATAAGTTTGATTAGTGTGGGCTACACCCGTTTGTGAATAATCCCGGTTCCTGATATGACCAGGCAGCACACACCTCGGCACCTGTACTTGTGTGGAAGGGATGTTGATGTAGTAGCAGGGAGAATATGACCAGGCAGCACACACCTCGGCACCTGTACTTGTGTGGAAGGGATGTAGTAGTCGGGAGAATATGACCAGGCAGCACACACCTGGGCACCTGTACTTGTGTGGAAGGGATGTTGATGTAGTAGCGGGGAGAATATGACCAGGCAGCACACACCTCGGCACCTGTACTTGTGTGGAAGGGATGTTGATGTAGTAGCGGGGAGAATATGACCAGGCAGCACACACCTCGGCACCTGTACTTGTGTGGAAGGGATGTTGATGTAGTAGCGGGGAGAATATGACCAGGCAGCACACACCTCGGCACCTGTACTTGTGTGGAAGGGATGTTGATGTAGTAGCGGGGAGAATATGACCAGGCAGCACACACCTCGGCACCTGTACTTGTGTGGAAGGGATGTTGATGTAGTAGCGGGGAGAATATGACCAGGCAGCACACACCTGGGCACCTGTACTTGTGTGGAAGGGATGTTGATGTAGTAGCGGGGAGAATATGACCAGGCAGCACACACCTCGGCACCTGTACTTGTGTGGAAGGGATGTTGATGTAGTAGTGGGGAGAATATGACCAGGCAGCACACACCTCGGCACCTGTACTTGTGTGGAAGGGATGTTGATGTAGTAGTCGGGAGAATATGACCAGGCAGCACACACCTCGGCACCTGTACTTGTGTGGAAGGGATGTAGAAGTGGGGAGAATATGACCAGGCAGCACACACCTGGGCACCTGTACTTGTGTGGAAGGGATGTTGATGTAGTAGCGGGGAGAATATGACCAGGCAGCACACACCTCGGCACCTGTACTTGTGTGGAAGGGATGTTGATGTAGTAGTTGGGAGAATATGACCAGGCAGCACACACCTCGGCACCTGTACTTGTGTGGAAGGGATGTTGATGTAGTAGTGGGGAGAATATGACCAGGCAGCACACACCTGGGCACCTGTACTTGTGTGGAAGGGATGTTGATGTAGTAGTGGGGAGAATATGACCAGGCAGCACACACCTGGGCACCTGTACTTGTGTGGAAGGGATGTAGTAGTCGGGAGAATATGACCAGGCAGCACACACCTCGGCACCTGTACTTGTTTGGAAGGGATGTTGATGTAGTCGTGGGGAGAATATGACCAGGCAGCACACACCTGGGCACCTGTACTTGTGTGGAAGGGATGTTGATGTAGTCGTGGGGAGAATATGACCAGGCAGCACACACCTCGGCACCTGTACTTGTGTGGAAGGGATGTTGATGTAGTAGCGGGGAGAATATGACCAGGCAGCACACACCTGGGCGCCTGTACTTGTGTGGAAGGGATGTAGTAGTGGGGAGAATATGACCAGGCAGCACACACCTCGGCACCTGTACTTGTGTGGAAGGGATGTTGATGTAGTAGTGGGGAGAATATGACCAGGCAGCACATACCTCGGCACCTGTACTTGTGTGGAAGGGATGTTGATGTAGTAGCGGGGAGAATATGACCAGGCAGCACACACCTCGGCACCTGTACTTGTGTGGAAGGGATGTAGTAGTGGGGAGAATATGACCAGGCAGCACACACCTCGGCACCTGTACTTGTGTGGAAGGGATGTAGTAGTGGGGAGAATATGACCAGGCAGCACACACCTCGGCACCTGTACTTGTGTGGAAGGGATGTAGTAGTGGGGAGAATGTGACTTTATGCTCACGGAATGTGTGGCAATGATGTGGGTGGCACAAGACTGAGGTGTTAGACCACTGGCTCAAGTACATCCGACTGTTTGATTGTGTCTGCAGGATGACAACTTCCTGTCGTCGATGGTGAAGGAGCGGGAGGAGGAGCTGACGAAGAAGACGCTGTCATCTCTCAATGAGATGCGGATCAAGTTCCCCGGCAAGACAGACCTTGAAGCTGACACACTTCTAGACAAGGTAGGGGAGACAACCGAGAATGTCGTCAACAAGCTCCTCACAGTGATAGCCCATTTGCAGAGATCTCAGTGCTATTGCTGCCACCTGTCACTGTGATAGGTGACCACAACCATGCTTGGCTCCGCAACAGATTATTATGTTTATAAACAAGCGATGACTGCCTTGACACTGAATACTCTTACCCCAGCTAAATTACTTTCTTTGTTTGTCAATTTGAATTTCTATTTCATTTCAACTGTAAGGGGGGAGTTGGGTGATTTTCCATTTGTCTGAAATCTTGAACCAATCTGATCAAACAATCAAAAAGGTAAATTCATGTGGGAAATATGGTCAGTCGTAAACCTTTTCAAAATTCACCATTATGGCATTGCCAAAGACAGAAACAAAAGTATAAATGTTACTATGTTTGGGGTTAGAGGGCAAATTTCAAGATTCCTGTAGTGGCAGTGCCTACACTGGTGGCAGCGATGTTACCAAGATTGTAACAAAGGTATCACTCGCTTGGAAGGAGCTTGTTGTCTTTAAGTGATAAGGGAGATAACTGATGTAAGATTCAGCGGGATAAGATAGCAGTAAATGTTATTGATGACAAGCTTGGCAAAAGATCATTGGGATAAGAGTGATGGCACCTTGGAATTTAATGTAGGGGAAGTAACTGCTGTTGGTGCAAGGTGATTACAAGAAGCAATGATATGATTGGTTTGTTTGTTGTTTTATGCCGCACTCAGCAATATTCCAGCTATATGACGGTGGTCTGTAAATAATCAAGTCTGGACCAGACAATTCAGTGATTGATATCATGAGCATCGATCAACGCAATTGGGATCGATGACATGCATCAACCAAGTCAGCGAGCCTGACCACCCAATCCGGTTAGTCGCTTCTTACGACAAGCATAGTCACCTTTTACTAAGGGAATGTGGTGAGCTAATTAGAGTGAGTAAGGATAGGTTATGCCGCTGTTAGCAATATCACAGCAGGGTACATCAGAAATATGCCTCACAGCCCTGGCGGTTTAACGCTGCTTTTCACAGTATTCCAGTTATATCACGGTGTGTCAGCTTAATGTGGAAGGAAAGCCCCAAGTGCTGCAGGTCTCAGACGTTTACCACTTCGGTGAAACCCACGAGCACGGGTATGGTGCTGACAACCTAGAAATATGATCGGGCTGAACCAGGATTCAAACCCACAATCATAGGTTTCTGGCGTGCCCAAGGGAAGCAACTCTGCACAGCGAATCGCGGCACCTTAGAGGACTGGGCCACCCATGCCCCCCTCCAGCCCTGGAATAGTTAGAGGCATTTGGTGTTTCTCTTGTAAACAGTTACAGTGATCAAACATTTAGATATATGACAGTGGTAGAGTTATCATTGCTTCCTGAAACGGGCCATGATTATGTGATTATGTCAGATGTAGGAATGTAAGGATAAAAAAATAATAGTCTTGGTTCTGCATCATCATTAAGTCTGCCACACGTTTTGTTTTTATTTCATTTTCAAATTCTTTAAAAAAAATAGTAACAACAATGCGATCCAATATAGCATGCAGTTACTTCCCTTTACATGCACACTGCTTTACTGCTAGTCTTGTGATATGGTCGTGGCGGCAATAGGAGTTTGTATGCTTGTTTATGTAGGGAGGCCCTTTCCCAGGTTGATGGTACACAACTGTTTATTTGGTTACGTATTAGTTTGAACAAGCAACAAAAAAAACACTACCCGCCCGCACTATATTTTCAAAAGTCATTGCCTGAGAACCAATTCTTTTATTTTTTTAAGCCTAAAGTTGAAGTATGTGCACTTGTCGTTTGTTGCAGCTGAATGAGAACTGGAAGTTCCACAAGCCGCGGATAGCATCCTACTGGCTGGTCAAACTGGACTCCATCAAGAGGAGGAAGGTGAGGATGCATGTTGGCAGACAGTAAACATGAGAAACTGATGAAGCAACGTGGTTCAGTCAGATGTTCATGTTATAATTCCATGATGCAGAATAGGTAAATGGAGGTGGCGCGTCAAGGCGAAGGACTTCATGGAGTTCAAATCCCAAAGTTGCCCTGATTATGGTCCTCGGTTCGTCTGCACCAATACTTGTGGGTTGACCAGAGTTGTAAATGTCCATCACTGACATTAGGTTGACACACTATGTTATCATACCTCCATGTCCGAATGATGAGATCTGATATGTCCACATGATCTGGATAAAATACTATGGATCCCATCTTGGAGGGAAATAAATTTCTCAGCAGGGGAATAAATCCCTTATACACCACCACGAGCAAGTCAAGCTGCATGTGGATTTCTGAAAGGCAGAATGAATCCCTTAAACTCCTCTTCCAAGTAAAAAGTCACATGCTTTTGCCGAGTCAATGAAAGTCACATGATATAGCACAAGTTAACCTCGGCTCTATGGAACAGGTGTTTTCTATCAATTTTGAATTTGTTTTAATTCTTTTACAATATCTTAATAAAACATGTCAGTAAGATACATTCATTGTAGCAGGATCACAAGGGGTACATAGGGTTTTATGTGTTCCGCGTTGGGTTTTATGTGTTCCGCGTTGGGTTTTACGTGTTCCGCATAGGGTTTTATGTGTTCCGCGTTGGGTTTTATGTGTTCCGCGTTGGGTTTTATGTGTTCTGCGTTGGGTTTTATGTGTTCCGCGTTGGGTTTCACGTGTTCCGCATAGGGTTTTATGTGTTCCGCGTTGGGTTTTATGTGTTCAGCGTTGGGTTTTATGTGTTCCGCGTTGGGTTTTATGTGTTCTGCGTTGGGTTTTACGTGTTCCGCATAGGGTTTTATGTGTTCCGCGTTGGGTTTTATGTGTTCTGCGTTGGGTTTTACGTGTTCCGCGTTGGGTTTTATGTGTTCTGCGTTGGGTTTTATGTGTTCCGCGTTGGGTTTTATGTGTTCCGCATAGGGTTTTATGTGTTCCGCGTTGGGTTTTATGTGTTCTGCGTTGGGTTTTATGTGTTCCGCGTTGGGTTTTATGTGTTCCGCATAGGGTTTTATGTGTTCCGCGTTGGGTTTTATGTGTTCTGCGTTGGGTTTTACGTGTTCCGCATAGGGTTTTATGTGTTCCGCATTGGGTTTTATGTGTTCTGCGTTGGGTTTTATGCCACCCGCTACCGGCTTGTAGGACACGTTAAACTCCATGAACCCCTCGTGATCCAGCTACAACATGATATACCTGATATAATCACTTAAACACATTTCACTGGATCTAACAATAACAAATGTTGGGGAAACACGTTTAGGAGGACTTGTTGTAAGTATGCTGGAAGTGTTTGTAATTTGAAGAATGTCTTTTCAAGGTGACTGACATTGTGAGGTCCAATGTCAAGGCTGTATTACAAAGGATCTGGAGATGTTCGGATGTGGACAACTTGCGCCTGTATCGGATCTTCAGCCGGGTGTTTAACCGTCTGTTGTGGAGTCACGGCCAGGGGCTGTGGAACTGCTTCTCCTCAACGGGGTACGTTCTTCACAGTTTAGAATATGATGTGTGAACAATGTTTTTTAAGATAATTTTTGTGTTTGGCTTGTGAAAGATCAATGTGTTTGTATTTATTTAGTAAATATCCAGATTGTAATGCAGAGTTATCTTTCTTGGACTAAACTAGGCCACAATGGCTGCTTACAAGTTTAAATGATTTTTCTGCCTGTTGGAAAATCCGGTGATTGGTCAATTTAAAAAAGGTACTGTTCATTCATTGAAAGAAAAAGTCCAAGCATGATCTACCGGGTATCTATCAGTAGAAATGTGTGTTCCCACTGGCCGCTGTTTGTGATCAACTCGCTGTTTGGATACTTTGACAGCAACTCGTGGGAGACGATATTCAACAAGAGTTCGGAGAACATTAGTGATGCGGAGATGAACTGCTGCCGGCGAATCGTACAGCTGTGTCGAGACTGTCTCTTAATCGTGTACCAGTTCGCTGCCGAGGCAAAATCAACGTCACAGACAGCGCCCTCTAGTGAGAGCGAGGAGCCTCCCACAGCACCACCACCAACAAGCAATGGGTGAGGGTGATTGTGTGTGTGATTGTGTGTGTGTGTGTGTGTGGGGGGGGGGGGGGCAGGCGTTTTGAGAGTGTGTGTGTGTGTGTGTGGGGGGGTGTGTGTGTGTTGAGGGGGGTGTGTGTGTGTGTTGAGGGTATGTGGTGTGTGTGTTGAGGGGTGAATGTGTGTGTTGAGGGGGTGTGGTGTGTGTGTTGAGGGGGTGGGGTGTGTGTGTTGAGGGGGTGTGGTGTGTGTGTTGAGGGGGTGGGGGGTGTGTGTTGAGGGGGGGTGGTGTGTGTGTTGAGGGGGTGTGGTGTGTGTGTTGAGGAGGTGGGGTGTGTGTGTTGAGGGGGTGTGGTGTGTGTGTTGAGGGGGTGTGGTGTGTGTGTTGAGGGGGTGGCGTGTGTGTGTTGAGGGGTAGTGGTGTGTGTGTTGAGGGGGTGGGGTGTGTGTGTTGAGGGTGTGTGTGTGTTGAGGGAGTGTGGTGTGTGTGTTGAGGGGGTGGGGTGTGTGTGTTGAGGGGGTGTGGTGTGTGTGTTGAGGGGGTGGGGTGTGTGTGTTGAGGGGGTGTGGTGTGTGTGTTGAGGGGGTGGGGTGTGTGTGTTGAGGGGGTGGGGTGTGTGTGTTGAGGGGGTGTGGTGTGAGTGTTGAGGGGGTGTGGTGTGTGTGTTGAGGGGGTGTGGTGTGTGTGTTGAGGGGGTGGGGTGTGTGTGTTGAAGGTGTGTGTGTGTTGAGGGGGTGTGGTGTGTGTGTTGAGGGGGTGGGGTGTGTGTGTTGAGGGGGTGTGGTGTGTGTGTTGAGGGGGTGGGGTGTGTGTGTTGAGGGGGTGTTGTGTGTGTGTTGAGGGGGTGGGGTGTGTGTGTTGAGGGGGTGTGGTGTGTGTGTTGAGGAGGTGGGGTGTGTGTGTTGAGGGGGTGTTGTGTGTGTGTTGAGGGGGTGGGGTGTGTGTGTTGAGGGGGTGTGGTGTGTGTGTTGAGGAGGTGTGTGTGTTGAGGAGGTGTGTGTGTTGAGGGGGTGGGGTGTGTGTGTTGAGGGGGGGTGTGTGTTGAGGGGGTGTGGTGTGTGTGTTGAGGGGGTGGGGTGTGTGTGTTGAGGGGGTGTGGTGTGTGTGTTGAGGGGGTGGGGTGTGTGTGTTGAGGGGGTGTGGTGTGTGTGTTGAGGGGGTGGGGTGTGTGTGTTGAGGGGGTGTGGTGTGTGTGTTGAGGGGGTGTGGTGTGTGTTGAGGGGGTGTGGTGTGTGTGTTGAGGGGGTGTGGTGTGTGTGTTGAGGGGGTGTGGTGTGTGTGTTGAGGGGGTGGGGTGTGTGTGTTGAGGGGGTGGCGTGTGTGTGTTGAGGGGGTGTGGTGTGTGTTTTGAGGGGGTGGGGTGTGTGTGTTGAGGGTGTGTGTGTGTTGAGGGGGTGTGGTGTGTGTGTTGAGGGGGTGGGGTGTGTGTGTTGAGGGGGTGTGGTGTGTGTGTTGAGGGGGTGGGGTGTGTGTGTTGAGGGGGTGTGGTGTGTGTGTTGAGGGGATGGGGTGTGTGTGTTGAGGGGATGGGGTGTGTGTGTTGAGGGGGTGGGGTGTGTGTGTTGAGGGGGTGTGGTGTGTGTGTTGAGGGGGTGTGGTGTGTGTGTTGAGGGGGTGTGGTGTGTGTGTTGAGGGGGTGGGGTGTGTGTGTTGAGGGGGTGGGGTGTGTGTGTTGAGGGGGTGTGGTGTGTGTGTTGAGGGGGTGGGGTGTGTGTGTTGAGGGTGTGTGTGTGTTGAGGGGGTGTGGTGTGTGTGTTGAGGGGGTGTGGTGTGTGTGTTGAGGGGGTGTGGTGTGTGTGTTGAGGGGGTGTGGTGTGTGTGTTGAGGAGGTGGGGTGTGTGTGTTGAGGGGGTGTTGTGTGTGTGTTGAGGGGGTGGGGTGTGTGTGTTGAGGGGGTGTGGTGTGTGTGTTGAGGGGGTGGGGTGTGTGTGTTAAGGGGGTGGGGTGCGGATGTTGAGGGGGTGTCGGGGTGTTGAGGTGGGGTGTGTATGTTGAGGAGGTGGGGTGTGTGTGGTGAGGGGGTGGGGTGTGTGTGATGAGGGTGTGGGTGTTGTTGCAGGGGAGATTTATAGACCTACAACAGTAGTAGCGCAAAGACAATCGTAACTCACATACTTTACTATAGACTTACAACAGTCGTAGCTCTTACACGATCTTAACTCCCATACTTTAACTTAGACTAACAACAAATGAGCTCTAACCTGATTGTAGCTCCGCTACTTTAACTTAGACTTACAACAATCGTAGCTCTAACCTGATCGTAACTCCCATACTTTAACTTAGACTTACAACAATCGTAGCTCTAACCTGATCGTAACTCCCATACTTTAACTTAGACTTACAACAATCGTAGCTCTAACCTGATCGTAACTCCCATACTTTAACTTAGACTTACAACAATCGTAGCTCTAACCTGATCGTAACTCCCATACTTTAACATAGACTTAAAACCTTCGTAGCGCTTACCTGATCGTAACTGCCATACTTTAACTTAGACTTACAACAATCGTAGCTCTAACCTGATCGTAACTCCCATACTTTAACATAGACTTAAAACCTTTGTAGCGCTAACCTGATCGTAACTCCCATACTTTAACTTAGACTTACAACAATCGTAGCTCTAACCTGATCGTAACTCCCATACTTTAACATAGACTTAAAACCTTCGTAGCGCCAAGACGATTTTCCAACAGTCGTAACACTATGACTGCTTTGTTACATGTGACCCTGTACTGATCAAACTGACTTCAAGTGCAACTGCCTTACTCACACAGATTCCTGGCCAGTCGAGACATGAAGCCGCCGGCCACCTGGAACCCTCACACCTTCAGTCAGCGCTACTCCAAGCTCTACAACAGGGCTGAGGGGATGGGCTCGTGACACACCAGCTGGGAACACCATGTCTGCAGCCCGGATGTAGCAGCGTAGTTGTAGCAGTCCAGATGTTGCAGTGTAGATGGTGGCAACGTGTGGCACATAGGCACTGGCCCACCGAGCGATCTTAGTGCTGTGATCATTGTAAGGCTGCGAAAATGTATGGGAGTGACGATGGTCTTAGTGCTAAGATCACTTTGCGGAATTGGTCCCTGGAGGCCAGCTGCCACCATACTGCTTGTCACTACATCACTACAACTACTTCTAGTGATGACACAAACGTGTGACAAATCTCACATTCCCAAGTAGAATCCTGTGATTGTAAGGCCAGGCTAATTTTGTTTTACAGATTTTCTAGGTTGAGATAAAAATGCTGTCTGTGTTGAGGTCAATTTCCTGACGTACACCTTGACATTAACAAACATATGAGTAATCAGAAATAGAAGTCGGGCTCTTTACTTACATTTTACAAAATGATGGGCTGGTGGCTCATGGTTTAAACAAGAATATAAAATGGTCTAACATCAGTGAAAACATCATCTTAAACATCAAAAACAGCGGAAATATCGGCCTTATGACTTTTTAGCCTATATTTAGATTATTTATTAGATTCATGCAGACACAACAAATAGCTGAACTATGTACTGTGTATCGCTGTGGCCCCTTGTGTATGATCTCTGTGGCCCCTAGTGTATGATCGCTGTGGCCCCTAGTGTATTATAGCTGTGGCCCCTAGTGTATAATTGCTGTGGCCTTTAGGGTACGATCGCTGTGACCCCTAGTGTATGATCACTGTGGCCCCTAGTGTATGATCACTGTGGCCCCTAGTGTACGATCGCTGTGGCCCCTAGCGAACGATCGCTGTGACCCCTAGTGTATGATCACTGTGGCCCCTAGTGTATGATCACTGTGGCCCCTAGTGTATGATCACTGTGGCCCCTAGTGTATGATCGCTGTGGCCCCTAGCAAACGATCGCTGTGACCCCTAGTGTATGATCACTGTGGCCCCTAGTGTATAATCACTGTGGCCCCTAGTGTATAATCACTGTGGCCCCTAGTGTATGATCACTGTGGCCCCTAGTGTATGATCACTGTGGCCCCTAGTGTATGATCACTGTGGCCCCTAGTGTATAATCACTGTGGCCCCTAGTGTATGATCACTGTGGCCCCTAGTGTATGATAACTGTGGCCCCTAGTGTATAATCACTGTGGCCCCTAGTGTATAATCACTGTGGCCCCTAGTGTATAATCACTGTGGCCCCTAGTGTATAATCACTGTGGCCCCTAGTGTATAATCACTGTGGCCCCTAGTGTATGATCACTGGCCCCTAGTGTATAATCACTGTGGCCCCTAGTGTATAATCACTGTGGCCCCTAGTGTATGATCACTGTGGCCCCTAGTGTATAATCACTGTGGCCCCTAGTGTATGATCACTGTGGCCCCTAGTGTATAATCACTGTGGCCCCTAGTGTATAATCGCTATGGCCTCTAAACCTGTGGTATCAATTGAGCACAACACAGAACCCAATACTTGGTACTTTTGATGGTGTACTGTATTAACTGGTACTACTTTGGCCTGCAGCCTAACATACTCGACGCCATGATAATAAAACAACTAGAATTGTGTCTGCTGTGTCTGGCACGTAGGTCGCTGTATTGCTGACAATGCCGATACCAATAAACCGAAGGATAAACTTTCTTTGTCTCCCTTGACACTTCCGGTGTTGGAGAACAAAGCTGTGCCTTGACCAGATGGAAGCCATGGCGACCACTGGGGATGACATTATGCCTACAGTCTGGTGTATATATAGATATATATATACGTTTCTGACATGGAATTTTAGTTTATATGTGTGTACTTGAAATAATCACAGTGTATCTTGAGCAGAATATGTGTAGGTCATGAAATGATTTGTGTTGTGTTCAATAATATACAACCACAATATGTCTACAATGTTACTGATATTTGTATATTGTCTTATACAAGAAGCCATAAAATGTATTGTCTTATACAAGGAGCCATATAATGTATTGTCTTATACAAGGAGCCATATATTGTATTGTCTTATACAAGGAGCCATAATGTATTGTCTTATGCTAGGAGCCAACTTGTATATTGTCCTATATGAGGGGCCAACTTGTATGGGCAGCCATTCGGTTAAAAAATACAAAGTTAAAATTTGACAAAAGTACACAATAAAGGTCAAATATTACGAATAAAGAACTAAATGTTACTAATAAAGGTCAAAATACAGAACAATGAGACGCTGGTTAAAAAAATATAAAGTGGATATAAAGGTCAAAAGTATGCAATATTAATAGTCAAATGTTACGAAAAGATGTCATAAGAAAAGAAAGAACAATGTGTTCTAAAGAAACGTCAGTGAGCATGAAAGGACGTTTATAATAAAGAACGTCAGTGAGCATGAAAGGACGTTTATAATAAAGAACGTCAGTGAGCACGAAAGTACGTTGACAACAAAGAACGCCAGATGGCGCTGCAATTTGTAAAACATTCCGAGTTTAATCAGCTTGTTCCGCCGTGTATTTGATAACTGAATGCATGCCGAGGTGCACAATGTATTACGTCACTGCTCGTGCACTCACTGTCTGACGTCATATATATACATAATGTATAATGTACACATTGTGTTTCTACGTTGCGTTTAAGCATGGTCACTGGCCAAGCGCCTTTTCATAAATACAGCATACTGTGTAATCCGACATCTGCCTAATTAGTACATGTATTTTGTATACAACCTTCAGTAAGCATTCATTTAACGCTAAACTAGGATTAATCTACAATGATCCAATAACTGTTCATGCACAGTGCAACACGAGGGTGCTATGATAAATAACTCGTGAATAGTTGTGGTATCTGACTCGCTTTCGCTCGTCAGATACCACAACTATTCACTCGTTTCATAAAATTGGTATTACACGGGAGCTCGTTTAGTATTCTATATGTGCACCTCGGCATGCATTCAGTTATCATATACACGGCTGAACAAGCCGATTAAACTCGAAATGCTTTACAAATTGCAGCGCCATCTGGCGTTCTTTATTGTCAACATCCTTTCGTGCTCACTGACGTTCTTTATTGTAAACGTTCTTTCGTGCTCACTGACGTTCTTTATTGTAAACGTCCTTTCATTCTCACTGACGTTCTTTCAAACACATTGTTCTTTCTTTTCTTATGACGTCTTTTCGTAACATTTGACTATTAATATTAATACTTTCGTCCTTTGTTTCAACTTTGTATTTGTTTAACCGGCGTCTCTTTGTTTTGTATTTTGACCTTTAGTATTAACATTTAGTTCTTTATTCGTAATATTTGACCTTTATTGTGTACTTTTGTCCTTTTTTTCAACTTTGTATTTTTTGACCGAATGGCCGCCCATAAACTTGTATATTTCTGCTCTGATAGTGCTGGATTCTTACCTTGTACAAAACAAAGCATTACAGTCAAAACTGTAAAAATGTTCATTTCATGAAATTCCTGTAATAAGTCCTATTTATCCTAGTATGCGTATGCTCTGTAAATATATCGTACGTCCTTGTAGCTTGTTAATATCGGAAGTAGTTAGCTGTACTTGAGTACGTTGTACATTAAACTGACTGATCCTGGATACCTGTATAGTGTCTAGTCACATGCACCCATCTTGTCACCTGCACCTCAATAGTTGTACGACTTGACGGACATCTTGCACCACTCTCTCGGAGTTGAAGCTCGGGAGTGTAGAATCCCACGTGTACAACATGGTTTCCACTGCTGGATCATGTCACTGACCAGTGGTCAGTCTACCTTGGCATTCAACTCCCGTTTCAATACAGTGTACCTTGTGACGCCGGACAATAGTGTTCTCATTGCTGTGCTAGCAAGTTCACTTTCACGTATGTAGAATGGTCTTCAAAATGTGTAATGAAGTTACATGTATTTAGTTACACACATATTTTCTCAATATAATTCTTAATATATTTAAATAATAACATGATTAATAACCACATAATACCCTGTACTACTTCACACACAAATATGTGGAACAGTTTTAATCTTTTGGAATTATTTTTTTCTTTTAGATGAAGCGTCTAGGAAGGCATTTTTTAGAAATAATTGTTTTGTCCCAAATTGGGGGTTATGTTTGAGGCTTCTTTTTTTAAAATCCAAAGTATTTTAACAAGTTTTTAACATGTGTAAAGTAATGGGATAATTTTGAAATAAGGATTGTTTGCCGACCTTGTTGGCGTTGTTATTAGTGACTACAACTCACCTTCACAAAGACTGATCTCCAGCTACATCAACTGATGGGGAATTGGTTCACCCCGGGATGAATGTGGAAGTTCAATAAACAGAGAATTGAAACATGCGTGTAAATGCTAAATGTGTATATTTTTATCTGACTATACACGGATTTTTCATAAATGGACAACTTAAGTGCTGTTAATTATGTCTTCATGTAAAACCTTCAATAAAGTCAGTGACTGCCTACATATCTCTGTAGCAAAGTGTGAATTGGTTCTGTAGTTGGGCCAAGCACAATAGATTGCAGTCACCATTCTTATTCTATTTTGACCTTTTAGAAATACCGATTTCAGAAATAAAGTGCAGAAATGCAGACCATCCAAGCTGAGGAAGCCATGTTTCTGACGCTGAACGACAGGTACCATGGTTACCATTTGCCTGTCCTTTGTGGACTGAACCTGGATGTATGTCCAACTTTGGGTGATATAATCTCCCATCTCGTACCCCATGTTTCTACAGTAGGCAACATGTGTAACTGGAGATCATAGCTTGTGTGGGTATTTGTAACAGACACAACTCTAATTATGATTACATAATTTATGTACAATAAGTGGTCACTATTCTACTGGACAATTCACCGTACTGGTATAATTGATACCAGTAAACATCTGGTCCACTGTCAAGGGTATTAATTTATCAACACTAGTTGTGTATAAAACGTGTACAATGCTGCTATATATACCTGTTATTGCGTAGACTGTGATACAATGTGTGCATCCGTCCTATGACTGGTGATGTTGAGAGCTCTGGCTGTTTCTGTTGACAATGCTTGCTCTCTCGCACTTACCGAGAGCTCCTTACAGCAACATACAACACCAGGCATGCTTTTCAATACAATATAAGACTTTAATAAATCAACTTATTTTCATTGATGGGTTGTTGTTATTCAGCTTGCATCCATGTTCTGATGGGCAAACTTTCAGATTGGCTCAAACTGTGGGATATATGTCCCAATGATATTTTTCAAAATAAATAATTATATATACACAAATGTTTTATTAAAAAAATGAAAAATCCCATGCTAAATTTGACATAATAAGCTGTTGCTTTTGTTTGACTTGAATTGGTTTTGTATATGATTAGCTGGTACACTGGCATTGAAAGCAGCAGCTGTGTCTGACGAAAGCAGCAGCTGTGTCTGATGAAAGGTTCAGCTGTGTCTGATGAAAGCAGCAGCTGTGTCTGACGAAAGCAGCAGCTGTGTCTGATGAAAGGTTCAGCTGTGTCTGATGAAAGGTTCAGCTGTGTCTGTTGAAAGCAGCAGATGTGTCTGATGAAAGGTTCAGCTGTGTCTGATGAAAGCAGCAGCTGTGTCTGATGAAAGGTTCAGCTGTGTCTGATGAAAGGTTCAGCTGTGTCTGATGAAAGCAGCAGCAGCTGTGTCTGATGAAAGGTTCAGCTGTGTCTGATGAAAGGCCCATTGCTTTTAAGGAATGGAGAGTTACAAGCATATTCCCCAACTTAAAACACATCCCTACATTGACAAAATATTCTCTTGTGGAGAATATTTGAAAAATAAACCAGAGCTCTTTGTAGTCTGTATTTATACTGTGTGAGTCTCCCTTGTGTGATGCAAGAGGGATGCATACTCTGCCGTTGAGAGCTGACATTTACAATGCATAGTAGACGGCTCTTCATAATTTTGTGCAGTCCTAGTCATTGGCTTGAATATTGTAAATATACATGCTGATGGGGATTATGGGAAATATAGAGCCCCGAACAAGGATATGTATACATGTTTACCTGAAGGTTTATCTTATTGCTATAAATATGAACATCTCTTACAGGTAGCCGCTCTAACACAACATTAGATACATATGCATATTATGTTTGAGCTTTTAAGCATTATGCAAAATTATGAAATATTTAATAGTTAATTTCACACCATACCTTCATGTGTCTCCGTAGCGGAGGTTGACAATTACTTGTCCACAAACATGTCCACATTTTCTGACAAAATTTGAAATCATTCTCTTATCAAAATATTTTTTTAAATTTTAAAATAGTTCTGTCAATTCCAAGAGCAAATTAATTGAACTGTTATCCATTCCTGAAAAATAATGGAGTGTTTAAACAATACAATGACATCACAGATGTGTCTTAAGTTTAGCAAGCTCAGTCAGTGTTGCGCTTACATTTCTTTCAATTTATGTTAATTTTTGTTCAGATTGACTATTGATGAATTCTGTCGGCTGCATGAAACTTTCCTCCACCTGCCCGACTGTCTGGCAGATAATGTTTAGCCAACTTACGTGTTCAGTTTATTATAACTCCTAGATTCTCAAGTAATTGTTAGCATTATTTCAACTAAATCAAGACGTGATCTGTCTCTTTCTTTTTGCAATTTTTCAATATCTGAATGTGGACAGGTAACTTGGAAGATTGGCAGGCAACAGTTATGGGTCACCTGACTGACTGTTGTTGGGTTTTAAGATTATTTCAAACACTGTACCAGTTAGCACTTAGAGGACACTATCAACAACAGCAGACACCGCACAAGTAGATCACAGCTTTATTTATAATTGTCAGACCTCTATCAACAACAGCAGACACCACACAAGTAGATCACAGCTTTATTTGTAATTGTCAGACCTCTATCAACAACAGCAGACACCACACAAGTAGATCACAGCTTTATTTGTAATTGTCAGGCCACTATCAACAACAGCAGACACCACACAAGTAGATCACAGCTTTATTTATAATTGTCAGGCCACTATCAACAACAGCAGACACCACACAAGTAGATCACAGCTTTATTTGTTATTGTCAGGCCACTATCAACAACAGCAGACACCACACAAGTAGATCACAGCTTTATTTGTAATTGTCAGGCCTCTATCAACATGTTTCCTTGGTATATTTGGTGTCAGGTCATGGAGCAAGAGTTGGTGTGGCTTCCTCCTCGTCACTGTCATCCCACGTCGTAAGGTGTGATGGACGCTTTGGGGGGACTGTCTGGTCCCCTCGTCACTGTCATCCCACGTCGTAAGGTGTGATGGACGCTATGGGGGAACTGTCTGGACCCCTCGTCACTGTCATCCCACGTCGTAAGGTGTGAAGGACGCTTTGGGGGGACTGTCTGGTCCCCTCGTCACTGTCATCCCACGTCGTAAGGTGTGATGGACGCTATGGGGGAACTGTCTGGACCCCTGATCTCTGTCATCAGATGTGTGCTTCAGAGAAGGACTGACATTTGGAATACACCGATTTTGTGGTTGTATGAAAATAAATTACTTTTAGCTTATGAAAGGAACATCTCAGCAGCCGAGACACGTGTTATTGTTAAGATCTTCATTTGATCTTGATAGATCTGAAACCCGATTAAGGGTTGGTCATTTGTAACGTAAACAATCACAAGAAAAAGACTTGCTGGTCACATTGTGCATACAGAGGCAATGAGGGAGATTTTATGACTTCATGGGGTTTAGTCACAATAATGCCAATCTTAGGTCAGGAGTTATCTCCTTGGTAACAAATTCTTGAGAAATATTAATATTAATAAAATATTAATTGCCAAAGAGACTTCACCAGGTCTACAGGAAGTGTGAAGAAATGAACTAAATATTCCCGTCTATTGTCTCTGTATACAACACAGACGTTCACAGCACCAGACAAGCAACACTGGTCAAATGACATCAAACATTATTCAGCCATATCAGTCATGTACATAATCAGTTGAAACAGGTGTGAGGAAGGAAAAAAGTAGATCACTTCATTCATGCAGCTCATACAATATTATCCCTGAATGTTGCCATGTCCTCCGTCTGGCGCGGTGTCACAGCTTGGAGGTCAACTGCTGCCCATATTTCCTGTACATTGTCACCACTGCAGCGCCACCGATGCCGAAGTTGTGTTGCATAGCAACCCTTGCTCCATCCACCTGGCGTTTCCCGGCCTCCCCTCGTAGTTGCCATGACAACTCGGCACACTGTGCCAGACCTTCACAGAACAAGACATTAAACTCAGATGACAGAATACATTCATCAGCTGCATTCATTACACAATGGAGGCGGTCTGACAACTGGCACATAGTAAACTGACATATGGCAAGATGAGCTAAACATTCAAACATATTTTAAAATGACAAGATATTATTACAATGAGACCTCATCAAATTCTGGGGACTTTCAAAAAAAATACCGAGTTATCCGTTGTTTATGACAGATTGTCGATATTAACACCTAAAGGTGACCAGACTATCAAGTCATCTTAACATTTTTTTTTCTTTAAGTTTCACAATACATACTATATTCTACCAATTTCTTTGTGAAAACATGACCCTTCAAATCTCCCCTGTATAATATTGAGTTATTCATAGTTGAAGATGAGGGGACCACTGACATAGTGCTTATAAAGATTCTGCCAGGTTGATGGGGTTCACAAGATTTCACCAATCATATCTCTCACACTTTATTTCACAATGGCCCTTCAAGTCTCACCTGTAGCCCCGATAGGGTACACAATGGCCCTTCAAGTCTCACCTGTAGCCCCGATAGAGTGACCCTAAACAATGGCCCTTCAAGTCTCACCTGTAGCCCCGATAGCGTACACAATGGCCCTTCAAGTCTCACCTGTAGCCCCGATAGAGTGACCCTAAACAATGGCCCTTCAAGTTTCACCTGTAGCCCCGATAGAGTGACCCTAAACAATGGCCCTTCAAGTCTCACCTGTAGCCCCGATAGAGTGACCCTAAACAATGGCCCTTCAAGTTTCACCTGTAGCCCCGATAGAGTGACCCTAAACAATGGCCCTTCAAGTTTCACCTGTAGCTCTGATAGAGTGACCCTAAACAATGGCCCTTCAAGTCTCACCTGTAGCTCTGATAGAGTGACCCTAAACAATGACCCTTCAAGTCTCACCTGTAGCCCCGACAGAGTGACCCTAAACAATGACCCTTCAAGTTTCACCTGTAGCCCCGATAGAGTGACCCTAAACAATGGCCCTTCAAGTCTCACCTGTAGCCCCGATAGAGTGACCCTAAACAATGGCCCTTCAAGTCTCACCTGTAGCCCCGATAGGGTGACCCTTGGACTCCAGGCCTCCTGACGGATTCACCACCCAGCGGTCATTCAGGACACAGATGTCACCCCCATTTGCATTCCGCCTCCATGAGGAGTTCCTGATGAGATCTGAGCCCCGGCCAGGAGGAGCAAGCTGCAGAGCCTCGTACATCAACAGCTCATTACTGGAGAAGCAGTCGTGGACCTCCAGCACATCCACGTCTCGAGGTCGCAGCCCGCTGTCGGCATAGCAACGCTCTGCCGCCGTTCTCGCCATTCCCACTCCAGACAGGTCAATGTAGCTCTTCTCAAAGGAGGAAGGGAGATCGGTGACCATGTGCTGTGCAATGATCTCCACAGCTTTGTTCTCAAGGTTGTTTGTCTTCATGAAGGCCTCGCTGCACACAATGGCTGCCGCGCTGCCATCTGCTGTTGGCGCTGTCATCCAGAACGTCAAGGGGTAACACAGCATCATCTTCTTGCCAATCACCTCCTTAGGCGGCAACTTCGGCAGAGATGCATAGGGGTTGTTGAGGCCATGTTTCCTGTTCTTGAAAGCGATGTTCACCAGATCCTCCATCTTGACATCGGGGTATTTCTGCATGTATTCTCTGGCTGCATATGCAAAGAGTTTGATAACATCAGAAGTCATGTTGTTCATCCTAGGCTGGACGACACCAGGTGTCGCTCCGAGATTCACCATGTGGTCCATATGTCGCCCCACTGGTGATATGCGGTCAGTGTATCGCTCCGACAATCCACCCTCCATCTTCTCAAACCCTGGAACAAAATAATATGGATCATTTCTGGATATTTGTCGGAAAGTTTGGCCTGAGGGAGGGAGGAGGGAGTAGGTTCCCTGGTGCATGATGGGGGTCTGGAACTGATCAAGTCTTTGTCTGGTAGACCAGTGTGGACCAGTGTAGACCAGTGTGGACCAGTGTAGACCAGTGTGGACCAGTTTGGACCAGTGTGGACCAGTGTAGACCAGTGTGGACCAGTGTAGACCAGTGTGGACCAGTGTAGACCAGTGTGGACCAGTGTGGACCAGTGTAGACCAGTATACACTGGTGTAGACTGGTGTAGACTGGTGTAGACCAGTGTAGACCCATGCTGTCACAGTATGCAGGGAATTATCTAGGATTCAAACTCAGGTCCCTTGGCAGAGAAATTGGGCAAATATTATGATATTGTTATAAATTGGATTTTCTTAATGTTCTTATTTTTGTAAATTCTGAGGAATTTGGGAATATTTAATTCAATTGGGAACTCATACTGACTGACTTGAGGGTAAATATCAGCCTCTGAGAAAGTTTAGATAAACCCATGGTATGATGGCAAACGTATCTGGGCACAATTCTGTAAGTCCAGGAACAACATATCTGAACAAAAAATTATTTGTTCAGCTCTTCTTGCAAATCTAAACAGCAATGTACCCACGGTCAATAAAAAATAAATACATGAGTAAATGCTGGCAAGGGAAAGGTTCAGGAAACATCTTGATGTGACAGTTGAATGTGTGTAACTCACCGAGGGCCAACACACAGTCCTCCACCCCACTCTGAACCAGGCGCCGAGCCATCATGAGCGCCGTGGACCCCGAGGAACAGTTGTTGTTGACATTGAACACAGGAACACCGCTGAGGCCGAGCTCGTACACTGCCCGCTGTCCACTGGTCGGCTCGCCGTAGCAGTAGCTGGCCACCACGGCCTTCACCTTGCTGTAGGGAATACCGGCATCTCTCAGTGCAGCTGTACCTGGAGACAACCTCAACACAGTCAGACAAAGTCAGTGACGAGACACGGACAGTCAACTACAAGATACAGTCAGACAAAGTCAGTCAGTGACGAGACACGGACAGTCAACTACAAGATACAGTCAGACAAAGTCAGTCAGTGACGAGACACGGACACTCAACTACAAGATACAGTCAGACAAAGTCAGACAGTGACGAGACACGGACAGTCAACTACAAGATACAGTCAGACAAAGTCAGTCAGTGACGAGACACGGACAGTCAACTACAAGATACAGTCAGACAAAATCAGTCAGTGACGAGACACGGACAGTCAACTACAAGATACAGTCAGACAAAGTCAGTCAATGACGAGACACGGACAGTCAACTACAAGATACAGTCAGACAAAGTCAGACAGTGACGAGACACGGACAGTCAACTGCAAGATACAGTCAGACAAAGTCAGTCAGTGACGAGACACGGACAGTCAACTACAAGATACAGTCAGACAAAGTCAGACAGTGACGAGACACGGACAGTCAACTACAAGAAACAGTCAGACAAAGTCAGTCAGTGACGAGACATGGACAGTCAACTACAAGATACAGTCAGACAAAGTCAGACAGTGACGAGACACGGACAGTCAACTGCAAGATAAGTCAGACAATGTCAGTCAGTGACGAGACACGGACAGTCAACTACAAGATACAGTCAGACAAAGTCAGTCAGTGACGAGACACGGACAGTCAACTACAAGATACAGTCAGACAAAGTCAGTCAGTGACGAGACACGGACAGTCAACTACAAGATACAGTCAGACAAAGTCAGTCAGTGACAAGACACGGACAGTCAACTGCAAGATACAGTCAGAAAAAGTCAGTCAGTGACGAGACACGGACAGTCAACTGCAAGATACAGTCAGACAAAGTCAGTCAGTGACGAGACACGGACAGTCAACTACAAGATACAGTCAGACAAAGTCAGTCAGTGACGAGACACGGACACTCAACTACAAGATACAGTCAGACAAAGTCAGTCAGTGACGAGACACGGACAGTCAACTACAAGATACAGTGAGAACAGAGTCAGTCAGTGACGAGACACGGACAGTCAACTGCAAGATACAGTCAGAACAGAGTCAGTCAGTGACGAGACACGGACAGTCAACTACAAGATACAGTCAGACAAAGTCAGTCAGTGACGAGACACGGACAGTCAACTACAAGATACAGTGAGAACAGAGTCAGTCAGTGACGAGACACGGACAGTCAACTGCAAGATACAGTCAGACAAAGTCAGTCAGTGACGAGACACGGACAGTCAACTACAAGATACAGTCAGACAGAGTCAGTCAGTGACGAGACACGGACACTCAACTACAAGATACAGTCAGACAAAGTCAGTCAGTGACGAGACACGGACAGTCAACTACAAGATACAGTCAGACAAAGTCAGTCAGTGACGAGACACGGACAGTCAACTGCAAGATACAGTCAGACAAAGTCAGTCAGTGACGAGACACGGACAGTCAACTACAAGATACAGTCAGTGACGAGCCATGGACAGTCAACTGCAAGATACAGTCAGAACAGAGTCAGTCAGTGACGAGACACGGACAGTCAACTGCAAGATACAGTCAGACAAAGTCAGTCAGTGACGAGACATGGACAGTCAACTACAAGATACAGTCAGACAAAGTCAGTCAGTGACGAGACACGGACACTCAACTACAAGATACAGTCAGACAAAGTCAGTCAGTGACGAGACACGGACAGTCAACTACAAGATACAGTCAGACAAAGTCAGTCAGTGACGAGACACGGACAGTCAACTGCAAGATACAGTCAGAACAGAGTCAGTCAGTGACGAGACACGGACAGTCAACTACAAGATACAGTCAGACAAAGTCAGTCAGTGACGAGACACAGACAGTCAACTACAAGATACAGTCAGACAAAGTCAGTCAGTGACGAGACACGGACAGTCAACTACAAGATACAGTCAGACAAAGTCAGTCAGTGACGAGACACGGACAGTCAACTACAAGATACAGTCAGACAAAGTCAGTCAGTGACGAGACACGGACAGTCAACTACAAGATACAGTCAGACAAAGTCAGTCAGTGACGAGACACGGACACTCAACTACAAGATACAGTCAGACAAAGTCAGTCAGTGACGAGACACGGACAGTCAACTACAAGATACAGTGAGAACAGAGTCAGTCAGTGACGAGACACGGACAGTCAACTGCAAGATACAGTCAGAACAGAGTCAGTCAGTGACGAGACACGGACAGTCAACTACAAGATACAGTCAGACAAAGTCAGTCAGTGACGAGACACGGACAGTCAACTACAAGATACAGTGAGAACAGAGTCAGTCAGTGACGAGACACGGACAGTCAACTGCAAGATACAGTCAGACAAAGTCAGTCAGTGACGAGACACGGACAGTCAACTACAAGATACAGTCAGACAGAGTCAGTCAGTGACGAGACACGGACACTCAACTACAAGATACAGTCAGACAAAGTCAGTCAGTGACGAGACACGGACAGTCAACTACAAGATACAGTCAGACAAAGTCAGTCAGTGACGAGACACGGACAGTCAACTGCAAGATACAGTCAGACAAAGTCAGTCAGTGACGAGACACGGACAGTCAACTACAAGATACAGTCAGTGACGAGCCATGGACAGTCAACTGCAAGATACAGTCAGAACAGAGTCAGTCAGTGACGAGACACGGACAGTCAACTGCAAGATACAGTCAGACAAAGTCAGTCAGTGACGAGACATGGACAGTCAACTACAAGATACAGTCAGACAAAGTCAGTCAGTGACGAGACACGGACACTCAACTACAAGATACAGTCAGACAAAGTCAGTCAGTGACGAGACACGGACAGTCAACTACAAGATACAGTCAGACAAAGTCAGTCAGTGACGAGACACAGACAGTCAACTACAAGATACAGTCAGACAAAGTCAGTCAGTGACGAGACACGGACAGTCAACTACAAGATACAGTCAGACAAAGTCAGTCAGTGACGAGACACGGACAGTCAACTACAAGATACAGTCAGACAAAGTCAGTCAGTGACGAGACACGGACAGTCAACTACAAGATACAGTCAGACAAAGTCAGTCAGTGACGAGACACGGACAGTCAACTACAAGATACAGTCAGACAAAGTCAGTCAGTGACGAGACACGGACAGTCAACTACAAGATACAGTCAGACAAAGTCAGTCAGTGACGAGACACGGACAGTCAACTGCAAGATACAGTCAGACAAAGTCAGTCAGTGACGAGACACGGACAGTCAACTACAAGATACAGTCAGACAAAATCAGTCAGTGACGAGACACGGACAGTCAACTGCAAGATACAGTCAGAACAGAGTCAGTCAGTGACGAGACACGGACAGTCAACTGCAAGATACAGTCAGACAAAGTCAGTCAGTGACGAGACACGGACAGTCAACTGCAAGATACAGTCAGACAAAGTCAGTCAGTGACAAGACACGGACAGTCAACTACAAGATACAGTCAGTGATGAGCCACGGACAGTCAACTGCAAGATACAGTCAGAACAGAGTCAGTCAGTGACGAGACACGGACAGTCAACTGCAAGATACAGTCAGAACAGAGTAATGATATCAGCCTAAGTTCTTGTTTTCTTCAATTCCTAGGTATACGGTACTATCATGGGATAACATTTATACTAAGTTATCTTATTTAACGGAACATTCAATGCTGTATAAACGTAACAGTAAACATTAAAGCCTCTTCTCTCCTGGTCCTGCTACCATGGAAACAAAAGTCACCTCAACAAAGCCAGGATATTAGTCATAACAATATAAACATGAATTGGGAAATGATTAAATCCAATTTGGGAAGTATTACTGACATTTGCTGCAGATGTCCAGCCTAATATCAGCTCCTGAGCAGTCTAGATAAAACCCTGACGAGGCCACACACCAACATTAATATCTACTGAGTGAGTGAGTATGGTTTTACGCCGCTTTTAGCAATATTCCAGCAATATCACGGCGGGGGACACCAGAAATGGGCTTCACACATTGTACCCATGTCGGGAATCGAACCCGGATCTTTGGCGTGACGAGCGAACGCTTTAACCACTAGGCTACCCAAACGACCCTAATATCTACTGAAAATAATAACAAAATACAACTTGGAGTTTGTAAAATCATAAGTGTTTGGCACGGACTGAATACATCAATGCTACTTATCTATAATGTTGTTTTTTGTTGTTGTTCAATGCCACACTCAGCAATATTTCAGCTATATGATGGCAGTCTGTAAATAATCAAGTCTGGACCAGACAATCCAGTGATACAATAACATGCATCAACTAAGTCAGTCAGCCTGACCACCTGACTCCGTAGGTGGCCTCTTACGACAAGCATGGGTTGCTGAAGACAATTCTAACACGGATTTTCACAGGGGGAGACAAGCATGGGTTGCTACTTGTGTTTCGGAATTGAATTTTGAATATTTTGGGGGGGTATTTTACGCTAATACGCTGCTTATCTGTAGCTCTGCTGAAGACCAATTCTAATGCTGATCTTCACGGGAAGTCACGGGACTTATCTATCATGTGTTACAATGACAAGTGCTGGTCAGCTCGTACCTGCCTCCCTGGCCATATCAGGGTAGTCCCATTGCTTGCTGAGGGGCTTGTGGAACTTGGTCATCCCCACGCCCACAACATACGCTGCACTCCCATTGGTTGACATCTCCACACGCTCACCTGCATAATAACTTTACTGAATCGGTTCCTGAAAGATTTCCTGGAATATTCTATGGAAAATTCTATAAAAAATCTGTTTCTTTTTGACACCATCACTTCTTGCTCCAAAAGATTGCATTAGGGTAAATAGTGGGAACTCTAATTTATAATAATATTGTCTGATTAATTAAGTTATGAACGTGCATCAGTATTTATTCATCTTAGTAAACTACAGATTACATAGTGATGTACTGATCGATTTGATCTCTATAAATAAATACATGTATCTGTAAACATATATTTTGAAAATTGTTGATGTTATCAAGAAGCATTTATCTGCTATCCCTTTTTGATTGATCGTGCCATCATAACCTGTCAGCCGTTTAATGGACGACACATACCTTGGTCTTATATCAGACACTCAACCTAGTTCCAAGGCTGATCAAAGTCCAAAACCACAATTATTTTCCCTGTCAAACAAGCACATGCCATTTGTTTATATCACACATCCAAAACTAGATCGGGAGATTTAAATCGAAATGATAATACAATGAATTTCCCAAAATCATATTGTTGTTAACATTAGTATGTTTATCAAATATAATCTGATTGAATATTGCAGATGTAAAGCATATTTAGAAGGTATGAATGATTTATTCATTATTTACATATGCAATTTATTTTTCATTTTCCTGGGAAGGTTTAACTTTTTAACATTTCACTACTCACTTCCGGTAGCTAGCAGACAGTCCAAAGTTCAGCAGTTTAGTATCTCCCGTCGTGTGGTGTGCACAGTCGACTAAATAACACGGTTGAACTACAGTTCGCTTACACGCTACCTTGGTGCACCTCAAAATGGCAGCAAACACAGGGTAATTGTTCCATTTGTTTCAATCACAGGTTCATACATGGTGTTTGTGATGACTGTGACAGGTTCATACATGGTGTTTGTGATGACTGTGACATTGATAGATGTGGCCTGCACTGCATTGCTCGGCTTTTTTTCATTTTGAAACCTGTCAGCAGCAAACAGCAGATTGAGAGCATGAGCACTGATGCATGCTGTTGTCTGACACCTTTAGTCTGTTATAAAACTTCTGCTCTAAGAGTCATCACAGAAAATTGTGTGCAGCTTTAATCTGGATTGGTTTAGAATAGTGGTCTTCAGCAACCAGTGCTTGTCTCCCCCCGTGAAGATCTGGGTTAGAATAGTGGTCTTCAGCAACCCATGCTTGTCTCCCCCCTTAGGATCTGGGTTAGAATAGTGGTCTTCAGCAACCCATGCTTGTCTCCTCCAATGAAGATCTGGGTTAGAATAGTGGTCTTCAGCAACCCATGCTTGTCTCCCCCCGTGAAGATCTGGGTTAGAATAGTGGTCTTCAGCAACCCATGCTTGTCTCCTCCCATGAAGATCTGGGTTAGAATAGTGGTTTTCAGCAACCCATGCTTGTCTCCCCCCTTGAAGATCTGGTTTAGATTAGTGGTCTTCAGCAACCCATGCTTGTCTCCCCCCGTGAAGATCTGGGTTAGAATAGTGGTCTTCAGCAACCCTACTTGTCTCCTCCAATGAAGATCTGGGTTAGAATAGTGGTCTTCAGCAACCCATGCTTGTCTCCTCCAATGAAGATCTGGGTTAGAATAGTGGTCTTCAGCAACCCATGCTTGTCTCCTCCAATGAAGATCTGGGTTAGAATAGTGGTCTTCAGCAACCCATGCTTGTCTCCCCCCTTGAAGATCTGGGTTAGAATAGTGGTCTTCAGCAACCCATGCTTGTCTCCCCCCTTGAAGATCTGGGTTAGAATAGTGGTCTTCAGCAACCCATGCTTGTCTCCTCCCATGAAGATCTGGGTTAGAATAGTGGTTTTCAGCAACCCATGCTTGTCTCCCCCCTTGAAGATCTGGTTTAGATTAGTGGTCTTCAGCAACCCATGCTTGTCTCCCCCCGTGAAGATCTGGGTTAGAATAGTGGTCTTCAGCAACCCTACTTGTCTCCTCCAATGAAGATCTGGGTTAGAATAGTGGTCTTCAGCAACCCATGCTTGTCTCCTCCAATGAAGATCTGGGTTAGAATAGTGGTCTTCAGTAACCCATGCTTGTCTCCCCCCTTGAAGATCTGGGTTAGAATAGTGGTCTTCAGCAACCCATGCTTGTCTCCCCCCTTGAAGATCTGGGTTAGAATAGTGGTCTTCAGCAACCCATTATTGTCTCCTCCAATGAAGATCTGGGTTAGAATAGTGGTCTTCAGCAACCCATGCTTGTCTCCTCCAATGAAGATCTGGGTTAGAAAAGTGGTCTTCAGCAACCCATGCTTGTCTCCCCCCTTGAAGATCTGGGTTAGAATAGTGGTCTTCAGCAACCCATTATTGTCTCCTCCAATGAAGATCTGGGTTAGAATAGTTCTTCAGCAACCCATGCTTGTCTCCTCCAATGAAGATCTGGGTTAGAAAAGTGGTCTTCAGCAACCCATGCTTGTCTCCTCCAATGAAGATCTGGGTTAGAATAGTGGTCTTCACGGTATTGGGTGTTCAGGCACAGGGATTCGGTTTATGCATGTGTAGCGACCATAAAATTTCTGATTCCCATGATGGGATTCGAACCACAGACCTACCGAACAGAAGTCAGACGCCTTGTCCACATGACAAAAGAGGTTAACACCGTCAGCAAGCTGACAAGGTAAGGATGTTGTCTGTGAGATATGACTCCACACCCTGCTACACATGTCATGGTATCCCAATTGCGTTGATCAATGCTCAGGATGTTTAATCACTTGGTTGTCTTGTCCAGACTTGATTGTTTACAGACCACCATACAGATGGAATATTGCTGAGCTTGGCATCAAACAACAGATAAACAAATTTAATCTGAAGTTATGTTCTGTCTGCTTACAGGAAGTTGGTTGGGAAGACAATCTTCATCACAGGGGCTAGTCGGGGTATTGGTAAAGCCATTGCTCTGAAGGCTGCCCGAGATGGAGCCAACATCGTTATTGCAGCCAAGACAGCCGAACCACACCCAAAGCTGCCTGGCACCATTTACACCGCTGCCAAAGAAGGTACAACAAAAGAATGAGGAACTGTGTTAGCATTTTTTAAAAAGAATTCTTAAAGATGAAGAATTCTTGGACAATGCAAGACTTGACTATTTCACAAGCCTAGTCACTATTTGTCTTCTTCAATATTTTATTACTTGAAAATGTGAACTGTCTATAGTAAGCCAATGTTCATAAGCTTCGAACTATTTATCCTGGGAGATTTTTGTATCGTGATATCCCTATTATATATATTGTTATCGTGATACTTAATTCGGGATAGTTTGGCATGATTTTTATACTTCATAGGGCATAAACATGATTAAAACGGCATGAATCTTCTTAAATATCTCTTTCAATCAATACTTTATTTCAAATAAAACTGGAATGTCAACATGAGTATTTACTCTTATTAAATGAAATAGCAAAGTCCCAGTTTGTGAAATACTTTATACATATATGTTCATGAATCATCTTGTGGTTTCCAGTGGTAGAAATTGGCACTAGTCCTATAGTCCTTGCCAAAGTGCCCAATAATTAAGCGTATCATAAGGACTAGTAGGTATTTGCCATTTTTCAGGGATTTTGCTATATATTATCATTAGGAGGACTAGTGGACTAAAAATGTTAGTTTCTACTGCTGGTTTCACTGTATGTGGTGTTGTCATGATTCATGTTGTGGTTTCAGTGGAGGCGGCTGGCGGGAAGTGTCTGCCGTGTGTGGTAGACATCCGGTACGAGGAGTCCGTTGTCAAGGCCGTGGAAGAGACAGTCAAAAAGTTCGGTGGCATCGACATCTTGGTGAACAACGCCAGTGCTATTAGTCTGACGGGCACTCTAGAGACTCCCATGAAGAAATACGACCTGATGAATGGGATCAATGCACGAGGAACCTACATGTGGTGAGATGCTGGCGATGTCATCAGAAGGTGGAGGCGATGTCACTAGAAGGTATAGGCGGTGTCACTAGAAGGTGTAGGCGGTGTCACTAGAAGGTGTAGGCAATGTCACTAGAAGGTGTAGGCAATGTCACTAGAAGGTGTAGGCAATGTCACTAGAAGGTGTAGGCAATGTCACTAGAAGGTGTAGGCGATGTCACTGGAAGGTGTAGGCGATGTCACTAGAAGGTGTAGGCGGTGTCACTAGAAGGTGTAGGCAATGTCACTAGAAGGTGTAGGCGGTGTCACTAGAAGGTGTAGGCAATGTCACTAGAAGGTGTAGGCAATGTCACTAGAAGGTGTAGGCAATGTCACTAGAAGGTGTAGGCGGGGTCACTAGAAGGTGTAGGCGGTGTCACTAGAAGGTGTAGGCAATGTCACTAGAAGGTGTAGGCAATGTCACTAGAAGGTGTAGGCGATGTCTCTAGAAGGTGTAGGCGATGTCACAAGGTGATATCACTAGAAGGTGTAGGCGATGTCACAAGGTGATGTCTCTAGAAGGTGTAGGTGATGTCACAAGGTGATGTCTCTAGAAGGTGTAGGCGATGTCACTGGAAGGTGTAGGCGATGTCACTAGAAGGTGTAGGCGATGTCACAAGGTGATGTCACAAGAAGGTGTAGGTGATGTCACAAGGTGATGTCACTAGAAGGTGTAGGTGATGTTACAAGGTGATGTCATTAGAAGGTGTAGGTGATGTCACAAGGTGAGGTCACTGGAAGGTGTAGGTGATGTCACTGGGAGTGTAGGTGATGTCACAAGGTGATGTCACTAGAAGGTGTAGGCCATGTCACAAGGCGATGTCTCTAGAAGGTGTAGGCGATGTCACAAGGCGATGTCACTAGAAGGTGTAGGCGATGTCACAAGGTGATATCACTAGAAGGTGTAGGCGATGTCACAAGGTGATATCACTAGAAGGTGTAGGCGATGTCACAAGGTGATATCACTAGAAGGTGTAGGTGATGTCACAAGGCGATGTCACAAGGTGATGTCACAAGGCGATGTCACAAGGTGATATCACTAGAAGGTGTAGGCGATGTCACAAAGTGATGTAGGCGATGTCACAAGGCGATGTCACAAGGCGATGTCACAAGGTGATGTCACAAGGCGATGTCACAAGGCGATGTCACAAGGCGATGTCACATGGACAGCTCGTAATGACCTAAACACCAAAATTGTGTCACATGGATCGAATTGATCGATACTTACTTTCTTTTATCAATTATTAATTGAGGAAGTGTTTTGTTTAACGATGAAATCTATAGTAAACTCTTGTGTGTAACCAAAGTGTGACAACAGTCAGTTGTTGGGTTGCAAGCTCATGACATCCCAGCAAGACGTCACAATGTCTGTGTCGGGGGACTTGTATGGGTTTTGCAACTCAGCTGCAGACCAGTGAGAATTAGGTGGCATTAAAAGCAATGTTTAAATGTCTGACGTGAAGCACAGTCCTGGGTGCTGTTTGTCTTTAAACAAATGGGTGATGCTAAAAATGCTGGCAGAGTGATGCTGCTTTCACTGACCTGCTTCTCCTTTAATGGCATGTTACCATGGCAATTGTTCCTCCACCCAGATACATGATTTGAAACAGAAGAAAACAAATTTACAATTTGAATATTTTTTATTAATTCTGTCTCCAGTTTAGCATGTCGGCTAGTAGATGCAGACCCAAGTGTTTTGTTGAGATCGTTTTCCCACAACTGTTGACTATGGCATTGTTTTCTTTTAAGCAACAATATCACAATGTCTTCCCTATTGTCCTGCCTTTGAGTTTGGAGTCTGAGATTAAGTAAACACAAATGGAAACAGTGAAACACAGAAATGTGTTATTACATACCTAGATTCTTTAATCAGGACATTTTCTAATGTTAACAATGTCACCAGAATTGCACTGTGTGGGTCATCAAGGTTTCTCTGTAGGTAGTTAGCTTATTATTGAGTTTAACATACATTGAGGCAATGAGCTTGATGTTGAAGTTTTATTTCTCATTCAGTTCTCGAGTGTGTCTGCCTTACCTGAAGAAGGGCAACAACCCACACATCCTGAACCTCAGCCCACCGCTCAACCTCAACCCCCTGTGGTTCAAGGGACATGTTGGTAAGCGTGAAAGTTGTTAGACAGGCGGCTTCCGGGCAATCATTGTGTGTCAGCTAACTGTGAAAGTTGTTAGACAGGCAGCTTCCGGGCAATCACTGTGTGTCAGCTAACTGTGAAAGTTGTTAGACAGGCAGCTTCCGGGCAATCATTGTGTGTCAGCTAACTGTGAAAGTTGTTAGACAGGCAGCTTCCGGGCAATCATTGTGTGTCAGCTAACTGTGAAAGTTGTTAGACAGGCAGCTTCCGGGCAATCACTGTGTGTCAGCTAACTGTGAAAGTTGTTAGACAGGCAGCTTCCGGGCAATCACTGTGTGTCAGCTAACTGTGAAAGTTGTTAGACAGGCGGCTTCCGGGCAATCACTGTGTGTCAGCTAACTGTGAAAGTTGTTAGACAGGCGGCTTCCGGGCAATCACTGTGTGTCAGCTAACTGTGAAAGTTGTTAGACAGGCAGCTTCCGGGTAATCACTGTGTGTCAGCTAACTGTGAAAGTTGTTAGACAGGCAGCTTCCGGGCAATCACTGTGTGTCAGCTAACTGTGAAAGTTGTTAGACAGGCAGCTTCCGGGCAATCACTGTGTGTCAGCTAACTGTGAAAGTTGTTAGACAGGCGGCTTCCGGGCAATCACTGTGTGTCAGCTAACTGTGAAAGTTGTTAGACAGGCAGCTTCCGGGCAATCACTGTGTGTCAGCTAACTGTGAAAGTTGTTAGACAGGCGGCTTCCGGGTAATCACTGTGTGTCAGCTAACTGTGAAAGTTGTTAGACAGGCGGCTTCCGGACAATCACTGTGTGTCAGCTAAATGTGAAACAGGTTGTGGATGTTTAATACTTAATACTCACAAATATGGATAGGGTGCTGATACACCAAGGTTCTGAGATTAAAACCTTTCAACACATGGTCCTGGCACACTACAGGGAGGCAACTCTGCACAACAAATTGCATCTTCCCAAGGCAAGAGAGTTAACTGACTATAAAAGTCCAGTTTCCACCCTTGCCGAACTAGGATGGAATTACTGGGCTCGATCGTAGCCATTACCAGTTATGTCCCTTCTAAGCCTCTCCTATGGACCAATCAGATTCCACCTCTAATATCACTTGCGTTTGCTTCACACAAAATGGTGGCGCCCAGTCAAGATGATCTGATCGATAATCAAGGTCTATGTTGTGATAAAACGGGTCTACATCGCAAAGTGCATCAAATCACATGAGCACCTTGATTAAAAACATTTGGAAAATATCTGTTGACAACGAGTTGGCGGTGCACATGCTTTGCAAATCATGCAATTGACCGTAATCTGCATGGCAGTGTATGAACCGGATTTCGATTTCGGTGCGCGAATTTGATTGGACTGTGCATAGACTTGTTAGTCCAGCCAACATTTAACTCCATTATACCAGCCTAGTTCGACAAGGGTGGAAACTGGACTTTTATATTCAGTGAACTCTCTTGCCTCAGGGAGATGAACAAATTGTAGCTGCCGCCATTGCCCCAACTGAAACATTGTGATCTGTTTTTTGTCATGGGTAAACTGACACACTGGGGTTGAAATACAAATCAGCATTAAACCCAAGTCACTCACTCACTCACTCATGTTGTCTTCTGACATGGTGATTCATCTGACCTTGACATTTGGTCAAATAATGATTCTCGTAAACACACATTCAGCCAATGGCTGTTATATTGTCTTGAGCGATATATATCCAGTTGAGAAAGTTGGTGGCACTGCATGTTCAACATGTTCAAAACATTTCTCACCAGTGAAGGCCTAGGTTAGAATTGATCTTCAGCAATTCAGCAACTAACGGGATTGGGTGGTCAGGATCGCTAACTTGGTTGATGCATGTCATCATATCCCAGTTGCGTAGATCAATGCTCATGATGTCAATCACTGGATTGTCGGGTCCAGACTTGATTGTTTACAGACCACCGCCATATAGCTGGAATATTGCTGAGTGTGGCATTAAACAAGAAACAAACAAACAAAACATTTGTCATCACAATATATCTGTTGGTTAGTTTAGCTGTTTGTTCCAGCCTACACGATGGCCAAGTATGGCATGTCCATGTGTGTGCTGGGGATGGCGGAAGAGTTTAAAGCTGATGGTGTGGCAGTGAATGCGCTGTGGCCAAGAACAGGTATGTGAAGGATTCACCTGTATCAGGGAGCCTGAGACACCTCTGTCATGTCAGGGAGCCCTGTCAGGGATCTGCTGGCCCCACTCCCTGACAGTAACTGCTCGAATGTCATCATCAACGCAAAAGAATCAGTACAGCTTGACGCTTACCTCTCGATATGAAACAGCTTGACGCTTACCTCTCGATATGAAACAGCTTGACACTTACCTCTCGATATGAAACAGCTTGACACTTACCTCTCGATATGAAACAGCTTGAGGCTTACTTCAAGATATGAAACAGCTTGACACTTACCTCTCGATATGAAACAGCTTGACACCTACCTCTCAATATGAAACAGCTTGACACTTACCTCTCGATATGAAACAGCTTGACACTTACCTCTCGATATGAAACAGCTTGAGGCTTACTTCACGATATGAAACAGCTTGACACTTACCTCTCAATATGAAACAGGTTGACACTTACCTCTCGATATGAAACAGCTTGACACTTACCTCTCGATATGAAACAGCTTGACACTTACCTCTTGATATGAAACAGCTTGACACTTACCTCTCGATATGACACAGCTTGACACTTACCTCTCGATATGAAACAGCTTGACACTTACCTCTCGATATGAAACAGCTTGACACTTACCTCTTGATATGAAACAGCTTGACACTTACCTCTCGATATGAAACAGCTTGACACTTACCTCTCGATATGAAACAGCTTGACACTTACCTCTCGATATGAAACAGCTTGACACTTACCTCTTGATATGAAACAGCTTGACACTTACCTCTCGATATGAAACAGCTTGACACTTACGTCTTGATATGAAACAGCTTGACACTTACCTCTCGATATGAAACAGCTTGACACTTACCTCATGATATGAAACAACTTGACATTTATCTACGATATGAAACAACTTGACAATTATCTACGATATGAAACAACTTGACAATTATCTACGATATGAAACAGCTTGAAGCTTACCTCATAATATGAAACAACTTGACACTTATCTACGATATGAAACATCTTGACGCTTACCTCATGATATGAAACAACTTGACAATTATCTACGATATGAAACCGCTTGATGCTTACCTCATGATATGAAACAACTTGACACTTATCCACGATATGAAACATCTTGACGCTTACCTCATGATATGAAACAACTTGACACTTATCTACGATATGAAACAGCTTGATACTTACCTCATAATATGAAACGACTTGACACTTATCTACGATATGATACTTACCTCATTATGATACACTTAATACTTATAGATCATGTTTCCCATGGTGATCATGTTGATACATGTATATCAGACACTTTCGATGTTATTATAAACGCCGAGTCTCGACACCTGTCTGTTGTACTGTAAGGGTGAATGTGTTATGGCAGTGTTAGAAAACCTCAAATTTCATAAAAGCTTGTCCAAAGTATAACAAAGTGACAAATATTAATGAATATATGATTCTTGATGGAGACTGTCTGTCTGTTTGTTTCTCAGATATCAATATGTCATTTCAGCCATCCTGACTGCAGCTATGGAGATGCTGGGTGGGGGAGACGGTGTGGCCACTCAGTGTCGAAAGGCAGACATCATGAGCGATGCCGCATATGTGATGCTGTGCAAAGACAGCAAGTCTTACACCGGCAACTTCGCCATTGACGACGAGGTTCTAGCTGAAGCGGGAGTTAAAGACATCGACCAGTACTCCTGCGTGCCAGGTAACGACAGGGCAGATCTGTCCATACAGCTGTTGTTTGTGCAGTTGTTTGACCTGTTTCTTTTCAATCATTGCTTGTGTCACAACTAGCATGTGTCATCACTGATCAGTAATCAATGTTCAAAATTAATTGTGTTCTTAAGGCTTGCTGCTATTGTATATTTGACCCTCTCAAAATGTTTGGCTTACAACAAGACAAAGACCCTTGATTTCCATGCGTAATCTCTTCCAAAATCACTTAGCTCCTGAGTTGGGTTGGGGGGCACGGGTCGTCTAAGGCTCCACGATTCGCTGTGCAGAGTTGTGTCCCTTGGGCACGCCAGAAACCTATGATTGTGGGTTCGAATCCCTGTTCAGCCCGATTATGTTTCTAGGTTTGTCAGCACCATACCCGTGCTCGTGCTCGAAGTGGTAAACGTCTGAGACTTGTATCACTTCGGGCTTTAACTGGAATACTGTTAAAAGCGGTGTTAAACCCAACTCACTCACTCACTCACTCACTCACTCACTCACTCACTCACTCAGTTGGGTTGTTCCTATGTCCGTGTCAGCTTCCACATTATACGGGGGCCCTTCATGCAGTTCTGTATATCTGAATGTTTCAGGATCCCAGCTGTTGCCGGACTTCTTCCTGGACGGCAAGACCCCGGAGAGCCTGCACGACCAGATGGCCCAGCAGGGACTCAAACCCAAGTTTGCAGCCTCGCCATCAGGGGGCGCTGGCAGCCCCGCCCAAACATTCCAGATGATCGAGTCTATGCTCGGCAAGGACCTGGTTGACAGTGTCAATGGCATCTTCCAGTTCAAACTCACAGGTTCGTACACTAACTAGGGGTGCCACGAATTTACACCTGATCGTATCAGCCTGGGACTTGGCCATGAGTCTGAAGCCCACGTCTAGTTACATGCTGTTTGGTCTCAGACTGTCTGCTATTTTGTAGAATTTTCCTATTTGGAATATTCTATAAGTAATACGTTACCACTGTTATACCGAGGCTGTTGTCTCCCACAACTGCTCTTATAGCGAAATCTACCACAGAGATGTCAATTACCTCATGCAGCACATGCGTAGCCACCTAGCTGCCATGTGACACCCTTCACTCTTGTCTCTTGCGAGAGCAAGTGCTCGGGGGACGGTCGGGTGGACGGGCGGGCATCAGCCAAGTGGTAACGTAGTACTTATAGAATATTCCGAATAGGAAAATTCTACAAATTACATTAAGTAATACGTTACAACTGTTATACCGAGGCTGATTACCACAGTCGGCGGTGGGGAGCGCTACAACCCAAACCTGACTGCTCGTTGTTCCTTTTCCGACCAGCGGAAGTAAACAAGGCGGAAGCACTCGATGCGCATGCTCCCAGCTTGGCGTTACCCTTTAGGAATACCACAGCACTGTCAAGCGCATACCGTAAGGCTCAATCGTCTTTGCCAAACGATTGGTGTTAGGTATTTCATCGCCGCAGCGGATGAGAACACAGTACCCGTGTGAGCTGAATCTTAGATCAGGCTAAACAGTCGTGAAGAGGGATATTTATTTCATCTGGACCGTATATCCCAAGAGCAAGCCTACTTAAAGTATGTGGTAGGCGCGTGACCTAATTCCAGTATTTGTAAGCATGCATTACAAGGTTGGAACACATGATGGACAATTAAATACATAATTGTCAAAAATACAAATAAGGACAAAACACACAAAAAGCCGCCTCACTTGTGGTGTGAGAGTGCTGGTTTGCGGGACCCCCACTCCTGTTACCCATGGCGGTGGGAACATTGGAGTTGACCCAGATTGACCACCGTGCAAAGGTCTGAAGCCTGAGGAGTTCGGAACTGCACTAGGCACACTCCTCAGATGACCGCTTGCGCCGCGATCAGCGGCCCAAGACGGTGCACACCCTCCACGTCTTCATCAGGAACCTTCCTGAGGTAATCATTTGCAAATACCGAGTCAGAACGCCAGTAACAACCTCTCAATATTCTGTGAACAGAGATATTAGAGTGTAGGGCAAATGTTGCCGCTAGCACACGGATCTCGTGCGGGTTTGACCCCGCAACCGGTACCCCTGTGACCGGTACGCCAGATTGATGACAGAACGAAGCCATAACGCAATCAAGTTGCGAGTTATGTCAGCAGTCCGATTAGGGTTACACAATATGAACAGACGGTCACACCCTTGTCTACGTTCATTTGAGGCCTTAAGATAATACTTAAGGGCCCTAACCGGACACAGCGATCTGTCCTCAGTATAAGCAGGATGTAAGATTTCCTTGAGTGATCTTACAGTGAATTCACCGTGGCAAAGGAGAGGAGAAATGCTGTTTTCCAAGTCACATGCAGGAACGAAGCACTACTCAAGGGTTCATACGGAGCCTCCATAAGTGATTGCAACACTAAGGAGAGATCCCAGGCCAGTGCCCGAAGGCGGCCCTTTTTAAGATCTTGCTGCTTGAAACCCTTGATAATACCCCGAATCAACGGCTCTTTTGAGAGACTGGTACCCATAGCAACGTCCCGTACCATAGCAATGGACGAGACATAGTTGGCAATGGAACCCCCATAGAGTTTTCGGGTCTCTCGTAAGTGAGACATGAAACGAGCAACATCCTGCACAGATACCTTATCTGGCGAATGAATGTGATGTTTACTACACCACTTCGTGAAAATAGCCCAGCGTGCATTATACACCTTCTGGGTAGAAACACGATGCATACTAACGTATGCCCGAGACGCCCGACGAGAGAAACCTTTCCTCCTCAGTCGCTCGGTGACAACATCCGAGCGTGCAGATTGAACTGCCCTTGTGTTTGGATGAAGTTGACGGGTGTGAGGGTGGATCAGGAGATCCGGTCTCACAGGCAGTGGAAGTGGCGGCTGCGTGGCCTGGGCCAGCAAGTCGGGGTACCACGATCTGATCGGCCACATGGGTGCAATCAGTAACATTCGACAGCGGACTCCTCGGAGCCGGCTTAGAATGAGTGGTATTAACGCTGTCGGCGGGTAAGCATAAGCGTCCATGCCCGTCCAGTCTAACACGAGTGCATCGTGATCGATGGCCCTCGAGTCCGGGACTAGCGATACAAACAACGGGAGATAACAGGTCGACCATCGCATTCGCACAGCCACTGAAACACTACTGGATTGAGCATCCACTCCGTGGGGCTCGGATCCCGAGGCCTCGACAGAGCGTCTGCCAGTACATTCCGCTCACCGGGGATGTGACAGGCGCGCACCTGGCACGGGATACTGTCCACCAGAGCGTAAAACTCAAACGTGAGATCGAGTAGTGAGTGACTGTGGGTTCCCCCCAGTTTGTTCACATAAGACCCTACCATCGTGTTGTTGGTCGCCAGCATGAGTCGGGCGCGGACTAGACGATGCTTCCAGTGATTGACTGCGTTGATCACTGCCTTGAACTGTAGGCAATTGATGTGAAGGTTCAACTTGGCCTGGAAGGGCCGCATAGAGACTCCTGATAAGACGTTGGAGTTGGAGACGACCCCGTTCGGTGCAGTCTTGGCCTGATACAAGTAGCCCTAAAAGCTGTTCCCAAAAGTGAACAGTCTTTTGCACCGCAAAGACTTTAGCAATCATCGCCTGAATCTTGTGCCACCGATCTGGGGGGACAAAGAGGCGATGGGTCACCGTGTCGAACCGACCTCCGATGAACTTCAAGTTCTGCGAGGGGGTTAACTCGCTCTTGGGGAGATTGACAATCCATCCCAATTGCTCCAAGAGCCGAAGTGCGAAATCGAGTTTTTGCGTGACAGGGAGTCCGTCATTCGATTAGCCACTAGCAAGTCGTCCTGGTACGCGAAGTACCTGATACCCCTCTTGTGGAGGAACCCCACAATGGGGGGGGTTAACTGGGTGAACAGCCAGGGAGCGGACCATAGGCCGAATGGGAGTGCTACCCACTCAATATGCCTGCCTTGAAAGACAAACCTGAGATACTTGTGATGGTCCGAATGAATCGGAACATGCAGATAAGCATCCTTCAGGTCGATCGATGCGAGCCAGTCGGCGGGCATGATCATAGCTTTCAGGTCCGCCAAGGTCAACATTCTGCACTTGGGCGGTTTGTGGAGGTAAAACTCGTTGAACGATTTCAGGTTGTGAATCATTCTGAGTTCGGCACTGTCCTTCTTGGGAACGAGAAATATCCTGGAGTAAAACCCCGGTGTTATTTCCGGTAGGGATAACTCCCGTACCATCCTCTTCTCCACCAACCTGCCGATGGCATCGGCGAGGATGGGAAGATCGACTTCCGAATAGAAACCTTCCAACGGGGCGACGGTGAGCGGCGGATCCGCCTTGAGATCTAGCCGATAGCCGTACCAGATCGTGTTGACCACCCAGGGGTCGTCGAACACTTGTTCCCAATTCTCCCAGTAAGTCTGGAGTCTGGCTTCTACCGGGGAAGGAAAGGGAGACCTGACAGGCTGCGGCAGGCACAACTGTCCAGGGCCCAGTGACTCGGGTTCACCTATGGGCCAACCGAAGTTGACGCTGTCGGCATATGAACCCCTCCAGTGAGAGTCACCTGGAGGAGCCCTTGCCGCCCTTAGACGGTTTGGGCTTCCCCCCAGTGTTCCTTCTTCCCACGAAAGGGCAGCAGATTGCCCTTACCGGCGCCCTCAGGGCGGGGCTTCTTCCCAGAGGAAGAAGGACCCGACCCCTTGGACTTTTCGGCCGCAGCATCCTAGGGGGCACTCCACTTAGGACGTGGGCCTCCGCGGTGGGACCGGCAAGGGAAGGCAAGGTCATGCACCTGGAATAAACCCTTTCTCCATGACGGCGGAGGCAACAGGAGTCCCCGATTCGGAGGCCGCCGCAAAGGCTTTCTCCAGGGAAGGCTTAATACCGCGCAACAAGGTTGAAGCGGGGAAAGCCTTGTTGGACGACTCCTCGTAGCCCTCGGCAGAACCCACGGAGCCGTGGATTCCCCGCGGTAACGGCAGGGGCTTAGGCATGTCCTCAAAGAGGTCATAAACCATAGCCACGAGGTCCTTAACTGATAGTGGAGCCAATGGTTCGGGGGAAGGACCGGTGACCATGGGAGCCCCCGTCACACCGAAAGACCCCGCGTCCAAACCCCCGGCCACCGAAGAGGCCGGGGACGGAACAGCCAGCGGCCTATCCTGGATAAGGATCCTGGATAAGCTCGGAGTCAACGAGTTGCGAAAGCAACGCGGTAACGGAGTCCTTGGTCAGCCCAAGGGCCGCCAGGGAAGTGGTACCCGCAAGGGGACCCCGACCGGACGAGCCGGCCACCACAGGGGTGGAGACGTAGAGCCTGTAGCACTCGAACGCCCCAGGCCCCAGACCGTCGCACAGGGTGCACCGGGATTCCCCGCAAGGAACCCTGCACCGCGGGCAACGATCGTGGGATATCCCGGGACGATAGAAACTAGCGGCACACCGTGCAACTCCTGGTTGCGGGAGTGGAGGGGGTGGTGCACAGCGAAGTGTCCATGTCAGACATTGTTTAAGCTACATTTTCACAAGAAAATAAACGAGTAATGCGAATATAGAACATACAAATATTTTAGCGTTAGAGAAATAGGTGGTGTAAAAAAACAAAAACATATTATAACAGGGGAACGTAAGACGCAACGTGCAGACGAAACACCCCGTAAGTATATAGAGAAAAGGGCGGGAACAATATTTCCGAGCATAATTAAAGCAAACGCCCTCAATAGATACAGTTTATATGCAAGTATTATAAACCTCTAGTGATGTCACTCTATTGTCTCGCCAGGGTCTTCTTTTACCGACTAAACCTCTACTGGTAGTTTACCGGGCATTCCCAGGGTAAGCCCCGGGCATTCCTAGGGTAAGCCCCGGGCTTTCTGCAAGAAATCCCGGGAGATTTTCTTCTGAAAGCCTGGTTTTTGTCCCGAAAAATACCCTCTGTATTGAATTACCTTTCTGCATGAAAAAAAACCAACAGAACATGGCTCAACTATTTATTGATATGAGATGAAATTGAAATTGAGCGTCACAGTTCGATTTAGTTTGTCTTCAGGTCATGGGTCATCTGCTCTTTTTGGATCAGCTTCTTCATGTGATGGCGAGTTCATTTTTTTCAAAATACTAAGTATGTCAGAGACCGTTGCCTTTTGGTTGTTAGAAGTTCTCTTGTAATTTCGAACGGCGTCGCTCCGATGTTCTGAAACAAATTGTTCAGATTACTGAAAGTATTACACATACAGCATACAAATACACTTAAAAACTATTACAGATTCCAAAAACACCAATATTACCATATATATCATAAATAAAAAAGAGCATCTTACTGGTTTGGAAAAAATATTTCTTTGATATGTTATGACTTTTGCTGAATAACAATTTCTTATTACTGCAGGACTAAAATGCTTATCAACCTACCGGTAATTTCGCAAATCATTTGTTCATCAACGTCACCTTGATACAATCGAGTGGCTGCCGTGGCTCTCAAGGAATGGTTTATCTTCATGCCCTCAATACCGGACGTCTTGCACAGTCTTTTGACGGTAACTTGTAAGGTTATTTCACGCTCGGAGAGTGGATCTCCTAAACGGAATTCAAAGTCATCACTTTCCTTGTCTTCTTCAGCACAGGATGCCGATTCTTTAAAAACTGACTGCGTCAGAAATATATCGTTGTCTGCGTCCATCCTCTTCAGTGGAATTCATTCGACTGGCTTGAACCACGTGCGCTCATTGTTACAACGGGCCTGAAGCACGTGCGTCACGTGCAGCGCGCGGATGTACTCCCCGCATATTGCAGTTAAACTCTCAACAGTAAATATCAATGAAGTCATGTTAATACCAATTAGTAAAATTATTTCTAAATCATATTATTTGATCAGTTCATAAGTGAGATCAAAAACTTGCCCTCGGTTTTGATCCTACACATAAACAGTTATAAATATCACCAAAGGATGAAGAAACAGGAACGCTTCCGAGCAGTCTTGTACGTCTTGCTAAGGCAAGCGAAGAGACAAGAGTGAAGGGTGTCACATGGCAGCTCAGGTGGCTACGCACTTGCTGCATGAGGTAATTGACATCTCTGTGGTAGATATCGCTATAAGAGCAGTTGTGGGAGACAACAGCCTCGGTATAACAGTGGTAACATATTACTTTATGTGATAGTAGTGTGTGTAATAACACTGTGATCTACTGACAATAACGCCTCCGGCCCCTTGTGTTTGTGTTGTCATAAGGTAAGCAGTGAATTCAGTAAGGAGTAATGCAGGATAAGTGTACAAATGTAAAAAATATTTACATTTAACTAATTTTGGAATGTCTTGCAGAATATGACTTGATAACTTCTTGGACTAGCTTCATCTTATCACCTGTCACAAAACAAGTTACATCTGATTGTATGATACAGTTAGACCCAGGGTCCATTATCCAGTCATGTGAGTTACTCTTGGTGCTGGCAACAATCTTGCCGGCCACTTACAACATGAAAAAACATTAAGTGTCTTGACGCCTGCATCTTGGGACTTTGATCACAGCGATGTGTGACGAGGACAGTGGTGTGTAGATGCTGGAGTGAAGGGTTGACTTTTTACTCTCAATAGGGCTTTCTGTCACATTTCCTTTCAACCACAGTGTGCCCAGTCTCATTAAATCATCTGTAACCAAAGATCTGACGAGATCCCATTACGGGTAACGAACAATTCATGCGACATTCATGTGCCCAATCAGAGCGTCACTTACCAGATCAAGAAAGTGACAGTCACAATGTTCTCATGTCATGCAACCTCGAAAAGGTAAACTCTGGGTATTCTGAGTGACAGTTATGGGCTGTACGACAGATTCCGCCAAATCATCGTCTATCTCCCATTTTAATGGGATTAACGTTTGAAATGGAAGAGACTTTCCCTAGCCCGTGGGAAGTACTGCTGTACAATCTCAAGCATCAATTAGGCATTCCACAATTTTCTTTGGTTCAGTTTTCAGTTTGAATCGTGAACTTTGTCAAAATATTTTTCAAATCGTCATCAATTTGATTGGTTGAAGAAAGACGGCATAAGGTGACGTGACTTATTATGGGATGTCCTCAGATCTTTGTTTAGCCGTGGTGAGAAAGAGGATCATATTTTAATGGCATTGCTGTATGGCTCATTGTGGTGAACTTTGACCTTTCCTCCTATATGATGAACGTGACACACCATATAACTGAAATACGTAACAATTGACCTCAATTCATAACTATGCAAAAACATCACATGAAACTTCCCAGGCTTCACATTTAACCACGAACACAAAACAATATACATGTAATCATTGACATTGTTCAGTGCAGTAATGCAGCACATGCCCTCTCCATTCCATTATCAGCCAGTCAGGAAACAGCAGTGGTCTGTTTGGTGGAGGGTGTGTTTAGGGAAACACAAATTGCTTGGTTAGCTAATCAAATGGCACAGAACCACTTGCAGTTTATTCATTAACCTTTCAACACTTCACCACTGACTATGACTGACCTTTGCAGGAGCCCATGAAGGCAGCTGGTACCTCGACCTGAAGACGGGGGAGGGGTCTGTGGGGGAGGGGGAGGCTCCGGACGGCTCCCAGTGCACCATGACGCTGGACAGTGACGACTTCAACAAGATGTTTGTAGGCCAGCTGAACGCCACCAACGCCTTCATGTCCGGCAAGCTGAAGATCAAGGGAGACATGGGCATGGCCATGAAGCTGGAGAAACTCATGAGTAGAACACGGGCCAAGTTGTGACATGTCGGTACAGTGTACTAGTGACATGTCGGTACAGTGTACAAGAATGACGTCCATACAGTGTACTAGAGTTACGTGACATTATCTATACGTGATTAGTGGAACTGTGAGCAAAAACAAGGCAGTGAAATTTTGATTGAGAAATGTCAGTGTAAATACGAGTGAGTGAGAATGGTGAACATGGCGTTGTCTGCTTCAGTTGACAGAGTCAGGTTCTTGTATCAGGCTCCTCATTGTGGCTGTTATGTGTCAAGCTTGTTTCACGGAGTATTGTAACCTGCAGTGTTTGTATGAACCACAGCATGCTGTGGTCAGGGAATCGGCCAGGACTTCTACGATCAATTTGCAAATTGTATTTATTTTTATACTGTTTCAAGTACATGTAATTTGTAATAAAGTTACTGTTACTGTCTGTGTTCTGCTGTCTCAGGAGTCCTTTTTGTTTAATTGTGAAGTGTGAGAGCCGGTTCTCATGTGACGTTGTATTCAGAAGTCAGAAGTCCATGTACTATTTGCTTGGCTGTGTTCTGTGTTGCCAACATGGACAGTTGGATCTTTGAGTGTAGTGTTGCCTCCTCTGAAGTGTTGGAGTAAGTTGGTTGGTTCTGTGTGTACTGAAAACTGGCAGTGAGTGAACTGGGTTATCACTGCTTTGGTTTGTTTGTTCAACACTGCACTCAGCAATAGTCCAGCTATATGACGGCGGTCTATAAATAATCAAGTCTGACCAGACAATCCTGTGATTGACCTCATGAGCACTGACCTACCCAATTGGGATACGATGACGTGCATCAACCAGGTCAGCGAGTCTCACCTCCCGATCCAGTTAGTTGCCTCCTATGACAAGCATGGGTTGCTGAAGACTATTGTATCCCAGATGTACACAGGGGGTCGCTGGTTATAAGTGTTTGGGTTGTGTCAGCTAATTGTGGAGGGAGAGTTCAGATTACTTTGTGAAACCCATGAATCATGATCAGGGCTGAATCCAAGATCATCGGATTCTGTCACAAATAAGGGATACAACTCTGCATTGTGAATTAAAGCACCAAGCCCCCTAAAAAATTGTACAAATAACAGACATCCAAATACTTACAAATATATAATATTTTATTTCAAAAACTTGGAAAAGAAACAACAGATTGTAACAATATAAAACCTTTCGCTACCAAAACTTAGTAGAGATTTTCTTCCTGTAGAGCAGCATGACGAGGCCTGAGAGTACGAGCATGTAGCCAGTGATGATGGTGATGGCCAGTGAGGGAGGGGCGTACAGTGTCTGGAGGGACATGTTGACCAGCCCGGTCAGTAGGTTGGCGACCAGGAAGTACAGCAGACTGTTGTAGTTGATGGCCGACAGAAGACACGTGGTACTCAGATCCTCCGGGAACGTCTTGTTCTCATGTCCATCTGGAATGTTGCAGCAATCAGGATTATCAAATCTGTCTAAATGTTTTAAACTTTTGCAAGTGCCCTCTGAAATTATCTGGAAGAAAACAACTGACATCTGGGAGAGGATACCCGGGTCCATCGTCAATACTACACCGTCTACTACACAACATTCCCCCATCATCCGTGAATACTTATGGCCATACGGATGTGGAAAATCAATGCCCATCTTGTCCAAAGAAAAATCTTAAAATTATACATCACACATTGCAGCCACCTGATCCTCAGTTGTTACAGGTTACACGTAGACACTCGGTCCGCAGTCAATTATTACAGGTCACACGTAGACACTCGGTCCGCTGTCAGTTCTTGTAGGTCACACATAGACACACGGTCCACAGTCAGTTCTTGTAGGTCACACATAGACACACGGTCCACAGTCAGTTCTTGTAGGTCACACGTAGACACACGGTCCACAGTCAGTTCTTGTAGGTCACATGTAAACACGGTCCGCAGTCAGTTCTTGCAAGTCACACGTAGACACACGGTCCACAGTCTGTTCTTGTAGGTCACATGTAGACACACGGTCCACAGTCAGTTCTTGTAGGTCAAACGTAGACACACGGTCCACAGTCAGTTCTTGTAGGTCACATGTAGACACTCAGCCCGCAGTCAGTTCTTGTAGGTCACATGTAGACACGGTCCGCAGTCAGTTCTTGCAAGTCACACGTAGACACACGGTCCACAGTCTGTTCTTGTAGGTCACACGTAGACACGGTCCACAGTCAATTCTTACAGGTCACACATAGACACACGGTCCACAGTCAATTCTTACAGGTCACACATAGACACACGGTCCACAGTCAGTTCTTACAGGTCACACATAGACACACGGTCCGCTGTCAGTTCTTACAAGTCCATGTAGACACTCGGTCCGCAGTCAGTTCTTACAAGTCACACGTAGACACACGGTCCGCAGTCAGTTCTTACAAGTCACACGTAGACACACGGTCCGCAGTCAGTTCTTGTAGGTCACACATAGACACTCGGTCCGCAGTCAGTTATTACAAGTCCATGTAGACACTCGGTCCGCAGTCAGTTCTTACAAGTCACACGTAGACACTCGGTCCACAGTCAATTCTTACAGGTCACACATAGACACACGGTCCACAGTCAGTTCTTACAGGTCACACATAGACACACGGTCCGCTGTCAGTTCTTGTAGGTCACACGTAGACACACGGTCCGCAGTCAGTTCTTACAAGTCACACGTAGACACACGGTCCGCAGTCAGTTCTTACAAGTCACACATAGACACACAGTCCGCAGTCAGTTCTTTCAAGTCCATGTAGACACTCGGTCCGCAGTCAGTTCTTACAAGTCACACGTAGACACACGGTCCGCAGTCAGTTCTTACAAGTCACACGTAGACACACGGTCCGCAGTCAGTTCTTACAAGTCGCACGTAGACACACGGTCCGCAGTCAGTTCTTGTAGGTCACACATAGACACTCGGTCCGCAGTCAGTTATTACAAGTCCATGTAGACACTCGGTCCGCAGTCAGTTCTTAAAAGTCACACGTAGACACACGGTCCACAGTCTGTTCTTGTAGGTCACACGTAGACACACGGTCCACAGTCAATTCTTACAGGTCACACATAGACACACGGTCCACAGTCAATTCTTACAAGTCACACGTAGACACACGGTCCACAGTCAATTCTTACAGGTCACACATAGACACACGGTCCACAGTCAATTCTTACAAGTCACACATAGACACACGGTCCACAGTCAGTTCTTACAAGTCACACGTAGACACACGGTCCGCAGTCAGTTCTTACAAGTCACACGTAGACACTCGGTCCGCAGTCAGTTCTTACAAGTCACACGTAGACACACGGTCCGCAGTCAGTTCTTACAAGTCACACGTAGACACTCGGTCCGCAGTCAGTTCTTACAAGTCACACGTAGACACACGGTCCGCAGTCAGTTATTATGGGTCACATGTAGACACACGGTCCACAGTCAGTTCTTGTAGGTCACATGTAGACACTCGGTCCGCAGTCAGTTCGTACAAGTCGCACGTAGACACACAGTCCACAGTCAATTTTTATAGGTCACACATAGACACACGGTCCACAATCAATTCTTACAAGTCACACGTAGACACACGGTCCACAGTCAGTTCTTACAAGTCACATGTAGACACACGGTCCACAGTCAGTTCTTGTAGGTCACACGTAGACACTCGGTCCGCGGTCAGTTCGTACAAGTCGCACGTAGACACACAGTCCACAGTCAACTCTTATAGGTCACACATAGACACACGGTCCACAGTCAATTCGTACAAGTCACACGTAGACACTCGGTCCACAGTCTGTTCTTGTAGGTCACACGTAGACACACGGTCCACAGTCAGTACTTGTAGGTCACACGTAGACACACGGTCCACAGTCAATTCGTACAAGTCACACGTAGACACACGGTCTACAGTCAGTTCTTACAAGTCACACATAGACACACGGTCCACAGTCAATTCTTATAGGTCACACGTAGACACGGTCCACAGTCAGTTCTTACAGGTCACACGTAGACACACGGTCCACAGTCAATTCTTACAGGTCACACATAGACACACGGTCCACAGTCAATTCTTACAAGTCACACATAGACACACGGTCCACAGTCAGTTCTTACAGGTCACACATAGACACACGGTCCACAGTCAATTCTTACAGGTCACACATAGACACACGGTCCACAGTCAGTTCTTACAGGTCACACATAGACACACACGGTCCACAGTCAATTCTTACAGGTCACACATAGACACATGGTCCACAGTCTGTTCTTGTAGGTCACACATAGACACACACGGTCCACAGTCAATTCTTACAGGTCACACATAGACACACGGTCCACAGTCAATTCTTACAAGTCACACATAGACACACGGTCCACAGTCAATTCTTACAGGTCACACATAGACACACACGGTCCACAGTCAATTCTTACAGGTCACACATAGACACACGGTCCACAGTCAGTTCTTACAGGTCACACATAGACACACGGTCCACAGTCAGTTCTTACAGGTCACACATAGACACACGGTCCACAGTCAATTCTTACAGGTCACACATAGACACACGGTCCACAGTCAGTTCTTACAGGTCACACATAGACACACGGTCCACAGTCAGTTCTTACAGGTCACACATAGACACACGGTCCACAGTCAATTCTTACAGGTCACACATAGACACATGGTCCACAGTCTGTTCTTGTAGGTCACACATAGACACACACGGTCCACAGTCAATTCTTACAGGTCACACATAGACACACGGTCCACAGTCAATTCTAACAGGTCACACATAAAGAACTGACAGTGGACCGAGTGTGAGATAACACAATGTCCTCACTCAATCCACAGTCAGATCTTACAGGTTACATGTTACAGCCTACAGAAGGCTACAGTTTCCACGTTAAAGTATTTGAACACCTGACTGAATTAAGGAGTAGAAAGAAGGCCTTCACCTCTCGGACACAAGGACTGGGCACAGGTCACAGCGATGTCTCCAGCCAAGTTGACCGTCAGCAGCAGGAAGGACAGCGCAACCTGAAATGTGTCACCGAAGCATTAATGAAAGACAACACCTGGGACATCAACACCTGGGACATCAACACCTGGGACATCAACACCTGGGACATCAACACCTGGGACATCAACACCTGGGACATCACACCTGGGACATCACACCAGGGACATCACACCTGGGACATCACGCCTGGGACATCACACCTGGGACATCAACACCTGGGACATCAACACCTGGGACATCACACCTGGGACATCACACCAGGGACATCACACCTGGGACATCACACCAGGGACATCACACCTGGGACATCACACCTGGGACATCACACCAGGGACATCAACACCTGGGACATCAACACCTGGGACATGAACACCTGGGACATCACACCTGGGACATCAACACCTGGGACATTACACCTGGGACATCAACACCTGGGACATCACACCTGGGACATCACACCTGGGACATCACACCTGGGACATCACACCTGGGACATCACACCAGGGACATCACACCTGGGACATCACACCTGGGACATCACACGTGGGACATCAACACCTGGGACATCACACCAGGGACATCACACCTGGGACATCAACACCATGGACATCACACCTGGGACATCACACCTGGGACATCAACACCTGGGACATCACACCAGGGACATCACACCTGGGACATCACAACAGGGACATCAACACCATGGGCATCAAAACAGAGGAGCACAGCAGTAGACATGTCATTACTCATGATTATATCTAGATATCTGTCCATGGTGTAGGAAGAATGCCAACACTTATGATGACGCTTATTCACGAAGTCAAGAGCAACTTTTAACTAGAACATGTTTGCAAAAACAGAAGCAGCCCATTGCTGCCATTTCTAGTCCCTCCTCACATACCAACATTTCCAGCGTCATACCCTTGCCCTTGGTATGGTGGAATATGTCGGCTACAACCGCGAGTGAGTGAGGGAGGGGGTAGGAGTTGGGTTTAACGCCGCTTTGGAGAGTATATCAGCTTCATGTGGGAGGCCTGAAATGATGCAGGTCTCAGAAGATGGTGCTGACAGACCTAGAAACAATCGGGGTAAACTGGGACTTAAACCCACGATCATAGGTTTCTGGCATGCTTAAGGGATGCAATGCTGCATTTCGAATTGTGGCATCTTAACAATGGGGCACCTATGCCACCTCATATTAAGGGCACTTCTGATGACATCACTTCCGGTTCGGGAAAATGCATGCCATATGAACATTCCAAAGGACTAGCCTCCATATAAACCAAATATGATGTCCCTTGCTGGAATTCAATGTAACAAAAAATAGCATATACATCTCATTGATTGTTTGTTTTGTTGGTTTGTTGTTTAACGCCGCACTCAGCAATAGTCCAGCTATATGATGACAGTCTGTAAATTATCGAGTCTGGACCAGACAATCCAGTGATTGATATCACGAGCATCGATCCACGCAATTGGGATACAATGAAATGCATCGACCAAGTCAGCGAGTCTGACCCCCCGAGTCGCCTCTTACAACAAGCATAGTCTTTAACAGCAAGCATGAGTTGCTGAAGGCCTATTCTAACCCGGACCTTCACGTCAAGCATGGGTTGCTGAAGGCCTATTCTAACCCGGATCTTCACGGCAAGCATGGGTTGCTGAAGGCCTATTCTAACCCGGATCTTCACGGCAAGCATGGGTTGCTGAAGGCCTATTCTAACCCGGACCTTCACGGCAAGCATGGGTTGCTGAAGGCCTATTCTAACCCGGATCTTCACGGCATCATGGGTTGCTGAAGGCCTATTCTAACCTGGACCTTCACGGCAAGCATGGGTTGCTGAAGGCCTATTCTAACCCGGACCTTCACGGCAAGCATGGATTGCTGAAGGCCTATTCTAACCCGGATCTTCACGGCAAGCATGGGTTGCTGAAGGCCTATTCTAACCCGGATCTTCACGGCAAGCATGGGTTGCTGAAGGCCTATTCTAACCCGGACCTTCACGGCAAGCATGGGTTGCTGAAGGCCTATTCTAACCCGGACCTTCACGGCAAGCATGGGTTGCTGAAGGCCTATTCTAACCCGGACCTTCACGGCAAGCATGGGTTGCTGAAGGCCTATTCTAACCCGGATCTTCACGGCAAGCATGGGTTGCTGAAGGCCTATTCTAACCCGGACCTTCACGGCAAGCATGGGTTGCTGAAGGCCTATTCTAACCCGGATCTTCACGGCAAGCATGGGTTGCTGAAGGCCTATTCTAACCCGGACCTTCACGGCAAGCATGGGTTGCTGAAGGCCTATTCTAACCCGGACCTTCACGGCAAGCATGGGTTGCTGAAGGCCTATTCTAACCCGGACCTTTATGGCAAGCATGGGTTGCTGAAGGCCTATTCTAACCCGGACCTTCACGGCAAGCATGGGTTGCTGAAGGCCTATTCTAACCCGGACCTTCACGGCAAGCATGGGTTGCTGAAGGCCTATTCTAACCCGGACCTTCACGGCAAGCATGGGTTGCTGAAGGCCTATTCTAACCCGGACCTTTACGGCAAGCATGGGTTGCTGAAGGCCTATTCTAACCTGGACCTTCACAGCAAGCATGGGTTGCTGAAGGCCTATTCTAACCCGGACCTTTACGGCAAGCATTGGTTGCTGAAGGCCTATTCTTACCCGGACCTTCACGGCAAGCATGGGTTGCTGAAGGCCTATTCTAACCCGGACCTTCACGGCAAGCATGGGTTGCTGAAGGCCTATTCTAACCCGGACCTTCACGGCAAGCATGGGTTGCTGAAGGCCTATTCTAACCTGGACCTTTACGGCAAGCATGGGTTGCTGAAGGCCTATTCTAACCCGGACCTTCACGGCAAGCATGGGTTGCTGAAGGCCTATTCTAACCCGGACCTTCACGGCAAGCATGGGTTGCTGAAGGCCTATTCTAACCCGGACCTTCACGGCAAGCATGGGTTGCTGAAGGCCTATTCTAACCCGGACCTTTATGGCAAGCATGGGTTGCTGAAGGCCTATTCTAACCCGGACCTTCACAGCAAGCATGGGTTGCTGAAGGCCTATTCTAACCCGGACCTTCACGGCAAGCATGGGTTGCTGAAGGCCTATTCTAACCCGGACCTTCACGGCAAGCATGGGTTGCTGAAGGCCTATTCTAACCCGGACCTTCACGGCAAGCATGGGTTGCTGAAGGCCTATTCTAACCTGGACCTTTACGGCAAGCATGGGTTGCTGAAGGCCTATTCTAACCCGGACCTTCACGGCAAGCATGGGTTGCTGAAGGCCTATTCTAACCCGGACCTTCACGGCAAGCATGGGTTGCTGAAGGCCTATTCTAACCCGGACCTTCACGGCAAGCATGGGTTGCTGAAGGCCTATTCTAACCCGGACCTTTATGGCAAGCATGGGTTGCTGAAGGCCTATTCTAACCCGGACCTTCACAGCAAGCATGGGTTGCTGAAGGCCTATTCTAACCCGGACCTTCACGGCAAGCATGGGTTGCTGAAGGCCTATTCTAACCCGGACCTTTATGGCAAGCATGGGTTGCTGAAGGCCTATTCTAACCCGGACCTTCACGGCAAGCATGGGTTGCTGAAGGCCTATTCTAACCCGGACCTTCACGGCAAGCATGGGTTGCTGAAGGCCTATTCTAACCCGGACCTTCACGGCAAGCATGGGTTGCTGAAGGCCTATTCTAACCTGGACCTTTACGGCAAGCATGGGTTGCTGAAGGCCTATTCTAACCCGGACCTTCACGGCAAGCATGGGTTGCTGAAGGCCTATTCTAACCCGGACCTTCACGGCAAGCATGGGTTGCTGAAGGCCTATTCTAACCCGGACCTTCACGGCAAGCATGGGTTGCTGAAGGCCTATTCTAACCCGGACCTTTATGGCAAGCATGGGTTGCTGAAGGCCTATTCTAACCCGGACCTTCACAGCAAGCATGGGTTGCTGAAGGCCTATTCTAACCCGGACCTTCACGGCAAGCATGGGTTGCTGAAGGCCTATTCTAACCCGGACCTTTATGGCAAGCATGGGTTGCTGAAGGCCTATTCTAACCCGGACCTTCACGGCAAGCATGGGTTGCTGAAGGCCTATTCTAACCTGGACCTTTACGGCAAGCATGGGTTGCTGAAGGCCTATTCTAACCCGGACCTTCACGGCAAGCATGGGTTGCTGAAGGCCTATTCTAACCCGGACCTTCACGGCAAGCATGGGTTGCTGAAGGCCTATTCTAACCCGGACCTTCACGGCAAGCATGGGTTGCTGAAGGCCTATTCTAACCCGGACCTTTATGGCAAGCATGGGTTGCTGAAGGCCTATTCTAACCCGGACCTTCACGGCAAGCATGGGTTGCTGAAGGCCTATTCTAACCCGGACCTTTATGGCAAGCATGGGTTGCTGAAGGCCTATTCTAACCCGGATCTTCAGGGATCTGCAGCTCATTGAAACTAAGACAAAGTGACCTGCCGCACTTATCATAGATTGTCATCACTTGCCATACATAAGATTCTAATGATGTAACCACTACATGTATATGACTTTAAAAATATCTGTAGAAAAGGCATTTCAGTGAAAATGGCAAACATACTATTACCTTCACTGTGACCTTGACCTTATACGTAGGTCACTCACAACCTTTTCAGATGGTGGCCACACCTCAATATTGACCTACACATGTACCAAGTTTCATGGACATTAGGTAATTGATTCTTGGACTTTTCTTCAGGCAATGACCTTGAAGGTGACCTTGAACTTTTACATGACGGGTCAATGTGTCAAATAAACTCACATGACCATAAAGAGTGAGTGAGTGATTTGGGTTTAACGCCGCATTTAACAATATTCCAGTAATATCGTGGTGTGTCAGCTTAATGTGGGAGGAAAGCCCGCAGTGATGCAGGTCTCAGACGTTTCCCACTTCGGTGAAACCGAGGAGCACGGGTATGGTGCTTACAAAACATAGAAACATAATCGGGGCGAACCGGGATTCGAACCCACAATCATAGGTTTCTGGCGTGCCCAAAGGATGCAACTCTGCACAGCGAATCGAGGCGCCTTAGACAACTGGGCCACCCGTGCCCCCAACTATAAAGAAGATACATATGACATGATATCGGTGGGTGTCCAAGCTCCTCGTAGTTTCAAGAACTAAATGAGGCGGCAGTGTCAGTCAAATTCAGACAAAACCTTATGCATCCCAATTTACACTCCTGGATATCGGAGCAGCAGTCCCGTAGCCTAGTGGTTAAAGTGTTTGCTCTTCACGCCAAAGACCCGCGTTTGATTCTCGACATGGGTACAGTGTGTGAAGCCCATTTCTGGTGTCCCCTGCCGTGATATTGCTGGAATATTGCTAAGAGCGGCATAAAACCACACTCATTCACTCACTGGAGATTAGAAATGTGTTTGCTGAGGGCTGTCTCATATCATTGTCTCAAGCTTCTGGAGATGGTGGACATACCAAGCATGTATGAAAGTTTATTAATCTAAGGAATAAAGATTATCATCAACAAAAACAGTAAATGCTACAATTAAGAAATATTTCAATTTGATTGTCATTAGTAAATCAATCATATCAAATAACTGTACTAAATTGATCAAAGAAGCACTTAAAAAAAAAAGTCAGTTTGAAAGAATAATGAATTCATACCATTAGTATTAGACTTTTACTAATACAAACGCATGTAAAGACATGTAGAGAAGTGAACACTATGACAGTGACAACAAGGAATGTATGTACAAGTACATGTAGAGAAGTGAACACTATGACAGTGACAACAAGGAATGTATGTACAAGTACATGTAGAGAAGTGAACACTATGACAGTGACAACAAGGAATGTATGTACAAGTACATGTAGAGAAGTGAACACTATGACAGTGACAACAAGGAATGTATGTACAAGTACATGTAGAGAAGTGAACACTATGACAGTGACAACAAGGAATGTATGTACAAGTACATGTAGAAATGTATTAAACAGATAATTATTTAAAAGGCTAATTTTTCTCAAGTACATATCTTAATATCATATTTATTTTATTTTTTTCCTATTAAAGTGCTAATTAACTGTCAAATATGAATTTCTCTTGAGAAATTAAATCGTATCTTATCTTATCCCTCTCCTCTTGTATAATTTGTTTGTTTGTTGACATAATGAATGCTGCTTTACATACATGGACCACTGACCTCAATACTGGACACAACTAGTGGGGGGGTTGGGGTGGGGGGGTGGGGTGAGGTGGGGTGGGGTGGGGTGGGGTTGTTTTAAGAAAGAGTAAATGGCAGTGACAGTACATCATTCAAGAAATGCTCACCGTCCATATACAAAAAGGTCCATTTGCCAGTCTGCGTGAGACAGGCTCCACAGTGTTGCTGACTATCCCCAGGACTATCCATGAGAGTAGTGACATGCTGACGAACACACACAGAACCAGCATCCAGTCCCGCACACGCCGTCTGGAATTTGAATTTGTAAATCATCATGTCTAGTGATGCTTTATCGTAAATTTCATGTTTCAATGGACCAACACAAGCACATAAACTCCTATTGCCGCCATGACCATGACACGAGATTCGCAGTAAAGCAGTGTGCGTGTAGAGGAAAGTAACTGTGAGCTATAATTTATCGCATTGTTTTTAATTTAAATATTGTAGCATTTTCCTCCTTGGGTCCCATGGTCAAGATGGGGAATATCTAAGGAGTGTTTTTTAAATGGAAATAAAAACGGAACTTTATGGCAGACTTTATGATGAGGTGGGCGGTGCCTAATAACCAAGACTATTATTTTCTTTAGCCGTATGTGTCACCAGTTAAACACAAGGGCCGACCCCTAGTCTAAAAAAGATACGGTTATACAATGATATTGTTACTTGACAAGGTTGCCAAGAAAATGGTTGTCAACAGCCTATCGGTTTAATTGGTTTGCAACCTGTGTAAATAAACTGATCACACTTGACACGTACTTCGTGAGAAACACAAAATCCAGAACACAACTACATTGTATATTGAGAGCATGTCTTGCACAAACTGTATTGTGTGAATTCCTCTCTGCCTCTGTCAACTTGTGTTACTTGAGTAGGTAACTTCAGACACGGTGACTCCTCTACAGTTCAGATTGTATCGTTGGGTGTTGTTCTGGACACAGTGACTCCTCTACAGTTCAGATTGTGCCGTGGGGTGTTGTTCTGGACACGGTGACTCCTCTACAGTTCAGATTGTACCGTGGGGTGTTGTTCTGGACACGGTGACTCCTCTACAGTTCAGATTGTACCGTGGGGTGTTGTTCTGGAAACAGTGACTCCTCTACAGTTCAGATTGTGCCGTGGGGTGTTGTTCTGGACACGGTGACTCCTCTACAGTTCAGATTGTACTGTGGGGTGTTGTTCTGGACACGGTGACTCCTCTACAGTTCAGATTGTACCGTGGGGTGTTGTTCTGGACACGGTGACTCCTCTACAGTTCAGATTGTACCGTGGGGTGTTGTTCTAGACATGCTGACTCCTCTACAGTTCAGATTGTATCGTTGGGTGTTGTTCTGGAAACAGTGACTCCTCTACAGTTCAGATTGTGCCGTGGGGTGTTGTTCTGGACACGGTGACTCCTCTACAGTTGAGATTGTACCGTGGGGTGTTGTTCTGGACACCATGACTCCTCTACAGTTCAGATTGTACCGTGGGGTGTTGTTCTGGAAACAGTGATTCCTCTACAGTTCAGATTGTACCGTGGGGTGTTGTTCTGGACACAGTGACTCCTCTACAGTTGAGATTGTACCGTGGGGTGTTGTTCTGGACACGGTGACTCCTCTACAGTTCAGATTGTACCGTGGGGTGTTGTTCTGGACACGGTGACTCCTCTACAGTTCAGATTGTATTGTTGGGTGTTGTTCTGGACACGGTGACTCCTCTACAGTTCAGATTGTACCGTGGGGTGTTGTTCTGGACACGGTGACTCCTCTACAGTTCAGATTGTATTGTTGGGTGTTGTTCTGGACACGGTGACTCCTCTACAGTTCAGATTGTACCGTGGGGTGTTGTTCTAGACATGCTGACTCCTCTACAGTTCAGATTGTATTGTTGGGTGTTGTTCTGGAAACAGTGACTCCTCTACAGTTCAGATTGTACCGTGGGGTGTTGTTCTGGACACGGTGACTCCTCTACAGTTCAGATTGTACCGTGGGGTGTTGTTCTAGACATGGTGACTCCTCTACAGTTCAGATTGTACCGTGGGGTGTTGTTCTGGACACGGTGACTCCTCTACAGTTGAGATTGTACCGTGGGGTGTTGTTCTGGACATGGTGACTCCTCTACAGTTCAGATTGTATTGTTGGGTGTTGTTCTGGACACGGTGACTCCTCTACAGTTCAGATTGTACCGTGGGGTGTTGTTCTAGACACGGTGACTCCTCTACAGTTCAGATTGTACCGTGGGGTGTTGTTCTAGACATGCTGACTCCTCCACAGTTCAGATTGTACCGTAGGGTGTTGTTCTGGACATGGTGACTCCTCTACAGTTCAGATTGTATCGTTGGGTGTTGTTCTAGACATGGTGACTCCTCTACAGTTCAGATTGTACCGTGGGGTGTTGTTCTGGACACGGTGACTCCTCTACAGTTGAGATTGTACCATGGGGTGTTGTTCTAGACACGGTGACTCCTCTACAGTTGAGATTGTATTGTTGGGTGTTGTTCTGGACACGGTGACTCCTCTACAGTTCAGATTGTACCGTGGGGTGTTGTTCTGGACACGGTGATTCCTCTACAGTTCAGATTGTATCGTTGGGTGTTGTTCTGGACACGGTGACTCCTCTACAGTTCAGATTGTACCGTGGGGTGTTGTTCTGGACACGGTGACTCCTCCACAGTTCAGATTGTACCGTGGGGTGTTGTTCTAGACACGGTGACTCCTCCACAGTTCAGATTGTACCGTGGGGTGTTGTTCTAGACACGGTGACTCCTCTACAGTTCAGATTGTATTGTTGGGTGTTGTTCTGGACATGGTGACTCCTCTACAGTTCAGATTGTACCGTGGGGTGTTGTTCTGGACACGGTGACTCCTCTACAGTTCAGATTGTATTGTTGGGTGTTGTTCTGGACATGGTGACTCCTCTACAGTTCAGATTGTATTGTTGGGTGTTGTTCTAGACATGGTGACTCCTCTACAGTTCAGATTGTATTGTTGGGTGTTGTTCTGGACACGGTGACTCCTCTACAGTTCAGATTGTACCGTGGGGTGTTGTTCTGGACACGGTGACTCCTCTACAGTTCAGATTGTACCGTGGGGTGTTGTTCTGGACATGATGACTCCTCTACAGTTCAGATTGTACCGTGGGATGTTGTTCTGGACACGGTGACTCCTCTACAGTTCAGATTGTATTGTTGGGTGTTGTTCTGGACACGCTGACTCCTCCACAGTTCAGATTGTATCGTTGGGTGTTGTTCTGGACACGGTGACTCCTCTACAGTTCAGATTGTATCGTTGGGTGTTGTTCTGGACACGGTGACTCCTCTACAGTTCAGATTGTATCGTTGGGTGTTGTTCTAGACACGGTGACTCCTCTACAGTTCAGATTATATCGTTGGGTGTTGTTCTGGACACAGTGACTCCTCTACAGTTCAGATTGTATTGTTGGGTGTTGTTCTGGACACGGTGACTCCTCTACAGTTCAGATTGTACCGTGGGGTGTTGTTCTAGACATGCTGACTCCTCTACAGTTCAGATTGACCGTGGGGTGTTTTTCTGGACACGGTGACTCCTCCACAGTTCAGATTGTATCGTTGGGTGTTGTTCTGGACACGGTGACTCCTCTACAGTTCAGATTGTACCGTGGGATGTTGTTCTGGACATGGTGACTCCTCTACAGTTCAGATTGTATTGTTGGGTGTTGTTCTGGACACGGTGACTCCTCTACAGTTCAGATTGTACCGTGGGGTGTTGTTCTGGACACGGTGACTCCTCTACAGTTCAGATTGTACCGTGGGGTGTTGTTCTGGACATGGTGACTCCTCTACAGTTCAGATTGTATTGTTGGGTGTTGTTCTGGACATGGTGACTCCTCTACAGTTCAGATTGTACCGTGGGGTGTTGTTCTAGACATGGTGACTCCTCTACAGTTCAGATTGTACCGTGGGGTGTTGTTCTGGACACGGTGACTCCTCCACAGTTCAGATTGTACCGTGGGGTGTTGTTCTGGACACGGTGACTCCTCCACAGTTCAGATTGTACCGTGGGGTGTTGTTCTGGACACGGTGACTCCTCTACAGTTCAGATGGTATTGTTGGGTGTTGTTCTGGACATGGTGACTCCTCTACAGTTCAGATTGTGCCGTGGGGTGTTGTTCTGGACACGGTGACTCCTCTACAGTTCAGATTGTACCGTGGGGTGTTGTTCTGGACACGGTGACTCCTCTACAGTTCAGATTGTATTGTTGGGTGTTGTTCTGGACATGGTGACTCCTCTACAGTTCAGATTGTACCGTGGGGTGTTGTTCTGGACACGGTGACTCCTCCACAGTTCAGATTGTATTGTGGGGTGTTGTTCTGGACACGGTGACTCCTCTACAGTTCAGATTGTATTGTTGGGTGTTGTTCTAGACATGGTGACTCCTCAGATGTTCAGAAGAAGTGTGTTTGGAGAGAAGTGTGTTTGGAGAGAAGGGTGTTTGCTTCGTCAGGAACAAGGGAGGTAACCATGTGTGGCTAGATGATGGCCAAAACATACATCACAGACAAACATACATGTATGCTCCCTTGTTTGGGAATGTGATGTAATAGAACGATTTTAGGATAAATGTCAGTGTGGATAGACCAGTGCTTTCATGTTTATGTGACATTTTGTGCAGAATTGATACTTTTTAGAGTTAAAGAGAACATAAAAACAGATATAGTGGTCGATTTACTTTTACTTATTGCAAAATTCTACATTTATAGATGCAAATTCCAAAATACAAAACCTAATTTTCATGTTTATAAAAAGGAAGCTTTTTCATGATACAACATGGAAAGAGATATTGCTTTCAAGACAGGTAATCAGCAGAAATTCTATGATGCTTGGTGCTGTATCATAAACTTTTCAAAATGAGGAGCAGCTTTCATTTTAATTTCAGTTTTATACTTAAGACTTTAATGTTAGAAACCATGTACTTTCCAACACTGCCACCTCAGATATAAGCTTTAATAGTTATGCATACTTGATATATGCAGTGTGTTTGTATTACTAGAGTGAATGTGTGAGTGACAAGTATGTTATATTTTCTGTAAAAAGACTAAGATGTACTAATAAGTTGTGCTATATGTCATGGGCGTTCTGCATTTTATGTAACAGGTACTTCTTTTTTAAAAACAATAAATGAAAAAGAAAAAACATAAAGGTATAGTCCACACATTATTACAAGCTTGAAAATTTCACCTTTTTCTAAATATATAGCTTCCAATCTCCACCCCGGCGAAGTATATAGCCAGGTAGCCGATACAGGAGAACAAGCCCTCCCTGTTGGCATCAAGGAAGCCCTCCCTTCTCCCCCGCCCATCTGCCCCGTGCAGGATGTAGTGGGGGAGACTGGTGGCCGTGAGGCTGTACTGATACCCTGCAGCGATGACAATGGACAGGAGGCCGCTCAAGTGCACAGGGAACACCGACAGAATCACGGCTGATAAAACCTGGGACCAGAAGATGGTTAAAGGTTCATTGCTGCTCTGACAGAATGGCATGTCAATCATATCATCTGCTGAACAAACCCATGACCAGACAATCCTGACCCAACATTAAACAACAGATTGTGGTGATAAGAGTCAGGGAGGTGTTTACATGGCAAGGAACTGAAGCCCCCAACTACTTGGCCGAGTGATGCATGTCACACAAGAAACAGCTTCCCACCAATGTTGTTAATGACATTGAGAAATCAATCTGAATCAATGCCACCATATGTCATATCATTACATGTGTATTTATTGTTTTCCTCCTTAAATATGTTAAACAGAAAGAATTGAGGATAAATTTTAATGTAGTTAAGATATTTTGTAATGAGAATGATCTGAAAACCTGGATTGATCATCACTTTCAGTCAAACAAACCGTTCTGATCATATAAATACATCATAATATTTTAAAATGAAGTCCTTTTTGCTATAATAATACAAGATGTTTTGTCAAACAGTTAAGGAAGAATTTATTATTTGAACAAACATGTCAAAACATGTCAGTCTTAAAGGGGCACTGATCTAACGGACTGGTTGTTGCCTTTGTTATTGTTTTTCCCCCGTGAGTACCCGGATGATCCGCAACGCAACTGAGCGTGACCAGAGACTGGGGTACCGTCTGCAAGGACAGCTAAATAAACTTGGAGGCTGGAGGCAATATTTGTTTTACGCATTTTTGAACACTGATTGGTTAACTGTGATCTATAAAGATTTCGACAAAGGGCGCATGTTAATTCATTTCTTCAGCCTAAACAAACAGACAAAAAGAACAAGGGAGCTCATCGGATGTCGTCATTTGGAAATACCCCAGATGGTTATAGTTTAATACTAAAAACAGTATCCATGCAGTGAAAGCATTTTCGGATTTCGGCTTGCGTCGATAATACGATTACTACTCCCTTGTTGTCATCCACGTTTTCTCGCATAACCCTACACTTGTGTATTGTCGTCATTCACTTGATGCTCAGTTAATGAATTTATTACAGGTACAATTAGTGGTAGCACCACTTATATTACCTGACAAAGGTTCCCATTTGGCATTTATTGTGTCTGGGGTAATTATTCAATCTAAATCCAGGTTTGAAGTGAGGTGAAATGTGTGTTATGTAATATGCACGTGGCAGCCCAGCAAGAGATGAATGATCAGTTGATTTACTTTTTTTTGTAAATCAACGGATCGTTCCTAGTCATCAAAGGATTAACAGAAAATACGTTGATTGATTAATCACTGTTATCTTGCACAGTGGATATGTCAAGAGTGAGTGTTTACATGTCTAGGTTTACTAAAACAAAGGGAATACACTCATATCATGGCGCGAAGTGCCGATGTAAAAACAACATACTTTGTTCAAAGGGTTAACTGATAATACGTTGATTGATTGATCATTGTTATCTATCACTCAATGGATTTTTTAGGAACTGTGGACGCTATGAAAGTAGTTGTCACGTGGGCTTTCTCAGCCGACCATTGAGACTTGACACCTATGTAAAACACCTGAAACAATCCAAGCGATCAGTTGAGAAACGAACACGGGTTATAATATCCCGAAACGATATATATCTTTTAAAATATTTGATTGTTACTGAGACACGTGACATCGAATAAGTTTCTTTGTACAGCTGCAGACGAGTGGGATATTGTTCCTTTGTGTCGATATTCACGGATACATTCCTCGAACAAGGAAGCTGCCTAAAACTTATACACATAAATTTGGTAGGTTGTAATTATGATATCTGCATTTTGTTTTCCTTCATTTGAACCGATTCGTTCTTGTTTCTCTACGTCTTGGTTGGGAAATTCTTCAATGCGCGATAGACGTTGTTGTCACAGGTCTTTTCCTTTGTAAGCGTGTATATATTACCGTCAATTTGTAAAATGTGATTCTCTCAGGCAATTTATAAAATGTGTAAATATTTCAGTCATTTTGACTAAAACATCTGTCCAGATTGATCAAGACGATCAAAAGGGCCCAAAAACATCACAACAGATTATTATGTAGGATTAAAAGCCAAACAACTTAGAAATGTACTTTTCAACGTTACATTTTCAGTCTCTTGGTGATGACATTAAACATCAAAATGTTTGGAATTCGTTGTCATAATAATACAGATGGAAATGTTTTTCAGTCACTTTGTAAAATAACTGAATATTTAGACGTTTAATAAATGTGTTACACATTTGACAGTAAAAAAATATACACACTATAAAAAAAGCATATGCTCAGGTGAAATATATACTTTGTGTTGCAAGTCAAAATAGTGTAAACGAAAATCGCAAAATTACCAAGCAAGTGACTCATCAAAACTTCGTCACCATTACCGATGCTACTCACAAAGATACCTACATTTCCTTATTATCTCGAAAACTGTATTTCATTTTGTTGATCAATGTGACCATACGCCCTTATTACTACCCATAAAAGTGACTAATGCGCTTACGAATGGCGCAGCAGAGGTCGCGAACTAGTCTAGATTTCTGCTATACATCCGGGTACTCACTGGGAAAAAACAATAACAAAGGCAACAACCAGTCCCGGGGAATTGCGGTAGATCAGTGCCCCTTTAACAGATCGTTATCAATAAGCCGATTCAAAGACATCACTCTCTGTGTTGAGGGTAGGGCTGGGGCCATTCCTAATTTACTACCTGGGTACAGGACACTCTATTATCCGGCCTTACCCATGTACCCACTAAAGGTCTTAAGAGTTGGTTACAAAATGTCAGAATGGGAATTGTTTTACCACAGTCTTGCCCAAAAATACTGAAGTTGATAGACGCTTTATCCTTACTGTATAAAAGTCAGAATGAATGCTTGCATAGTCAGAAAGAAATGTGAACATTAGCTACATGTAGTGTAACCATGGACAATAATGGAGTTTTATAGTTAATGCCACTAAACAGCATTTCATGTGACTAATCCCCGCCCTGTTTGATTGCCATTACCTTGACTGCAGCCAATGTCAGGAAGAAGTTCCAGTGAACACCGTACTCTGACACATGCTCTTGGTAGTCAATGTTCTTCACAGCAAGCAGTCGTAGAGCTCCGATCACCACCAGTGGCATGCTGGACTTGACAGCCTGCATCACGGCCAGCACAGGACTTGCACATCAACAAACACACTTCATGATCATGACAGAGTATGACCTTAAAATATACATCATCACAATGCCAATGGTTGTGACATTTCCACAAGAATTTTATTTAGACTTAATTCAGAAGAAATAACAATTCCTGGTAAATGCTGACAAAATAGGGAAACTGTTCAGATTTACATTCTTCACATTGGTCTTCACAATGAATGACTTTGGATGGGCTGGGTATTATCGGGAAAAGTAAACAAAACTCCCTCAACATGATGGATGTCCTGCACAAAATGTGTTGTGAGTAAACATTAAAATTGTTCATCTCCACCCCTCACAGAAAGTAGGTCAAGAACCTGTTAACGAAACTATATCTGGTTTCATAAGACAATCAAGGTAGCAAATATCAGTCATGACAGTAAACAACTCAATATAAATATTTACCTTTTAGTTGTAACTTTTCCCCGTGCTTCAGGTGAGACAACTGCATTTACAACAACAAACAACCCTACTCCTGTATCCATCAAACCTGTTCCATACGTCTCAGTCTTAGCAAATCTCCTGGGAAAAATAGTGAAATCCACAGCCAGAATGGCAACCGCAGTTGCCAGCAGCGTCTGACCTCGGAAATAGGAAATAAATGGACGTCTGGAACTCATCTCCAAATCCAGGAATGTCTCTAAAAGTGACCCAGATTTTGACTGCTGTGTTCTCTTGGACTGTGAATGCCTGGCTGCGATGAGTCCAAGCATGCCTGCAGCTGTGGTAAAGAGGGACACCAGCACAGTGAAGTCCGTGAAGTTGAGAACGGTGAAACTGAGGAGCATGGGGACAATGATGATCATCACATTCAGCACAATCAACCTGCAAACAATAAATGGGAGTACAGATTCATCAAGAGGCAGTTCAAGAGATTAAGACTCAACCCAAGTACTGAGCTATCTGTTTCTGCTCGATCTGCAGAATTTACTCAACAATAGTAAACTGTATCTCAATTATGGACTTTTTCAGCTTTATTTTGATTTTATGTATTTTAGAGTATTGTCAGGATCATTGTCCTTAGAATGCTTACTCTTTTCTTCAAGCTAAATATGTTAAGACAATCGGATCATGTGTGATTTGTCATTAAGGTACATGTTTACTATTTAGATTGAGTTTTATTTTGTCTTCGATTGAGTTATGTATTGTCTAAAAATATTTATTGACAGGTTTTCAGTTAAACTGGTAATCCTGGTACAATTAAACTGTATCCTTGGTGACAGGTGCCATTACCATGGTTGTGTGAAGTCGTTGACGAAGAGGCAAAACAAATCACGGACGAGAGTTGAACCGACTGGAATCAAGGTCAGTACAGAAACTTCCACCAAAGACGACCCATTCAATCCACTCATAAACTCCTCGTGTAGCTGCTTGTACGATACGTTGCTAACAGGCACATCCATGGTCCAAGTGGTAGGTGAACAGCAAATAATGGCAAATGTTATACTTTTAAGTTAAAAACACCATTTCCTGTTTCATGGGCGCGGCCATCTTGGTTGAATAGAAATTGATCAATGGATCAATTTAATGGACAGGAATCTGAGATCAGTTGTGATGTTTTATCAGCTCTTTTCTGTCCATATTACCGAACCAATATTTCTACTTTCATCTATATAACAAATAAATCGCAATGAACCTATCATAACACACACAAAATGAATATAAAGAAATCATATGTCGTTTCCGGACCGATCAAAAAAAGGGCAGATAACTGTGAATGACACAGCAATTTGGAGGATGGAGGTATATGGCGAAACATTTTCCACATATTTCACGCAATAGCTGTTTTCTTTAAGAATGACAGCATTTTCCTGTGTACTCAGTTAATCAGTGCAAATGATTTGACTGCATATTGAATTATCATAGCTGAATAAAGTGATGAACAACACCAGAACGAAACATAGAACGAGACCCTTGCTTTGTCTGAGTGAACGTGATGCGGCAGGGACTACGTAGCTACACCAGAAGAAGTGTTATCTGTACATGGGCCAAGTGTTATCTGTACATGGGCCAAGAGCAATGTTGTGTGTGTGCGAGGGAGTGTGTGCGTGCGTGCATGTCAACATTTCATGTGACTAATGGGATATGTGGGTTAAATGATTGCTCGATGTCAATAACCTGCAAATGGAAATTTATATCTTACCTTCAAATGTAAATCGAACACCAACTGTGAGGGTTACATTTCACTTTGAACCTAATGTTAGGTATTGATAACAAGTAGTTTGACACCAGTGGTGGTATTCCCTATCTGCAATGGACTGCATTACTAGAATACTAGGAGAGGACATCACTGATTATTGTTCTTCATTTTCAGGTTGATAATTCAACACCCATGGATGAGATGACTGCAGCGAGTCCCCGACCTTTGCTGAGAAGATTCTATGATTTACAAGCTGAGCGAGTCCAGACATATCTACTATTTGATGAGTATGTTCCTAGGGGCAATTGCCGAAAAATATGTAGATTCATTTTTAGGACAGGTATAATTTGCAAAGGATAAGTTGTGAAATTTCTTTCAAAGCATATTGGAGAAGACACTTGTTGAGAACAAATAAATCAGTTTAAAAGTAATTTTTAACTTGAAGGCTGAACACGATTGCAATGATTGGAGCACACATTAAAAGTTCAGGGCCTTACTTAAACTTGTGTAGAGTCTGAATGCTGCACAACTTTCACATCAATACCAGATCAGGGATCACTGTGCCTGGGACAGTGCCCAGTATCCCATGCTTGTAAGAGATGATGAATGAGGTTGCAGGTGATTATATGTGTGACCTATCCCATGCTTGTAAGAGATGATGAATGAGGTTGCAGGTGATTATATGTGTGACCTATCCCATGCTTGTAAGAGATGATAAATGAGGTTGCAGGTGATTATATGTGTGACCTATCCCATGCTTGTAAGAGATGATGAATGAGGTTGCAGGTGATTATATGTGTGACCTATCCCATGCTTGTAAGAGATGATGAATGAGGTTGCAGGTGATTATATGTGTGACCTATCCCATGCTTGTAAGAGATGATGAATGAGGTTGCAGGTGATTATATGTGTGACCTATCCCATGCTTGTAAGAGATGATGAATGAGGTTGCAGGTGATTATATGTGTGACCTATCCCATGCTTGTAAGAGATGATGAATGAGGTTGCAGGTGATTATATGTGTGACCTATCCCATGCTTGTAAGAGATGATAAATGAGGTTGCAGGTGATTATATGTGTGACCTATCCCATGCTTGTAAGAGATGATAAATGAGGTTGCAGTTGATTATATGTGTGACCTATCCCATGCTTGTAAGAGATGATGAATGAGGTTGCAGGTGATTATATGTGTGACCTATCCCATGCTTGTAAGAGATGATAAATGAGGTTGCAGGTGATTATATGTGTGACCTATCCCATGCTTGTAAGAGATGATAAATGAGGTTGCAGGTGATTATATGTGTGACCTATCCCATGCTTGTAAGAGATGATAAATGAGGTTGCAGGTGATTATATGTGTGACCTATCCCATGCTTGTAAGAGATGATGAATGAGGTTGCAGGTGATTATATGTGTGACCTATCCCATGCTTGTAAGAGATGATGAATGAGGTTGCAGGTGATTATATGTGTGACCTATCCCATGCTTGTAAGAGATGATGAATGAGGTTGCAGGTGATTATATGTGTGACCTATCCCATGCTTGTAAGAGATGATAAATGAGGTTGCAGGTGATTATATGTGTGACCTATCCCATGCTTGTAAGAGATGATAAATGAGGTTGCAGTTGATTATATGTGTGACCTATCCCATGCTTGTAAGAGATGATAAATGAGGTTGCAGGTGATTATATGTGTGACCTATCCCATGATTGTAAGAGATGATGAATGAGGTTGCAGGTGATTATATGTGTGACCTATCCCATGCTTGTAAGAGATGATGAATGAGGTTGCAGGTGATTATATGTGTGACCTATCCCATGCTTGTAAGAGATGATGAATGAGGTTGCAGGTGATTATATGTGTGACCTATCCCATGCTTGTAAGAGATGATAAATGAGGTTGCAGGTGATTATATGTGTGACCTATCCCATGCTTGTAAGAGATGATGAATGAGGTTGCAGGTGATTATATGTGTGACCTATCCCATGCTTGTAAGAGATGATAAATGAGGTTGCAGGTGATTATATGTGTGACCTATCCCATGCTTGTAAGAGATGATGAATGAGGTTGCAGGTGATTATATGTGTGACCTATCCCATGCTTGTAAGAGATGATGAATGAGGTTGCAGGTGATTATATGTGTGACCTATCCCATGCTTGTAAGAGATGATGAATGAGGTTGCAGGTGATTATATGTGTGACCTATCCCATGCTTGTAAGAGATGATGAATGAGGTTGCAGGTGATTATATGTGTGACCTATCCCATGCTTGTAAGAGATGATGAATGAGGTTGCAGGTGATTATATGTGTGACCTGTCCCATGCTTGTAAGAGATGATGAATGAGGTTGCAGGTGATTATATGTGTGACCTATCCCATGCTTGTAAGAGATGATGAATGAGGTTGCAGGTGATTATATGTGTGACCTATCCCATGCTTGTAAGAGATGATGAATGAGGTTGCAGGTGATTATATGTGTGACCTATCCCATGCTTGTAAGAGATGATAAATGAGGTTGCAGGTGATTATATGTGTGACCTATCCCATGCTTGTAAGAGATGATAAATGAGGTTGCAGGTGATTATATGTGTGACCTATCCCATGCTTGTAAGAGATGATAAATGAGGTTGCAGGTGATTATATGTGTGACCTATCCCATGCTTGTAAGAGATGATGAATGAGGTTGCAGGTGATTATATGTGTGACCTATCCCATGCTTGTAAGAGATGATGAATGAGGTAGCAGGTGATTATATGTGTGACCTATCCCATGCTTGTAAGAGATGATGAATGAGGTTGCAGGTGATTATATGTGTGACCTGTCCCATGCTTGTAAGAGATGATGAATGAGGTTGCAGGTGATTATATGTGTGACCTATCCCATGCTTGTAAGAGATGATGAATGAGGTTGCAGGTGATTATATGTGTGACCTATCCCATGCTTGTAAGAGATGATGAATGAGGTAGCAGGTGATTATATGTGTGACCTATCCCATGCTTGTAAGAGATGATGAATGAGGTTGCAGGTGATTATATGTGTGACCTATCCCATGCTTGTAAGAGATGATGAATGAGGTTGCAGGTGATTATATGTGTGACCTATCCCATGCTTGTAAGAGATGATGAATGAGGTTGCAGGTGATTATATGTGTGACCTATCCCATGCTTGTAAGAGATGATGAATGAGGTTGCAGGTGATTATATGTGTGACCTGTCCCATGCTTGTAAGAGATGATGAATGAGGTTGCAGGTGATTATATGTGTGACCTATCCCATGCTTGTAAGAGATGATGAATGAGGTTGCAGGTGATTATAAGTGTGACCTATCCCATGCTTGTAAGAGATGATGAATGAGGTTGCAGGTGATTATATGTGTGACCTATCCCATGCTTGTAAGAGATGATGAATGAGGTTGCAGGTGATTATATGTGTGACCTATCCCATGCTTGTAAGAGATGATGAATGAGGTTGCAGGTGATTATATGTGTGACCTATCCCATGCTTGTAAGAGATGATAAATGAGGTTGCAGGTGATTATATGTGTGACCTATCCCATGCTTGTAAGAGATGATGAATGAGGTTGCAGGTGATTATATGTGTGACCTATCCCATGCTTGTAAGAGATGATAAATGAGGTTGCAGGTGATTATATGTGTGACCTATCCCATGCTTGTAAGAGATGATGAATGAGGTTGCAGGTGATTATATGTGTGACCTATCCCATGCTTGTAAGAGATGATAAATGAGGTTGCAGGTGATTATATGTGTGACCTATCCCATGCTTGTAAGAGATGATAAATGAGGTTGCAGGTGATTATATGTGTGACCTGTCCCATGCTTGTAAGAGATGATGAATGAGGTTGCAGGTGATTATATGTGTGACCTATCCCATGCTTGTAAGAGATGATGAATGAGGTTGCAGGTGATTATATGTGTGACCTATCCCATGCTTGTAAGAGATGATGAATGAGGTTGCAGGTGATTATATGTGTGACCTATCCCATGCTTGTAAGAGATGATAAATGAGGTTGCAGGTGATTATATGTGTGACCTATCCCATGCTTGTAAGAGATGATAAATGAGGTTGCAGTTGATTATATGTGTGACCTATCCCATGCTTGTAAGAGATGATAAATGAGGTTGCAGGTGATTATATGTGTGACCTATCCCATGCTTGTAAGAGATGATGAATGAGGTTGCATGTGATTATATGTGTGACCTATCCCATGCTTGTAAGAGATGATGAATGAGGTAGCAGGTGATTATATGTGTGACCTATCCCATGCTTGTAAGAGATGATGAATGAGGTTGCAGGTGATTATATGTGTGACCTGTCCCATGCTTGTAAGAGATGATGAATGAGGTTGCAGGTGATTATATGTGTGACCTATCCCATGCTTGTAAGAGATGATGAATGAGGTTGCAGGTGATTATATGTGTGACCTATCCCATGCTTGTAAGAGATGATGAATGAGGTAGCAGGTGATTATATGTGTGACCTATCCCATGCTTGTAAGAGATGATGAATGAGGTTGCAGGTGATTATATGTGTGACCTATCCCATGCTTGTAAGAGATGATGAATGAGGTTGCAGGTGATTATATGTGTGACCTATCCCATGCTTGTAAGAGATGATGAATGAGGTTGCAGGTGATTATATGTGTGACCTATCCCATGCTTGTAAGAGATGATGAATGAGGTTGCAGGTGATTATATGTGTGACCTGTCCCATGCTTGTAAGAGATGATGAATGAGGTTGCAGGTGATTATATGTGTGACCTGTCCCATGCTTGTAAGAGATGATGAATGAGGTTGCAGGTGATTATATGTGTGACCTATCCCATGCTTGTAAGAGATGATGAATGAGGTTGCAGGTGATTATATGTGTGACCTATCCCATGCTTGTAAGAGATGATGAATGAGGTTGCAGGTGATTATATGTGTGACCTATCCCATGCTTGTAAGAGATGATGAATGAGGTTGCAGGTGATTATATGTGTGACCTATCCCATGCTTGTAAGAGATGATAAATGAGGTTGCAGGTGATTATATGTGTGACCTATCCCATGCTTGTAAGAGATGATAAATGAGGTTGCAGTTGATTATATGTGTGACCTATCCCATGCTTGTAAGAGATGATAAATGAGGTTGCAGGTGATTATATGTGTGACCTATCCCATGCTTGTAAGAGATGATGAATGAGGTTGCAGGTGATTATATGTGTGACCTATCCCATGCTTGTAAGAGATGATGAATGAGGTAGCAGGTGATTATATGTGTGACCTATCCCATGCTTGTAAGAGATGATGAATGAGGTTGCAGGTGATTATATGTGTGACCTGTCCCATGCTTGTAAGAGATGATGAATGAGGTTGCAGGTGATTATATGTGTGACCTATCCCATGCTTGTAAGAGATGATGAATGAGGTTGCAGGTGATTATATGTGTGACCTATCCCATGCTTGTAAGAGATGATGAATGAGGTAGCAGGTGATTATATGTGTGACCTATCCCATGCTTGTAAGAGATGATGAATGAGGTTGCAGGTGATTATATGTGTGACCTATCCCATGCTTGTAAGAGATGATGAATGAGGTTGCAGGTGATTATATGTGTGACCTGTCCCATGCTTGTAAGAGATGATGAATGAGGTAGCAGGTGATTATATGTGTGACCTATCCCATGCTTGTAAGAGATGATGAATGAGGTTGCAGGTGATTATATGTGTGACCTATCCCATGCTTGTAAGAGATGATGAATGAGGTTGCAGGTGATTATATGTGTGACCTGTCCCATGCTTGTAAGAGATGATGAATGAGGTTGCAGGTGATTATATGTGTGACCTGTCCCATGCTTGTAAGAGATGATGAATGAGGTTGCAGGTGATTATATGTGTGACCTATCCCATGCTTGTAAGAGATGATGAATGAGGTTGCAGGTGATTATATGTGTGACCTATCCCATGCTTGTAAGAGATGATGAATGAGGTTGCAGGTGATTATATGTGTGACCTATCCCATGCTTGTAAGAGATGATGAATGAGGTTGCAGGTGATTATATGTGTGACCTATCCCATGCTTGTCACACCTCCTAGGGAAAATTGTTGCTCATGTTGTTAATGCATTTGTTTGCCAGGCCCAGACTTAATAATGTTCTGACTGTCATCCGAAACAACATTAACTCACTCTTTGGTGATTACACGGCAGTATAGGTCCCATTACCTCATTCATAATGCAAACCCCCAGGGAGATCAGTTGCCAGTCTGTCATCATAATAATCTGGTTGACCTGAGCCAACAGTAACTAACACCTGTCCATTGTGTAGACAGGATCCCAGTCAAAAATCACTGTCTGCGACTTTAACCACTAGTCTGAAGCCTGAGTCTAGTAAAATTCTAGTAAGCTCAGCTAGTGATAGTACATATATTAACACTAAACTCGACTGAAAATTATGTTTAGAGCCAAGTTTTGTTTGGTTTGAGAGTAAGACTCTGTTCCAGGGGTTTCCAAGCGTATTTGAAGGGAGCCCCCAATTACAACTTCAACATGTACCGGCAGCTGGTCCATGAGATCACGGAGACCTTCCAGAAGATCTCTCAGGATGTGATCGGGGTGAAGGACAGGTTGGCGAATGTTTGTAACCTGAACCAGATTGCAAACATCCTGGACCAGGTGCAAGATGAGGAGAGGAACAAGCTGGAACTGGTAATACCCGCTTTTATCCTGCGATGACTGGATCGCAGATTACATAATGAGATTATACTCTACTTTAACACCCCTACACCGAAGTCTGGCCCCACATCTACATAAACACCCCTACTCTGGCCCCACATCTACGTTAACACCCCTACTCTGGCCCGACATCTACTTCAACACTCCCTGCTCTGGCCCCACATCTACGTTAACACCCCTACTTTGGCCCCACATCTACATTTAAATCCCTGCTCTGGCCCCACATCTACATTAACACCCCTACTCTGACCCCACATCTACATTAACACCCCTACTCTGGCCCCACATCTACATTACCCCCCTACTCTGGCCCCACATCTACATTACCCCCCTACTCCCCACAAGAGGGTCACACACCTATGTCTACTACACACAAGATAGAGTCAAAGGTGTGCAAGACCTCATCTGGACACAGGAGTTTCTCAACATCCCATCCATGTTGCAGACGGCTAGTCTCCAGATTGCCCAGCAGAACGCTGTGGACCATCCCACCGATGAATGCTACAAGGCAGAAGTAGTGGAGCTGAAACTGAAGTGAGTGACAAGTTGTATTACTCTCACAACATGTCTTTGTGCTCATGGGTTGTGCTCATGGGTTAGAATAGGTCCCCAGTATCTCATGTGGGTCCCCCGCGGTGATCAGGGTTAGAATAGGTCCCCAGTATCTCATGTGTTCCAAGGGGCTGTCGGGTAGCCTAGTGGTTAAAGCGTTCGCTTGTCACGCTGATAACCCGGGTTCGATTCCAGACGTGGGTTCAATGTGTGAAGCCCATTTCTTGTGTTCCCCTGTGGAAGGAAGGAATATTGCTAAAAGCAGCATAAAACCATACTCACTCGCTCACATGTCCTGTTGTGATCAGGGTTAGAACAGGTCCCCAGTATCTCATATGGGTCCCCCGTTGTGATCAGGGTTAGAATAGGTCCCCAGTAGCTCATGTTGGTTCCCCGCGATGATCAGGGTTACTAGTATCTCATATGGGTCCCCCGCGGGGATCAGGGTTAGAACAGGTCCCCAGTATCTCATATGGGTCCCCCGCGGTGATCAGGGTTAGAACAGGTCCCCAGTATCTCATATGGGTCCCCCGCGGTGATCAGGGTTAGAACAGGTCCCCAGTATCTCATATGGGTCCCCCGCGGTGATCAGGGTTAGAACAGGTCCCCAGTATCTCATATGGGTCCCCCGCGGTGATCAGGGTTAGAACAGGTCCCCAGTATCTCATATGGGTCCCCCGCGGTGATCAGGGTTAGAACAGGTCCCCAGTATCTCATATGGGTCCCCCGCGGTGATCAGGGTTAGAACAGGTCCCCAGTATCTCATGTTGGTCCCCCGCGATGATCTGGGTTAGAACAGGTCCCCAGTATCTCATATGGGTCCCCCGCGGTGATCAGGGTTAGAACAGGTCCCCAGTATCTCATATGGGTCCCCCGCGATGATCAGGGTTAGAACAGGTCCCCAGTGGTCCCCAGTAGCTCATGTTGGTCCCCCGCGATGATCAGGGTTATAACAGGTCCCCAGTGGTCCCCAGTAGCTCATGTTGGTCCCCAGCAATGATCAGGGTTAGAACAGGTCCCCAGTGGTTCCCAGTAGCTCATGTTGGTCCCCCGCGATGATCAGGGTTAGAACAGGTCCCCAGTGGTTCCCAGTAGCTCATGTTGGTCCCCCGCGATGATCAGGGTTAGAACAGGTCCCCAGTGGTTCCCAGTAGCTCATGTTGGTACCCCGTAGTGATCAGGGTTAGAATAGGTCCCCAGTAGTTCATGTTGGTCCCCCGTGGTGATCCAGGGTTAGAATAGGTCCCCAGTAGCTCATGTTGGTCCCCCGTGAAGATCAGGGTTAGAATAGGTCCCCAGTATCTCATGTTTGTCAAAAGATATAATTTGGTTTCCTGACATTTGTGTCATAGTCATATCAACCACTGACTAGACTGCCCAGACATATGTACTGGCCACACAGGTGCAGCGTGATGTCACAGACAGCAGACAGCAGACATATGTACTGGCCACACTGGTGCAGCGTGATGTGACAGACAGCAGACGTATGTACTGGCCACACTGGTGCAGCGTGATGTCACAGACAGCAGACAGCAGACATATGTACTGGCCACACTGGTGCAGCGTGATGTCACAGACAGCAGACGTATGTACTGGCCACACTGGTGCAGTGTGATGTCACAGACAGCAGACAGCAGACGTATGTACAGGCCACACTGTCGCAGCGTGATGTCACAGACAGCAGACAGCAGACGTATGTACTGGCCACACTGGTGCAGCGTGATGTCACAGACAGCAGACAGCAGACATATGTACTGGCCACACTGGTGCAGCGTGATGTGACAGACAGCAGACGTATGTACTGGCCACACTGGTGCAGCGTGATGTGACAGACAGCAGACAGCAGACGTATGTACTGGCCACACAGGTGCAGCATGATGTCACAGACAGCAGACGTATGTACTGGCCACACAGGTACAGCGTGATGTCACAGACAGCAGACGTATGTACTGGCCACACAGGTACAGCGTGATGTCACAGACAGCAGACGTATGTACTGGCCACACAGGTGCAGCGTGATGTCACAGACAGCAGACGTATGTACTGGCCACACAGGTGCAGCGTGATGTCACAGACAGCAGACGTATGTACTGGCCACACTGGTGCAGCGTGATGTCACAGACAGCAGACGTATGTACTGGCCACACTGGTGCAGCGTGATGTCACAGACAGCAGACGTATGTACTGGCCACACTGGTGCAGCGTGATGTCCCAGACAGCAGACGTATGTACTGGCCACACAGGTGCAGCGTGATGTCCCAGACAGCAGACGTATGTACTGGCCACACAGGTGCAGCGTGATGTCACAGACAGCAGACGTATGTACTGGCCACACTGGTGCAGCGTGATGTCACAGACAGCAGACGTATGTACTGGCCACACTGGTGCAGCGTAATGTCACAGACAGCAGACGTATGTACTGGCCACACAGGTGCAGCATGACGTCACAGACAGCAGACGTATGTACTGGCCACACTGGTGCAGCGTGATGTCACAGACAGCAGACGTATGTACTGGACACACAGGTGCAGCGTGATGTCCCAGACAGCAGACGTATGTACTGGACACACAGGTGCAGCGTGATGTCCCAGACAGCAGACGTATGTACAGACCACACTGGTGCAGTGTGATGTCACAGACAGTAGACGTATGTACTGGCCACACTGGTGCAGTGTGATGTCACCCAAAGCAGACTATGTACAGGCCACACTTGTGCAGTATGATGTCACTCAAAGCAGACTATGTACTGGACACACTGGTGCAGCATGTCACAGACAGCAGACGAATGTACTGGCTACAGTCACGGACAGCAGGGCAAGTAACCATTCGTTCTCACTTTCGGTCATGTGGTTTGTGTAATATTCAAAAGTTTTACTTCTCATTTTTCTTCCAGAGTGAGTGAAAGGATACAGAATATCAATGAGTACTTAGAGGAACTCAAGTACGAGTCGGAGAATCTCTACACAGACGAGGAGGAGGAGAGGTAGCGTGGAGAGTCCAAGCCTGGAAGGAAGGAAGGGATGAATGAGGGAAGAACTCATGCAGCGAAGCACTGGATGCAGTTGTGGCTGACAATGCTGTTGCACATGGTGCTAAAGTGTTGATGTTACAGAACATTCCCCTGGAGACTTTGTTGTTCATGGTATCAAGGCAGACTAACACACTCGGTTCACTGGCACACGTCTGTGTTTGAGTGGAGGAAAACATGATCCCATGTGAGAGCTGTCGTGTTCTGGACTTGTACATTGTGTTGGTGCTATATCAAGGTCCGACTACTGACATAATGATATTCTGTGGGTCCACATTCACACAGATATTATTTCAGTACACCAAGAAGGGGATCAAAACACATACATGTGTACCAGCAAATACAGAAACAGGTTATGATTTCATGCAAGATCATCAAGCTGAACATTTAATTAGCAAAATGTCATAACTGTTTTACATATTAGCTAATACAACAAATACTACTCTTGTTTGATTGGTTTGTTGTTTATTAGGGCACACAGCAATAAGACAGCCTTTAAGTCTGGACCAGATAAACCAATGATTATGAGCAATGATCCATGCCACAAGGTATGAAGGCACACAGTCAACAGCACAGATTGCAACCCATGCTTGCTGTAAAAAGTGACTATGCTTGTCGTTTGAGGCGACTAACAGTATCGGGTGTTGGGCTTGCTGACTTAGTGTCATCGATCCCATTTGTGTGGATCGATTTTCATGTTGTCAATCACTGGATTGTCTGGTCCAGACTTAATTACTTACTGTACAGGCCGCAGTCATATAGCTGGAATATTGCTGAGTGTGGCGTTAAACAACATGCCATTGTGACTGGCCAGGTAGATCAGTGATCATGCTTTCAGTCACTGGTCTGATGCAGATTTGAGTTGCAGGCTGCTGTGGTCTGGAGGAAATACTGTGGTCTGGAGCGTACGGTGTTCACTCACTTTAAGAGAAGGGCCAGACACACTGCTGAGGGTGCATGCATTACATGGTACAAAACTCACACTACAATATAACACAACTATTTTTGCTTATTGTCAAAATCTGACAATTTTTATCTTGCCAACAATCAGCTCTTTTTTGTTCCTGCCTCTCTAGACTTCATTGTCTACGAAGAGTTTAATTTGTCATCCTTAGATACTGGGGCAAATCTGGGGTTTAACCCCTGACCAGCAAAAGTTGGTTTTCCAATATCACGATGTTATCACGGCCAATTCAAGTGGAACCTGCTCATGTTCAGCAGGCAGTGTTCATGGCTATGGACGCGACATACAAATGACAGGTGTCCATCAATGGGTTTGTTACAGTGGCCATCTGATTGTTGCATCATAGTGCTGGCCTGTCTTCATAAATTGTTCAAAGACCCTAAAGTAATCTATGTATATACTTTATGCATGTACATAATTAGTGTTCATTGTAATTCATGCCATCTGATTGGCTGAATGTGTCAATTACTATTGCTTTCATCTTTAATAAATGCGAACACATAAGCCACGCCCGCCAAGACAGACTGTCACCATGATGGAATGCTGGGTAGTCCCAATGCGTAGCTGCCTTCTTGCCCAAATTAAATAGATTGGTTCATGTCCAAAATACCCCAAAGATTTTATTCAAATCAAGTAATGATAAAGTAGAGCATCAAAAGTTGGGAGTATCCTAAAAAATTTCCAAATGCCATAGTCTCCTGACATCACTAGCCATCTGAGACAAGATCCATAGGTCTGTTCAGTTGTTCCACCTTGGCATGACGGGTTCAGAGTTTCAGTCACCAAATTTGCACACAGACTTAAGGCCCTAATAATGAAAACATGACATACTTTTAACAGGTTTAATAACCTAAAACTGAACAGAGTTTGGTAATCCTTGAACAGATTAGATTCAATAAACAAAAAACGTTTTATCAATATTTCGCATTCTATGTAGGTAATGTTTTCCCTTTGGAAATATGAACATAATGAACATAGCGAAATTGAAAAAGACTTGACTTTGACTGTTAATTCCACGCCTTTCAAGGCAATTTGTGTGAATTCCAGGCCTTTTTCAAGCTATTTTTGCTTTTAACGCAAACGTCTCAAGGCCTCTGCATACCATGTATAAGATATGATCATGTATCATACTTGAATGTTACAGTAACCGATCAACAACAAATACATGTATTAAGAATATGGCTTTTATTCCTGTATGTTAGCTCTTGAATCAAGTGCAATTGATTATACCACAAATAATTGGTAAAATGCAGCAGTCACACTTAATTCAAGTGCTCCCGATGCATAAGCTTCACAAGTAAGACAAGAGAACTATAAGAAAACAGAACATTGATGAAGGTCTTATAGATTTACATATGCACTGTACACGTGGCCTCATGCCTCGACTGTTGGGATTTAGGAGCACTCAAAATGAAAGTTGGTTCACGGGCAGCCAGGCCAGTCCTCACACACCTTCACCCTTAGATGGTTCATCAAAATTTTCAACAAGATCTAAAATGGAAACAAATTTGAAAATTACACACGTCAGATATATGGCATGTTCACTGAAAACAAAAAAGGCTTAATGTTTCTTACACAATATCGCCAATTAGAAGACAAACTGAACAAACTACACCCTGGGGTGTCAAAAACCTTCAGGCTAACTTCTAAAATGGCCCATATGAACAGCAGCCAATGTGTTGGCAATAAAAGATCTCAAATATATCAATATAGAAAATATGATACATTCAAAACCAAGATTGCCATGGCAAGTATTGACTAACCTGGGACATCATCATCATCGTCGATTTCTCCCGTCGAGGTCTTCCCTCCCTCTCCAGCAGCTGAAGGAAAACAATCACATCAATATATGACTGGCTTACATACTCAAATGTTGCGCGTTGTTTTCTTAAAGGTAATGAAAGTAAATATTCAGATCACCGTCGACAGAAACCAGTTGCTGAAGGCTTTAGGATCTATTTATAACAAGATCCAGACCAATCAGTGGCTTAAGGCATAAATAAGCCATATACATGCTTTTCCAATTTGATTTAAACAATTTCCAAGAATGATGAAATTACAGAGTTTTTCAAATGCTAGAAGTAGAAGAGCCATACATGGGCAGTACCCCACCAATACCAACTATAGGATGCTGGGCGCACTTATTCAAGTGCTTCTCCTCTCCTCTGTTCTATAGAAAAGACTCACCATTTGCTACAGTTGATGCCAGCTTCTTCAGGCTACTTAAGCTCTCTGCTCCGAGCTGGTTGAGAATACCTGGCAGCATTTCAGCTATTTCTGCAAAGTCAGCATTATCAAGTCAGTCATTGACCTTCTCACTGGTGAATAACTCTAGTCAGTTAATTGCCTCTTACAGCAAGCATGGGTTGCTGAAGACAAATTCTAATGTGGATTTCTGAGTAAAGTAAAATATCATTCAAGTGTTTGCATTTTATGTTACTTACATGAACGATACAGAACAAGAATGCTTTAAAACTTATCATTAAACTTTTCAACTTATCAAATTCGCATTCATGTTCAATCATTCCTGGTAACCAGGACATCTTCACAACTCTGCAGGGCGGGGCAGGGCAAATGAACATGAAGGGACAAACACTGCAACAGGGTTCTCTGTGTGTTGTACAAGTGTACTTTAACTGACTTACAGTGAACACATGATTATCTACTGGCTATCTCTGTCAGGGGTCAGCTCACTTCCTGCTCATCTCATCAGATGAAACAACATTATCATGTTGGACAACGGTCTTGTTTCACCATCTTTTTTTAATAAAAATTTTTTTTACCCAAACAATTCATCGATTTCAGATAAAGATATCAAATTCTAGTTAAGACTAGTCACATAAGATTGATTTTTGTAATTTTAGAGTTTCCTTATTTCTAGATTAGGTTGGAGCCATGCCAATTGCCATCAATGCCAGTGCAATGTAAGATGCCCTGTGAAGTCTCTGGCATCAGTGGGCATGCTGGAGGGAAAACTGCATCATTTTCTATTAAGACAACTATTATCTCCTACTTGTAGCAGCTGGACAATGGTTCATATGACACAAAAGCCTCTTATCATAAACATAGTATGTTGAGATTCATGCATAAACCCTTCAAGGTACCCCAAGTAAATTCCATACTCCCATTCTGATTCTGAAAAACAGCAAGCCAAACAATGTGGCCAGGCATCAATAAGTCAGTCATCTGACATTGATTTTTGTAATTTTACAAATTTTCTCAAAATGTCTTGACCATCCCTTCTGTCCAGGTATCAGTTTGTTTTATTTCTAGGCTTTCTTACAAAGAATCCTGGACTATCATTAACAAAGTTGTAAACAACCTAAAACATTCATAAAAGTTCAAACATGCAATTATACATGTCATGTCTTACGTTTATTTTCTGCATGTCCGGTGATTGCAAATGTGTTGGCAGCAAGTGAAGCCTGAACCTTGGGGTTGTTGAAGTGGATCACATTACCATCATCTTTGATCATATTAACCTGCAAACAAACAACGTACCTCATGATTCATTCAGTAATTGGTTTCAACTAAACCTTTTTGGCTTAGCGTCAACCCACATCTTTGTCTTTGATGTGTCAACTCGCGTCTTTTAGATGGGCAGGTACAGAAGTTGACAAACCGCCAGGACATGCATCTGATGATCTGGCAAGCATGTACGGGGAACCTTATTCTGACACAAGACTACTGTAGCTGGGTTGCCTGTCTATGTGTGTGCTGTTTCATGCCAAAGTGATACTGAATTCACATCACACTGTCCTGTAAACAATGGAGTCTGGTTGAGGAAAGCACATTGGTCGACGACAAGAGCAACGATCCCATCCTTCATGGCAGGATGCACAGAATCAGGTCTGCCATTAGCCTTGATAACCAGCATGGGGTATTGTGGACCAATTCTGCCTTGGAATGTCCTATTGACAATTGCGTGGCCACATCCTACATTACTAGCCCTACTTTATGGCTACAGTCTACCTTTAGTGACAACAGACTTTGACTGATGATGGCAAAACTGACTGAGGATTTGAAGAAATAAATATGTATTAACTAGACAGTCGGGCCAGCTTCACGGAAATGCTACCAAAATGACATGGGGTAAAATCATGCAACAGTTGTTGATACTAGGTGCCAAATGAGGTAGATTGGATTGGTTTAAGTCAGACATGTTAGAACTTATACCAACCTCTTCAATTCCTGGAATAACATTAACAGAGAGCTTCTTTAAAGAGCTCTGTAACTTTTTGTCATCAGTTGTTGCTGTTCTGTGAATAACCTTCTTTTTCCTCCTTGCAGTTCCCTGAGATAAAAAATAAGATCATTTTATTTTCAGATAATAAATTGTTCTTCCACAAATTGCACACTAAGTATGTAGTTACTGTATACAATTCCAGTCATGAAATAATCTTGTGAGTATGAAGATATGTCACAGCTGCACAGTGACTAATGTTCTCATGAAGTGTTCATATTGAATCGATTACCCATGAATACTTAAACTGCAAGAAGCATTCTAAAACACTCAGAAAAATAGGTCTATTACCATTTTGGTCGAACTAATTGATACACGAACACTGGTCAACACATACCTTCCCCCCAATTCGAACAGCATCGGCCTTAGCCTGTAAAGCTTTTAGCTTCTCTGGATTCATGTTCCTGAAAGGTAAGAAAAAGATTCAATAATTATTATTCACTCAGTTGTCACGTACAGCAATTCTCCAACAAAGTTGAAGTTTCTTCTCAAATATACCTAACCTATTATTTCTATTAGGCTTACTATTCCCTAGTAGCAAGGAAGTTTCACGTGAAATTGGCCACTTGAAACTTTGGGATTCCAGAGCAAAACAGATTCCCAGTACTTCATAGTTTATCTAGAGACTAATAGAAAATAAGAATTGGTTCGTTTCAACATGTAACCTGGCCAATTTGTGTCATTGTAATTCCCAAAAAAATGGAAATGTTATTGATATTATCAGAATGGATTTACAGGTCCTTGTGATTACGTTGGAATATTAATGTCTTCTGCAGCATTAAACAATAGACTTATTACATGTACTAATGACTGAAGGAGTCCTTACGAAAAACAACAAGTCTCAATAACAACAGATAAAAGAAATAATTCCCTTTGACACAAGATGAGAAAATTGGTGAAAATCACTATTGAAGAACAAACTCAATACAACATGTACTAGAATGAGGTTGATCCGATGATATATTATCCTGTCAAGCAATGACCATATAAGGTAAGGTTTGCATCATGCTGCTATGGTAATGAAAATGCTAATGATAACTATAGTTAACTTTATCATATATTGTTTTTGATATGTGAAATAAAATCAGCAGAAAAATGTAAAGAAGTTACACATAATGTTCATGGTACATCTGAATGTTAACTGATAGATCTGGGACTGATGATCAAATTGTGTTTCTACAATAAAAAGTAAACATCCCCTTTTACATCAAAGTAACATCCATCAAAAGTACAAATTATTTCGTGATAAAATTCGTATGACATACATATATACTGTCATATAAGAATAAATGGCTGTAACATTTCCTGAATATTAAGTTGTAGAAAACATGTTTCTAAATATAACCTCAACTAGGTAGGATTAACTGACTAATTTGAGAAATCGTGTCAAAGAGTTAAAGTTAAAGAGTTTTACACATTCTAAAATTGATAAAATCTCTTATGTTTGACAGCGGTACGTACGTCATTCCGTTTTAGGCAAGCATGCTCATGTTTATGTTGACCCGAAAAACACAACCCACGAGGAAAAGCATGGTGCTAGCTGCCACTTCCCTACTTTCATCAATATTATCATGATAGCAAACAAAGAAGTGTTCTTAGTGATTACAAACGTGACGAGAGTGAAACATATTAATATCATCACCATAGGTATGCAACAAACATATAAATACCTCAACAATGCGGGACAAATTCAATCCCACGAGGTCCTTATGATGGCCGCTGTGAAAGAGGTCCTGACGTCATGACTTTTTGCGTAGACTGATAAATACTCTAAATCCATATGTTATGGAACATTTACTTTTACTATCACCTAAATAATTCCTACATACATCAACCTATGTCATAACTCTTTCTACGTTTATTGCATAAGTAATATTAATGATGAAGATATATTCTGTACGTGCTAAAAGAGGTCTGGTTAGAGAGTATCCAGGTGACAAAGATTACGCGCGAAGTTTCATGCTTTTCTTCCAACACATTGTGCACGGGCTTACAACTCAGTCAGTCTCCTCATCAAGATGGCCACCGAAGAAAAGACACCCGCAGTAACACAAGAAAGGTATTCTGTTACGCAGTTGAAACGCATAGCAACACAACCTACATTCAATACTTTAGTTCCTATTTTGGCTCAGTTGTTTATTTTCTATGAACAGCATTTGGCTTTTCAGTTTTGGAGAAGGAAGTCACCGGCGATATGACTCGAATCAGAGCTCTTTCTCGTAGCCTGGGATAGTTTATCTGAAAGATTTTGGGGGCGGTCGGGTAGCCTAGTGGTTAAAGCGTTCGCTCGTCACGCCGAAGACCCGGGTTCGATTCCCGACATGGGTACAATGTATGAAGATATTTGTACAAGTATCAAGTTCCAGTTAACCTTTACAAGGAAAATTGTTCTGCTGCTGCCCCCCTTGGCTACGGCACTGGATTCGGGGAGCCGGATTCGGAGTACCTTTAGAATACAGCACCACAACTTCTCGTGAAGATGATCACTGCCGAAGGTCACATCTTTTTGTGAGAATCCGTCGGGCGCGAACCCGCGACCTTTGGATTGGTAGCCTGACAGCTAACCGACTGAGCTATGTCCACACCGTGAAAACAAGTGCAAATTTACCTAGTCATGCCTATGACTTTACGGAACTGAACGAAAAGGGTTCGAATAGGTGACGGACACTTTCGAAGGTTATGGGTAGGCATGGTGTCTTGTGACTTTTTTAGTCTACGGACACTTACAAATGATCCCGATGCCATTTGGCGCACTCGTCCTATTCTGTAATCTACAAGATACCGAGTGGTCAGGAATGAGCCAATATGGCGCAGACTGAAAAAACGGCGTCAGGCGTTATCTCGCAAATATGCGTGAATGACATGCTGTGTCTGCTCTGGCTTAAATTTTCTTGGGGTCACTTGGACCCCTTCATCATAAAAATAGGGGTCCCAAACAAAAATGGAGGGGTCCGATTTATAGCATTATAACATAACATTAACAACAGAACACAGTGGTTGTGAAAAATCAGAATTCTTTTCCCAACTGCAAAATATCAACAAACAGGCAAAGTGAGAGAAAGGTTCACATCAGGGCACATCCTCCTCTCATGACCAAGAGGTTTACGTTAAGGGACAAACAATTTCTTAAAAGGGACATTTGATAATAATGAATATTTTAACACAAAATTATCCATGTTAATATCTAACTTCGTAAATGAAAAGGCAGTACACGGGTTATCAGCCATTGGTAGGGGGTCATTGGGGCAGACATTTGTGAATGTTTATATCTAGATCTAGAAATCTACCAATGACTTGAAGTTTATGGATTCAGTCAAGTTCAATGGCTGTTCTGATGCTACTGTGCTGAGTAGTGAGTTCATGTCGTAACTGTGACAATGATCAATGAGTCATAACATAATTGGCATATCAAACATATTTTAAGTAAGAGTATGTTCAGGATCCAGCATTTCCTTGATAAATCTAGTCAACATGTTTCAGGTGCTATAAATGTTTAAACATGTCAGTTACACTAACAAGAAAACATTGATGCAGAGCATCAAAGTTCCCCGCCATATTTGATGCCTCACAAATGCATGATTATGATGTTACTGAAAGGCATGAAGGAGCATAATTAAATTAACCACAAATAAAACAACGCTGTTGTGGAAAAAATATTATTTATTTTGAGTATTGGGCAATACAGTTGATATATTTGTATATGGTAGGTCTATTTAAATTTAGTTTCTTGTTTAACGCCGCACTCAGCAGTATTCCAGCTATATGACGGCGTGAGTCTGGACCAGATAATCCAGTGATTGACACCAAGAGCATTGAACTACGCAATTGGAATATGATGTTATGCATCGACCAAAATCGGCGAGCCTGACTACCCAATCCTGTTCGTCGCCTCTTACGGCAAGCATGGGTTGCTGAAGACCTATTCTAACCTGGGTCTTTATTTAAAAAGTAGATCAAAGGAAATGGAAGCAACTTCTGGCACAAATGTAAACATGTGGAAATAGTATCAAAACTGCCAACAACATTGGCAGATGAACCTACTCAAATAATAGATCACATTCTTTTTACACTTGGCATTTGGTTATAATAATGTAAATGAAAATACTAAGGGCTCCATATGGCAAAAAAGTCATACTAGACAAGGTCTTTTTGTCACAACCACAGATGCACATACTCAAAATATTATCACGATGTTGGAGAACATTTCAATACCGGGACTAATCAATAACGGAGATTCCTCGTCTCTTCTTTTACGTTTTGTGGTCAGTTTCTTTTTTGTATTTCTTTCTTTCAAAGAATAGTAATTGTGATCATGATGAGTTGAGTTACTTGGTCTTTTTCTATGTACTGTTTTTTTATCCAGTGTCTGTAACTGTTGTGGAATGTGGTTTACTTGTAACAATTACTGGTTTGAGTTCATATGATGATGATTGATTAGTTTGTCATTTAACGCCACACTCAGCAATATTCCAGCTATATAACGGTGTTCTGTAAATAATGGAGTCTGGACCTGACAATCCAGTGATTAATATCATGAGCATCGATCCACGAAATTGGGATCGATGCCATGCATCAACCAAAGCCTGACCACCCGATCCCATTAGTCGCCTCTTACGAGAAGCATAGTCGCCTGATATACTGTTAAGATGTAACATAACAATTCATCCATACTACTAAACAGAAGTAAAACTGCTTGTCCATTCGGATGAGTCGGACCCAAACCATTCCGCTGATGGGTCAAATAATGCATACAAATCAAAATCCGTAAAAATTGCAATAGAGACATCATTAAAAGTTACCAAAAGTGACTGGGATATCAATATTGCTTGTTGAAATGATTCTATAAAAAAAATTTCCCTGCTTCAATATTTGGAGCAAATGTGACGGAGCCATAAAATACCCCTCATAGCCTTCGGTGTTAACTATGTGACTGTAGAGAGCTGTGCCTTCATCCAACAGATTATCGAGGTCAGTGGAACACGGTACAGATGCAAATAGATTTGAGCCATGGAACACAAAATATACGATAGCGACCAGAGCTACGGCTGTACATGAATTCCATTAAACGAATGAAAAATACTACAGCCATGATGCAAATTCGCCGACAGACTACTCCGATTTTGCTTTGACTTTGCTACCAAACGTTTCACATGTGGCTATGTGCGGTGCACTGATTAACGCCGCACACGGGGGACTGGGTTAATTCAAAATACGGAATAATACTATTCCAAATATTTCCAGGGAACATGAGCATCCAAGCAATCAAAAGTGTGGTATGTAGAATGTGGAATTCATCAATTGCATCAATTAACTACATAAAGACGATTTTGAAGTATCGCTTATTGCTGGAAAAGAATTAGCATCAACATTCCACGCACATGATTTGTATGTTTTGTTTCCGTAAATGCGTGGCTTGAAATTTCAAATAAACCAACATGTCGACATACATGCTACAAAATTAACATTTCCCGTATACTTCCCCGCCTTAAGCTTGATAAGTCTGTTGTAGAATAACTAAATACTCAGAGTCCACTAAATAAAAACAATGCTTACATTCAAGTGTTTGCATTTATTCTTTATCATATACAGTATGGCGGTATCGATAAATCTCGTAATCCATACAACCTGTCGACTGTTTACTTAGGCAAATCTAAGCATGATATATTTCATCGCATGATCGAATACAGGACTCGTTGCGGTATGTCACAGCTACTTGTACACACGTTAACTTTTTTATGATAGTTTCTGGGATGTTTTTGAAGTGGAATCACCCCTACCTCCATTCGAAATTGATTAGAAAAAGAACCCATTTATTCAAACGAAGTCCCTTGACCAAACCTTGGTCGTATGCAAAATACAAAAACAGGAAGTGATGTAAACCATATAATCCACACAGCTTTACTAAGATTCACCAATGATAGGTACTTTGTTTACCGAAGTCGCTAAGGAAAATCAGCATCAATCAATCCAATGAACAACAAACATTTTGTGAATCACATATTCAATAAGTTTGTAAGCGTGCCCCATTACGATCCATTATAAATTAACTACCGCGATAACATAGCGTATCATCCTACACGGTCGCTCGATTTCGCGGATCACTGTTACCACGTTCTGAAGTATACCCTTGATGTGCCTGGCTATTTTTAGTTTGGTCGAAAATATCCTGACCTTGTGTCAATCAGCAAGCTAAATGAATTACGACTATATCCGACCATACCGAAAATTAATACATGCAAAATCGAAAATAGATATAGGTCAAGAAACCGGTTTGGGTATTTGTCATAAAAAGGGAGAGAATAATGAAACTGGTTTGGTTTAATAAACGGAAGTGTTAATCAACATGCTTCGCTGTCTTGTTGGGGAACAAATATCTTTACGCAAAGACGTACGTCTTTGATTTATGATAAGTGTCAATTCCATCTGAAATTAATAACGCTCCAGTCACTGCGTCCACGAAACCCACACGTTACGCAGGTGCGTTCAAACTCATATTTGTCATCCAAGACGCAAACACGCTGGACATGGTATTTAAGAATTCGTTGGGTGGATTTTGTGACAGAAAAGTGTAGTAGGGAACACAGTAAGGATGATGTGGATAATATGAAGGAGCGTGGGAGGCATGAGAATGCCTGGTGACAACGCAACGCTGAGTTCGCTTTTGAATCAGTACTGAAAAAATGCAAGCTGTGAAAGAGGCTTGTGTGAATGTTCCAGGACAGTTTCCAGGAGTCAAAATATTCGACACTAAACCATTTCATCCTTTTTACTTGACGTTTTTGTGGGAAGAATATTAGAGCCGCTATAGAAATCTATAAGTCACTAAACGGGTACCTAACCCTAATGATCGTAAAGGGTGATTGATCGTAAAAGGGTGATTGATCGTAAAAGGGTGATTGATCGTAAAAGGGTGATAGATCATAAAGGAGATCCAAGGGTTAAGGATAGAGTTCGGGGTAACCTAACCTAACACTGGCGACATTTGGATGTGTTCAGCGCCAAAATAATATACCTAATACACTGCATTCTTGTGCATAATAATGAAAATTAATGAACTGAAAAAATAATATGTATATAAGTTCCCATTTATAACCCTTTTAGCCACTTGGATTACAAGAAAAACGAAATAAGAAATAAGTGCTTTCGTAAACTAGCACTTGCTCTAAAATGCGCCGCCGCAGGCTATATTTAGTTAACAATTATTAAAAACTTTCAACACTGCTGGGCTTATTCAATGACATTGTGTGTAGAGATATTAGATCGCTGGGAGGTCACAGGGCATTGTTTCGCCTGTGTGACTGGCAACAAAATACTACGAATTCCGTCATAGGGTATTGTCACGTGTTTGAAAAGTTTGTGGTACTGTATTCTAAAGGTAGGTCCGAGGTCGGATGCCTTGTCCACATGACCAATGAGGTTAACCCCGCCATCAAGCTGACACGGTGAGGATATCATCTGTGGGATTACTAAATGGCAACATTCCAGTTAACCGAGTGCAGCCTATACACAAATTGTCTGCATGAACTGCTACCATAAAGTTTGTGGTGGCGTAAATGCCGGAAGCCTTCACGGTGTTCACTAGCTCAGGCCTTAAGGTTGCGACTAAAACTGGCGCCGATGCTACCTAAATTTCAATTTGTCTACTGTCTGAAATACAGAGGTAGCCAAATGACTACCTTGAAAAATATCTTGTGACTTCTGCAGACTGCAGAAAATAAATGACAGTTGATCTTGGAAGACACGTCTTACTAAAAAATTCCTCCTAAAGTCAACAATGAACCGAAATACATAAATATTAATGTCATTAGTATTTTATTTTAGTTGATAGTTTATTTGATAAGCAAGTATATACCTATATTATCTAAACTGCATCATTGTTCGAGACACAAATAACAAAACTCAAGTACAGTTTCCACTAATATACAATTCCAAGACTAGTGCTATGACTTGTACATATAATAGTTTTTTGATAAAAGATAATTTCAAATGCTTTCCCCTTCCTACAATATTGGCTTATCTCTTGATTTTACCACTGGCTACCTGGACAAAACTACTTGTAGCCATATTGCTGCTTGGTAAATATTTAAACTTTGAGACCTGATGCTTCAGTACATGGTAACCTAGGCACAAAAGGAAATATTTTGCTAGGTGAGGTAAGAAGCTGGATGCATGTTGAACACACTATCACAATGTACGCTGGGGGCCAGGTAGAGAACGCCGCTCATGGATGTGATGGTGCAATACTTGACAGGTTGTCATAGTAGGAGTCTCAAATTGCTTGCTGACAGGTTTATCAAATTATTTATCCTCAGCACGAAGGAGGAAGCACCTGCTGAGAAAGTTGACGAGAAAGTTGGTGAGAATGTTGACGAGACCAAGTTGGCTATCAACATGCTGGCCCAAGGCAAGAGGAACATCATCTGTGGCGAGATCCCAGTGGCTGTCAACCAGTTCCAGGAGGCATGTGCCATGCTGTGAGTAAACACACGGGTTGCCCTGAGTAAACACACGGGTTGCCCCTGGTAAACACACACGGGTTGCCCCTGGTAAACACACACGGGTTGCCCCTGGTAAACACACACGGGTTGCCCCTGGTAAACACACACGGGTTGCCCCTGGTAAACACACACGGGTTGCCCCTGGTAAACACAAACGGGTTGCCCCTGGTAAACACAAACGGGTTGCCCCTGGTAAACACACACGGGTTGCCCCTGGTAAACACAAACGGGTTGCTCCTGGTAAACACACACACGGGGTGCCCCTGGTAAACACACACGGGGTGCCCCTGGTAAACACACACGGGTTGCCCCTGGTAAACAAGGAGCCAGTGCTCATTTAGTTTTGGTTGAGTTTCCATTCTTTCATGATAATGTTATGACTGAACGTATCTGTTCCCATGGTTACAAGTGTAGTGCCTTCTGACATATATCTACTTTGTTGTTTAACGTCACATAGTGCAGTAAGCCAGCTCTGTGATGACGGTCAGTAAATAATAAAACTTGGACATGACAGTCAAGTGATTGACATCATGAGCATCAGTCGTCGCAGCTGATATGCATCAACCAAGTCCAAGCTTTACTACCTGTTAGTTACCTCTTACAACAAGCACAAGACCAATTCTACCTGCAGATCTTCATGGAACTCTTGTAAGTATTTGAATCTGTTGTTGCCAGGGCCAAGCAGTACGGGGAGACGGCGGCGGAGTGTGCGGAGGCCTACTTCTGTTACGGGCAGTCGCTGCTGGACCTGGCTCGCATGGAGACCGGGGTCCTGGGCAACGCTTTGCAAGGAGGTGTGGTATTAAATCACTTTGGTGTCTATGATCCATTATTACTGAGCTAAACAATCTTTGCCTTAAGCTGTGGCCCCCAGATACACCCGAGTCACATGTTTTCTACTGTGAGATCTGAACAGTTTCTAGTTATTGAATGGTCGCTGTAGGTTGCTGTGTAATGAATATTGAAGGAGCTGGCCATGAGTACTGAAATATACACCAATTGTTTGCCCTTGTTAATATTTGTTCTGTTACATGTAACATTGTTTGTATATGAAGGCAGCCATAAGAACTCTTCTGTCCTGGAGATCTGTTTCTCATTGCAAACCTTTCTTTGATTATGACTTACCACAGTGATAGCTAAACATTTTGGCATGACATTGTAACCATGGAAACTGACATTCTGCAGTTGATGTTGACACAGAAGATGATGGGGAGGAGAAGGAGGCAGCAAAAAATGAAAAGTTTGAGAAACCCGAAAATCTTGAAGGTGAGTAAAGCCTCCATCCTTCAGCGAGACTAAGTCTGGTGGTTGTCGTGGATACAGTGGCCATCAGAAATGACAGGGATGGTGTTGAGCAAGGCTGGGGGTTGTCTTGGATACAGTGGCCATCAGAAATGACAGGGATGGTGTTGAGCAAGGCTGGGGGTTGGCGTGGATACAGTGGCCATCAGAAATGACAGGGATGGTGTTGAGCAAGGCTAGGGGTTGGCGTGGATACAGTGGCCATCAGAAATGACAGGGATGGTGTTGAGCAAGGCTGGGGGTTGTCGTGGATACAGTGGCCATCAGAAATGACAGGGATGGTGTTGAGCAAGGCTAGGGTTGTCGTGGATACAGTGGCCATCAGAAATGACAGGGATGGTGTTGAGCAAGGCTAGGGTTGTCGTGGATACAGTGGCCATCAGAAATGACGGGTGGTGTTGAGCAAGGCTGGGGGTTGATGATCAACACGACAGTACATGCACAGCCTACCTGTCACAAAGTGCGCTGGACGTCAGAGTTTGAAAAAAGATTAAAACATAGAAGTTGTTTATGATTAATAGTGTTAGCATACATTTGTCGAGTGTTATGCACAGAAAAAACCTACATCGTATCCCTTCAGGGAGTTCAGGGGAATGAACAAACATTGGTCAATAACTAGACCTGATGATTCACCATTACAAGTTGTAGTTACCGCTCTACAAGGCATTGTTTTTTATGCAGAGATGAAAGATTACAGAGTGTATTTCTTGTCAACTAAGCTGGAAATAGCCATCAGCAGTGCACCCGTTATCTCACAATCTACTAGTTAGTTAACTACCCAATGACACAACTTCAAAGAACTTTGATCAAATGTTGAAGAAATTGTATCTGAAATTATTTTGTCAGGTGTTATTTTAGTCGTGCTATTTTACATGTTTATGATTACTAGAACCATAAGCGTGTCACTTTGGTAACGCTGATGCCATTGCCAAATATGTTTTTAAACGCCGAACAATTTGACCAGTCACCATGGAGACCTCTCACGCTACGTACATTTCGTTTTTGAACATGTCATGTTGACATGAAAGTCAATTGCCACAAATAGGATGGTGTAATACTTGAGTTTATTAAAAATGTAATGAATTCTTAGGAGTCATCCGTTACTGCACGTTACTATAGTTACGGCCATATTGAATTTGAAGGGCGCAATAGCCAGGGAACACTGTAGTTTTAGTATAAGCATTTACTTTAAAGTTTAGACCAATCTTTGGCATGCAATATTATTTTGAATAATTTGTCCATCCATTGCTCGTCAGGTGCAGTTGATTGTTTTAGAAAGAATGCCCTGCTTAACAGTCGGCTGTCTGTCACTAGTACCACGAGACCCAATTCAGGCGAACCATTGTGGTAAATTTCATTTGATATTGTAAGCTTTCACATGTTTAACAATTCTGCTTGGTTCGAAAGGTTGATTTTTAGCATGAAAGAGTTTTGGGATGGTTAATCAGTTTAAAAGTTTAGGATCCTAGTGTTAAAATATGAAACTGTAGAGAACGCTGCGAGCAAAGTTTGACATGAATTTTGACAAATGTTGCTTTTTGTCTTCCTTTCTCCTCTGCTTCTGGACTTTGCATTGCTTCAGTATTTCTGTGTCAGTTGTGACTGGTAGTGGCAGCATAGGCAGGTTGGTGGGACCTGAGGACCTGAGGACTTGAGGACTGCCCTGTAGAAGGTTCCAGGTCGAGATCCCACCACCCTGAACATGGTCCATCTGTGGGACCCAACTGATGTCATGGGACATCGACAACTGATGTCATGGGACATCGTCAACCACTTGTTTGCATCGCAAAGATAATATCTGCAGTGATAAAGCTGAAATATTGTCGAGTACTGCGCAGATCAACTCTCACCACTGAATGTATTTGACTTGTGAGATCTTTGCCTGCAGTATGGCAGATCAACTCTCACCACTGAATGTATTTGACTTGTGAGATCTATGCCTGCAGTATGGCAGATCAACTCTCACCACTGAATGTATCTGACTTGTGAGATCTATGCCTGCAGTATGGCAGATCAACTCTCACCACTGAATGTTTTTGACTTGTGAGATCTATGCCTGCAGTATGGCAGAATGGTCCATCTAGGAACAGTGAAACACATTGCATGAAGTGTTTGGATGTTAATGTGAAATGAGATGTGATTGCTTGGTTATTATTGGTTCTTGTATACTGACCCAAGTTTCAGCAGGAGTCAGTAACCATGGTAACTTGTCTTGGCTGTTCCGGAGTCTTTTGTTTTGGTTCCTGAATTGCGACGTAACTTTGAGTCTGGATTTTTAACAGGAGAGGAGAGGGAGAAGCTAAGAATGGAGATATATGATGCCATGTCTGAGAAAGATAAGATGGATGTGAAGAAGGCGGAGGATGGCGGCATGGATGTAGACATGGAGGACAAGGAGAATGTAGAAAATACAAAGACTGATAAGGATGGTTCCAAAAATAAAACTGATAAAGTTTTAACAGAAAAAAATGCAAATATAGAAGAAAAAGTTTTAGAAAAGGTTAAAAATAGTAAAAATACTGACGAAATTGTGAAAGAATGTGCAGCAGAGAAGGGTGACAAGACTGAAGGGGAGGGGAAGAAGGGTGACAAGACTGGCGGGGAGGGGGAGACGGCAGGGGAGGACATGGAAACAGATGACAAAGCTGCCAAACAAGGCACCGACATGGAGGCTGGGGAAACAAGGAAAGACGAGGAAAAGAAAGATGAGTCTACAGAAAAGGAATCTAAATCAACAGATACTAAAGATGCTGACACAAAAGATCCTGATGCCAAGAAAGATCCTGATGCCAAAGATGGCGAGGCTAAAACAGAAGGCGACGCCAAGAAAGATGGGGATGCCAAAACAGAGGGCGATACCAAGAAAGATGGGGACGCCAAAACAGAAGGCGACACCAAGAAAGATGGGGACGCCAAAACAGAAGGCGACGCCAAGAAAGATGGGGACGCCAAAACAGAAGGCGACACCAAGAAAGATGGGGACGCCAAAACAGAAGGCGACACCAAGAAAGATGGGGACGCCAAAACAGAAGGCGACGCCAAGAAAGATGGGGACGCCAAAAAGGAAGGCGACGCCAAGAAAGATGGGGACGCCAAAACGGAAGGCGACGCCAAGAAAGATGGGGACGCCAAAAAGGAAGGCGACGCCAAGAAAGATGGGGACGCCAAAACAGAAGGCGACACCAAGAAAGAAGGGGACGCCAAAACAGAAGGCGACAATAAGAAAGATGGTGATGGAAAAACTGATGTGGGTGCAAAAGGAGAGGGAGACAAAGAAGTGAAGGAGGATGCTGCCACAGATGCAAATACGGAGGAGAAAATGGAAGCTGACGATGAGGAAGCTATGGAAACAAGTGAGAAAGGTGGACATTGGTTCTAAGATTACCAGGCAAATGGTTTGGCTAACCTTGTTATTTTATTTGATGACACAACACACTGACAGCTTTCTTGTACAGCACTTCATTGTTCTTGTACAGCACTTCATTGTTCTTGTACAGCACTTCATTGTTCTTGTACAGCACTTCATTGGTAACACCCTGCACCGGCATGCTGCTTGTCTTTTCACATTCCACTCCAACTAACCATGTTTGTTTACTAGCAGAAGCGTTATAGGGTAACACATTTTCTTGCAAATAAAATTTATCATCCAAAACTGGCTCCCACAGGATATATCGCTTGGGTGAGATCAAGCGATATCTACACTGTAGATATTGCTGCAATGAACTTGCATCACAATGCTTTGCAGATCATTTTGATGTCATTGGTTACCATGAGGTCACAATCAAATGACATCACTAATGGCTCTGCTACTGAAGCTGTAAGCAGTACTTTTTATTTCCGCTTAAGAGACTGCTTATTACTGTCGACGAACTGAAAAAGTTGGAAGAATGATGTTGGTTGATAAATAAAATCTCACCCTCATGTCGTTGATATATTTGATATCAAAAGACACGAGGGGTGAGATTCTCTATATGTGAGAAGAATGTGGGACAAGTTTGACACAATTGCTGACATTATTTTAACATTTCTGTACATGTAAGAATTGGGAAAAGTAGTTGCATTAATACCGTATGGAACCTCGATCTGGTTGTTCATCCGTGAGCATGGCTGAAGGCCAAAACCAGGTCCTGTCCTCAGGTACATGTACGTATGTCCTCGGCCACATGCACCTATGTCCTTGGCTACATGTACGTATGTCCCCGGCCACATGCACCTATGTCCTCGGCCACATGTACGTATGTCCCCGGCCACATGCACGTATGTCCTCGGCCACATGTACGTATGTCCTCTGCCACATGTACGTATGTCCCCGGCCACATGTACGTTTGTCCCCGGCCACATGTACGTATGTCCTCTGCTACATGTACGTATGTCCTCGGCCACATGCACGTATGTCCTCGGCCACATGCACGTATGTCCTCGGCCACATGCACGTACGTCCTCGGCCACATGTACGTACGTCCTCGGCCACATGTACGTATGTCCTCGGCCACATGTACGTATGTCCTCGGCCACATGCACGTATGTCCTCGGCCACATGCACGTATGTCCTCGGCCACATGCACGTATGTCCTCGGCCACATGTACGTACGTCCTCGGCCACATGTAAGTACGTCCTCGGCCACATGTACGTACGTCCTCGGCCACATGCACGTACGTCCTCGGCCACATGCACGTACGTCCTCGGCCACATGCACGTACGTCCTCGGCCACATGTACTTACGTCCTCGGCCACATGCACGTACGTCCTCGGCCACATGCACGTACGTCCTCGGCCACATGTACTTACGTCCTCGGCCACATGTACTTACATCCTCGGCCACATGCACGTATGTCCTCGGCCACATGTACGTATGTCCTCGGCCACATGCACGTATGTCCTCGGCCACATGTACGTATGTCCTCGGCCACATGCACGTATGTCCTCGGCCACATGTACGTACTTCCTCGGCCACATGCACGTATGTCCTCGGCCACATGTACGTATGTCCTCGGCCACATGCACGTATGTCCTCGGCCACATGCACGTATGTCCTCGGCCACATGCACGTATGTCCTCGGCCACATGTACGTACGTCCTCGGCCACATGTACGTACGTCCTCGGCCACATGCACGTACGTCCTCGGCCACATGCACGTACGTCCTCGGCCACATGCACGTACGTCCTCGGCCACATGCACGTACGTCCTCGGCCACATGTACGTACGTCCTCGGCCACATGTACTTACGTCCTCGGCCACATGTACTTACGTCCTCGGCCACATGCACGTACGTCCTCGGCCACATGCACGTATGTCCTCGGCCACATGTACGTACGTCCTCGGCCACATGTACGTACGTCCTCGGCCACATGTACGTACGTCCTCGGCCACATGTACGTACGTCCTCGGCCACATGTACGTACTTCCTCGGCCACATGTACGTATGTCCTCGGCCACATGTACGTATGTCCTCGGCCACATGTACGTATGTCCTCGGCCACATGTACGTATGTTCTCGGCCACATGTACGTATGTCCTCGGCCACATGTACGTACGTCCTCGGCCACATGTACGTATGTCCTCGGCCACATGTACGTATGTCCTCGGCTACATGTACCTATGTTCTCGGCTACAGTACTTATGTCCACTGTTGTGTGTCCCTTGCTGCAACAGTCTCTTTCCATGTTGATAAATTCAAAATGGCTGCAATTACAGCCATCTTTACTTACGAGGGGCGTTCAATAAGTTTTGCAACTTCAATATATGACCAAGTAGCAGAATATCTTTTGCACTTTTATTTTTCAATATAATCTCCATTCAATTCAATACACTTATTCCATTTGTCCTTCAAGCTTTTAATACCACTTTTATATAAATTTCGCTCTTTGGCCCGCTAACCACGCCTCTGTGGCAGCCTTTATGTCCTCGTCATCCTGGAAGCGTCTTCCACGAAGGGCAGATTTCATTTGCTGGAACAGGCAATAGTCACTTCGGGCTTAGTCTGGGCTGTAGGGTGGGTTATTTAACTGTCCTTACCATCACTTTACACATGCGATCATGGATTTCTTTGGCTTTGCATCCTTCGTAAGGAACTTTATTACAGCGCATTGTTCATGTTTGAGAGAATCCATGATTGTGACCACCCTTTGGTGAATGAAGCCATCACATCTAACTTATTGTTGTCTGGAACTTGTTATGACACATGTCAACCTGATGTTATGACTAGTGTCAGACCTGCCACAAGTTGACATGGTTTGTGTAAACACAAATGCCCAAGTTGCAAAACTTATTGAACGCGCGCGCTCTGCACGCGCTCTTACGTTCTCGGAGTCAGGAATTAGTTCTCTCTAATGCCATCAAACTGTTTGATAATAATCCTCAAATGGCTTCAATGAATTGAGTACACCCCTGGACAGGACAAATGTTTTTATGGGTGCTCTTGTAGAAGTTTTTTAAATTTGTCGTTTTGTTTGAAGAAACTGGTGAATCCTCGGCAACCAAGGATGACAAAGAAACCAAAGATGGTGAAGAGGAGGAGGAGGAGGAAGAAGAGGAGGAGGAAGGTGATGAGACGGCGGAGGGAGAGGGGGCTGAAGGAACCAGTGAGCCAAAGGAGGGAGAGGTAATGTTGTCCAGGGAGGGGGAGAGGCAATGTCGTCCAGGGAGGGGGAGGTAATGTCGTCCAGGGAGGGGGAGAGGCAATGTCGTCCAGGGAGGGGGAGAGGCAATGTCGTCCAGGGAGGGGGAGAGGCAATGTCGTCCTGGGAGGGGGAGGTAATGTCGTCCAGGGAGGAGGAGGTGATGTCGTCCTGGGAGGGGGAGGTAATGTCGTCCAGGGAGGGGGAGGTAATGTAGTCCTGGGAGGGGGAGGTGATGTCATCCTGGGAGGGGGAGGTAATGTCGTCCAGCGAGGGGGAGGTGATGTCGTCCTGGGAGGGGGAGGTGATGTCGTCCAGCGAGGGGGAGGTAATGTCGTCCAGCGAGGGGGAGGTAATGTAGTCCTGTGAGGGGGAAGATGTGATGTCATCCAGGGAGGGGGAGGTAATGTCATCCAGGGAGGGGGAGGTAATGTCATCCAGGGAGGGGGAGGTAATGTCATCCAGGGAGGGGGAGGTGATGTCGTCCTGGGAGGGGGAGAGGTAATGTCGTCCAGGGAGGAGGAGGTGATGTCGTCCTGGGAGGGGGAGGTAATGTCGTCCAGGGAGGAGGAGGTGATGTAGTCCTGGGAGGGGGAGGTAATGTCATCCAGGGAGGGGGAGGTGATGTCGTCCTGGGAGGGGGAGAGGTAATGTCGTCCAGGGAGGAGGAGGTGATGTCGTCCTGGGAGGGGGAGGTAATGTCGTCCAGGGAGGAGGAGGTAATGTAGTCCTGGGAGGGGGAGGTAATGTCGTCCTGGGAGGGGGAGGTAATGTCGTCCAGGGAGGAGGAGGTGATGTCGTCCTGGGAGGGGGAGGTAATGTCGTCCAGGGAGGGGGAGGTAATGTAGTCCTGGGAGGGGGAGGTGATGTCATCCTGGGAGGGGGAGGTAATGTCGTCCAGCGAGGGGGAGGTGATGTCATCCTGGGAGGGGGAGGTGATGTAGTCCAGGGAGGGGGAGGTAATGTAGTCCAGGGAGGGGGAGGTGATGTAGTCCAGGGAGGGGGAGGTAATGTAGTCCAGGGAGGGGGAGGTAATGTAGTCCTGGGAGGGGGAGGTAATGTAGTCCAGGGAGGGGGAGGTGATGTAGTCCAGGGAGGGGGAGGTAATGTAGTCCTGGGAGGGGGAGGTAATGTAGTCCAGGGAGGGGGAGGTAATGTAGTCCAGCGAGGGGGAGGTGATGTCGTCCAGGGAGGGGGAGAGGTAATGTAGTCCAGGGAGGGGGAGGTAATGTAGTCCTGGGAGGGGGAGGTAATGTAGTCCAGGGAGGGGGAGGTAATGTAGTCCAGCGAGGGGGAGGTGATGTCGTCCAGGGAGGGGGAGAGGTAATGTAGTCCAGGGAGGGGGAGGTAATGTAGTCCAGGGAGGGGGAGGTGATGTCATCCAGGGAGGGGGAGGTAATGTAGTCCAGGGAGGGGGAGGTGATGTAGTCCAGGGAGGGGGAGGTAATGTCATCCAGGGAGGGGGAGGTAATGTAGTCCAGGGAGGGGGAGGTAATGTCGTCCAGGGAGGGGGAGGTAATGTAGTCCAGGGAGGGGGAGGTAATGTCATCCAGGGAGGGGGAGGTAATGTAGTCCAGGGAGGGGGAGGTGATGTAGTCCAGGGAGGGGGAGGTAATGTCATCCAGGGAGGAGGAGGTAATGTAGTCCAGGGAGGGGGAGGTAATGTCATCCAGGGAGGGGGAGGTAATGTCATCCAGGGAGGGGGAGGTAATGTAGTCCAGGGAGGGGGAGGTGATGTCGTCCTGGGAGGGGGAGGTAATGTCATCCAGGGAGGGGGAGGTAATGTAGTCCAGGGAGGGGGAGGTGATGTAGTCCAGGGAGGGGGAGGTGATGTAGTCCAGGGAGGGGGAGGTGATGTAGTCCAGGGAGGGGGAGGTAATGTAGTCCAGGGAGGGGGAGGTGATGTAGTCCAGGGAGGGGGAGGTAATGTAGTCCAGGGAGGGGGAGGTGATGTAGTCCAGGGAGGGGGAGGTAATGTAGTCCAGGGAGGGGGAGGTGATGTCATCCAGGGAGGGGGAGGTAATGTAGTCCAGGGAGGGGGAGGTGATGTCATCCAGGGAGGGGGAGGTAGTCCAGGGAGGGGGAGGTGATGTAGTCCAGGGAGGGGGAGGTGATGTAGTCCTGGGAGGGGGAGGTAATGTAGTCCAGGGAGGGGGAGGTGATGTAGTCCTGGGAGGGGGAGGTAATGTAGTCCAGGGAGGGGGAGGTAATGTAGTCCAGGGAGGGGGAGGTAATGTAGTCCAGGGAGGGGGAGGTGATGTCATCCAGGGAGGGGGAGGTAATGTAGTCCAGGGAGGGGGAGGTAATGTAGTCCAGGGAGGGGGAGGTAATGTAGTCCAGGGAGGGGGAGGTGATGTCATCCAGGGAGGGGGAGGTAATGTAGTCCAGGGAGGGGGAGGTGATGTAGTCCAGGGAGGGGGAGGTAATGTCATCCAGGGAGGGGGAGGTGATGTAGTCCAGGGAGGGGGAGGTAATGTCATCCAGGGAGGAGGAGGTAATGTAGTCCAGGGAGGGGGAGGTAATGTCATCCAGGGAGGGGGAGGTAATGTCATCCAGGGAGGGGGAGGTAATGTAGTCCAGGGAGGGGGAGGTGATGTAGTCCAGGGAGGGGGAGGTAATGTCGTCCTGGGAGGGGGAGGTAATGTAGTCCAGGGAGGGGGAGGTAATGTAGTCCAGGGAGGGGGAGGTAATGTCATCCAGGGAGGGGGAGGTAATGTAGTCCAGGGAGGGGGAGGTGATGTCATCCAGGGAGGGGGAGGTGATGTCATCCAGGGAGGGGGAGGTAATGTAGTCCAGGGAGGGGGAGGTAATGTCATCCAGGGAGGGGGAGGTAATGTCATCCAGGGAGGGGGAGGTAGTCCAGGGAGGGGGAGGTGATGTCATCCAGGGAGGGGGAGGTGATGTCATCCAGGGAGGGGGAGGTAATGTAGTCCAGGGAGGGGGAGGTAATGTCATCCAGGGAGGGGGAGGTAATGTCATCCAGGGAGGGGGAGGTAATGTCATCCAGGGAGGGGGAGGTGATGAAGTCCTGGGAGGGGGAGGTAATGTAGTCCAGGGAGGGGGAGGTGATGTCGTCCTGGGAGGGGGAGGTAATGTAGTCCAGGGAGGGGGAGGTGATGTCGTCCTGGGAGGGGGAGGTAATGTCATCCAGGGAGGGGGAGGTAATGTCATCCAGGGAGGGGGAGGTGATGTCGTCCTGGGAGGGGGAGGTAATGTTGTCCAGGGAGGGGGAGGTGATGTAGTCCAGGGAGGGGGAGGTGATGTAGTCCAGGGAGGGGGAGGTGATGTAGTCCAGGGAGGGGGAGGTGATGTAGTCCAGGGAGGGGGAGGTAATGTCATCCAGGGAGGGGGAGGTGATGTAGTCCAGGGAGGGGGAGGTGATGTAGTCCAGGGAGGGGGAGGTGATGTAGTCCAGGGAGGGGGAGGTAATGTAGTCCAGGGAGGGGGAGGTGATGTAGTCCAGGGAGGAGGAGGTGATGTAGTCCAGGGAGGGGGAGGTGATGTAGTCCAGGGAGGGGGAGGTAATGTAGTCCAGGGAGGGGGAGGTAATGTAGTCCAGCGAGGGGGAGGTAATGTAGTCCAGGGAGGGGGAGGTGATGTCGTCCAGGGAGGGGGAGAGGTAATGTCATCCTGGGAGGGGGAGGTAATGTCGTCCAGGGAGGAGGAGGTGATGTAGTCCAGGGAGGGGGAGGTGATGTAGTCCAGGGAGGGGGAGGTAATGTAGTCCAGGGAGGGGGAGGTGATGTCGTCCAGGGAGGGGGAGGTAATGTCGTCCTGGGAGGGGGAGGTAATGTCGTCCTGGGAGGGGGAGGTGATGTAGTCCAGCGAGGGGGAGGTGATGTCGTCCAGGGAGGGGGAGGTGATGTCGTCCAGCGAGGGGGAGGTGATGTCGTCCAGCGAGGGGGAGGTGATGAAGTCCTGGGAGGGGGAGAGGTAATGTCATCCAGGGAGGGGGAGGTGATGTCGTCCTTGGAGGGGGAGGTGATGTCGTCCAGCGAGGGGGAGGTGATGTCGTCCAGCGAGGGGGAGGTGATGAAGTCCTGGGAGGGGGAGAGGTAATGTCATCCAGGGAGGGGGAGGTGATGTCGTCCAGGGAGGGGGAGGTGATGTCGTCCAGGGAGGGGGAGGTGATGTCGTCCAGGGAGGGGGAGGTGATGTCGTCCAGCGAGGGGGAGGTAATGTAGTCCAGCGAGGGGGAGGTGATGTCGTCCAGGGAGGGGGAGGTGATGTCGTCCAGCGAGGGGGAGGTGATGTCGTCCAGCGAGGGGGAGGTGATGAAGTCCTGGGAGGGGGAGAGGTAATGTCATCCAGGGAGGGGGAGGTGATGTCGTCCTTGGAGGGGGAGGTGATGTCGTCCAGCGAGGGGGAGGTGATGTCGTCCAGCGAGGGGGAGGTGATGAAGTCCTGGGAGGGGGAGAGGTAATGTCATCCAGGGAGGGGGAGGTGATGTCGTCCTGGGAGGGGGAGGTGATGTCGTCCTGGGAGGGGGAGGTGATGTCGTCCTGGGAGGGGGAGGTAATGTCATCCAGGGAGGGGGAGGTGATGTCGTCCTGGGAGGGGGAGGTGATGTCGTCCAGCGAGGGGGAGGTGATGTCGTCCAGCGAGGGGGAGGTGATGTAGTCCTGGGAGGGGGAGAGGTAATGTCATCCAGCGAGGGGGAGGTGATGTAGTCCTGGGAGGGGGAGGTGATGTCGTCCAGCGAGGGGGAGGTGATGTAGTCCTGGGAGGGGGAGGTAATGTCGTCCAGCGAGGGGGAGGTAATGTAGTCCTGTGAGGGGGAAGATGTGATGTCATCCAGGGAGGGGGAGGGTAATGTCGTCCAGGGAGGGGGAGAGATTGTCAGCTGCAGCTGTAAGGGGACAAATTGGGAGCTTAACAAATGACCATGTTTGAAATGAAGTCTGGAGGTTTTGTCTAAACTGTAATGTTAACACTAATATTTAGCAATCCCTAATCCCAGGACCTCCTTCACTTGGCTGCTGATACAGCGGACTTCGTAACAACCATTTGTTGCCAGTCCCCAGGCAAAACCTCCTGTAAACTGAGAATATTGGCATTGTCCACTCCAAGATATGGGCACTGAGTATTGGCCCCATTTCCAGTTTCCTCTTTACACACTGTCCTTGTTTTCTGACGGATGCTTGCTGTCTCGAGAGGACAACAAGTGCATTGAATGAATTAGATCTGAAATGTACACATCAACTGTGTCAAATGTACATGTCTTCCAATGCTGAACGATATTAAGTGCAGGGATTGTGTGGGAGATCAAGTCTGGATAGGACATTCTTATGTATCTTTTAAAATATTTATGGGCCATTTTGGATGAGGATCAGTCGGTGCCCTAGAGTGTTAACCACTCTGGAACTTGTAAATTCGTTTGATATTTTTTCCTTTGATATTTTTTCCTTTGATATTGGTACTTGTACTGTGAGGCGTGGTACTTGAAAACACTGAGGTGCACAGCGAATGTACATGCTTGTCCTGCATTGTTTGCTTGTGAGACAGAATCTGTTGTTTACGCCTGTGTTTCCTCCGTGTGCAGGAAGATAGTGACGATGTGTCCAACCTACAGCTGGCCTGGGAGATGTTGGAACTCGCCAAGATGATCTACCTCAAGTGAGTGGACAGGACGGGCGGGGGACATGTTTCTTTCCTTATAGAAGCCTGTAGAATCAGATCTGTCAGAAACAGTTTGAACTTTGTGAAAGGCAACTCATCTTTGGCAATTGTGTATATTAGGCTTAAAAAAATAAAAGAATTGGTTCTCAGACAATGGTTTTTGAAAATATAATGCGGGCGGGCGGTGTCCTTTTTTTGGTTGTTAAAACTAGTATGTCACCAAAAAACAGTTGTGTAATCAATAAGCAATTGTGTACAATCAACAATCAACCTCCCTACATAAATGTATTCCTTGGTAAGTAAAATACTGGAATACAGTATTTGACTACTGTTCGACTTGGAATATTTAAGGGTTTTTTGGTGTTTTTTTTTTAAAATGGAAATAAAAACGAAACGTGCGGCGAACTTTATGATGCGGGCGGTGCCTTAGAACCAAGACTATTATATTTTTTTAGCCTTAAGATCAGATTTTTTTTTTTACCATTTCTCATCCAAGTGTTCAAAGCATTAAGCAGAGATTTTCTGGATTTCCGGCACAGAAGCATTCATTCTGTTGTTAAATCGGAGCCATTTAGAAATTTTCAGCCAACCAATATGAAATACATTGCTTTTTTTTTTGCTGACTTCATTATTTTTGTTGTCCTCACACATAAGCGCGAGCTGATGAAGTTTCAGCAGTCGGAGGTTTTATCACTGATCCTCATGCTGGATTCCATAGATTCGTCAGTCGAAAACATCTCTAGATTCTACACATGCCACTTTCTCTTCAGGGAAACTACAAAAGAAGCCCAACTGAAGGCAGCACAAGCGTACCTGAAGCTGGGGGAAGTCAGCCTAGAAACAGGTACCTAGTTCTACAGACAAACCATGGATGTCACAACATTGTACCTAGTTCTACAGACACACCATGGATGTCACAACAGTGTACCTAGTTCTACAGACACACCATGGATGTCACAACATTGTACCTAGTTCTACAGACACACCATGGATGTCACAACATTGTACCTAGTTCTACAGACACACCATGGATGTCACAACAGTGTACCTAGTTCTACAGACACACCATGGATGTCACAACATTGTACCTAGTTCTACAGACACACCATGGATGTCACAACAGTGTACCTAGTTCTACAGACACACCATGGATGTCACAACATTGTACCTAGTTCTACAGACACACCATGGATGTCACAACATTGTACCTAGTTCTACAGACACACCAGGGATGTCACAACATTGTACCTAGTTCTACAGACACACCAGGGATGTCACAACATTGTACCTAGTTCTACAGACACACCATGGATGTCACAACATTGTACCTAGTTCTACAGACACACCATGGATGTCACAACATTGTACCTAGTTCTACAGACACACCATGGATGTCACAACATTGTACCTAGTTCTACAGACACACCAGGGATGTAACAACATTGTACCTAGTTCTACAGACACACCATGGATGTCACAACATTGTACCTAGTTCTACAGACACACCATGGATGTCACAACATTGTACCTAGTTCTACAGACACACCATGGATGTCACAACATTGTACCTAGTTCTACAGACACACCAGGGATGTCACAACATTGTACCTAGTTCTACAGACACACCATGGATGTCACAACATTGTACCTAGTTCTACAGACACACCATGGATGTCACAACATTGTACCTAGTTCTACAGACACACCATGGATGTCACAACATTGGTTTGGGGAGGCTAGACCATAAATAACTTCATATTAATGTTATCCAATTTCTCAGCTTTCATGCATTGTTAGCACGCTTCATGTTTGATAGGTGTGTTCGGGTAGCCTAGTGGTTAAAGCGTTCGCTCATCATGCTAAAGACCTGGGTTCGATTCCCAAATGGGTACAATGTATGAAACCAATTTCTGGTGTCCCCCGCCATGATATTGCTGGAATATTGCTCAAAGCGGCATAAAACCATACTCACATGTTTGATGATAAATAACCCCCAAAACATCATTAAACAATGGAGAAGTCTCCAGAATTCCAGTTTGTGCATGGTGAGAATCGGCTAGGTAGCAGCTGCCTGTGTGGTCTAGTGGGAGATTGTCTGCCCAGAGAGCGGAAAGGCCTGGGGTTTGATCCCTGGCTGCGTTATACCAAAAGATGTTAAAAGATAGTATTTGTGGCCCTGTGGCGCTCAGCATTTGGGGCTAAAAGTGGTTGGCTCAGAGTCTGTGTCGGAGTGGGGTATTCATGTTAAACTGTGGCATGGTATCTCAATGGGCTGGCACTATAGATCGGTATCAGTCCGGACTAGAACAAGCAGCCACACACGTGCATGCACTATATAAGTGCAGTCATCTTCAACGCAACGTTAAACCCCATTTCACCTCCCCATGTTAGGTATCACCAGTGATTGCATGGGCGCTCTCAACATGACAGTCTGCGCCTTGAGCCACGAGTCTCAAGCCCAAGTCCATTAGTATTTACGATCATATATATAATATTTACAACATATGTTCATGCATGTCCTAAGACTCAGATATGCTTGATGTAATAGAGACATGGTGGGGATTGGTTTTTGGCACAGTCCGCACACAACAATACGGTTGTTGACATTATGTTTCAGAGCAGTACGAGCAGGCTACCGAGGACTTCAAGGCTTGTCTGGAAATCCAAAAGAAACACCTTGAAGCCACTGACAGATTGCTTGCTGAATCGTATCCTTTGGATGATCACTGTCTGAAACATTGTCACATTCAGTGTTAGGCTTTAGCATCCGTTCCATAGCTCCTATCATGCCTGGATGTCATCGTGCGAGGCACAGGCGGCCCTGTCACCTGAGGACAGCAGGTCTCTATGCTCATGACATTCCTAATTTGTCGTACCTGTCCTAGAGGGTTTCACCGGCGTGGTGAAGTCAGGACCTGCAACACTTCAAACTTTACACCAACATTCAGCTGACACACCGTCATATCACTGAAGTTGTGATTATACACTGCTGAAATACTCAGTGGTGTTAAGCCTCGCTAATACAAGAAACATTTAAGTTTTAGGGCTGGTGCAATGTCTTAAGGATTTGATTATGAATGATCTGTTGTCCTCAAGTGTAGTGCAATAAATATGCAAGTCTACGTTGTGCAGATTATTCCTGCCTGTGAAGCACTTGTTAATAGCTCACCGATAAGCACTTGTTTTTAGAGCACCCGGTAAGCACTTGTTTTTAGCTCACCGGGTAAGCACTTGTTTTTAGCTCACTGGAAACCAGCTTTTCTCAGGAGATGTGTGTCTGTCATACTTCATTCACTGGTAGAATAGGTCTTCAGCAAACAATGCTTGCCAGGGTAGAATAGGTCTTCAGCAACCCATGCTTGCCGGGGTAGAATAGGTCTTCAGCAACCCATGCTTGCCGGGATAGAATAGGTCTTCAGCAACCCATGCTTCCCGGGGTAGAAGAGGTCTTCAGCAACCCATGCTTGCTGTAAAAGGCGACTATGCTTGTCATAAGAGGCGACTAATGGGATCGAGTAGTCAGGCTCTCTGACTTTGTTGATGCATGTCATCTTATCCCAATTGTGTGAATCATTGCTCATGATATCAGTCAATGGATTGTCTGGCCCAGACTTGATTATTTACAGACCACCGTCATATAGCTGGAATATTGCTGAGTGGGGCATTAAACAAGAAACAAACAAATCACTGGCATCCATGTTGAGATTATTCCTGACAGTGGGCAGGTAGTTGTTTAGTGTCCCTCTTGCTGGTGAGCTGTTGTGCCTTAACGTTGTGAGACATTACCAGCTGGGATTAGCGTTTGGGTTTGACAAGAAGTATGAGGAGTCGGTCAAACACTACAGGGCAGCAATAAAAGTCATCGAAGAAAAAATTGGTGAGTCGTGAATCTGTTTCCTTTACCATAAGTTTCTTTGAATCATAGCTTGACGTAGAAGACCTGTTTGACCAAATTTCGAATGTCTCTGATGGTTGCCTGCCTGGGCTCCGATGGCTGCAATGTGTGGCTTCGATGGTTGCCGTGTGTGGCTCTGATGGTTGCCGTGTGTGGCTCCGATGGTTGCCGTGTGTGGCTCCGATGGTTGCCTGTCTGGGCTCCGATGGTTGCAGTGTGTGGCTCCGATGGTTGCCTGTCTGGGCTCCGATGGTTGCAGTGTGTGGCTCCGATGGCTGCAATGTGTGGCTTCGATGGTTGCCGTGTGGCTACGATGAATGCCTGGGGTTGCAACGTGAGAAGTGAATTTGTCACCCACTTAGTCATGATATGGTTGCCTGTCTGGGCTCCGATGGCTGCAATGTGTGGCTTCGATGGTTGCCGTGTGTGGCTCTGATGGTTGCCGTGTGTGGCTCCGATGGTTGCCTGTCTGGGCTCCGATGGTTGCAGTGTGTGGCTCCGATGGTTGCCTGTCTGGGCTCCGATGGTTGCAGTGTGTGGCTCCGATGGCTGCAATGTGTGGCTTCGATGGTTGCCGTGTGGCTCCGATGGTTGCCTGTCTGGGCTCCGATGGTTGCAGTGTGTGGCTCCGATGGTTGCCTGTCTGGGCTCCGATGGTTGCAGTGTGTGGCTCCGATGGTTGCCTGTCTGGGCTCCGATGGTTGCAGTGTGTGGCTCCGATGGTTGCAATGTGTGGCTTCGATGGTTGCCGTGTGTGGCTCCGATGGTTGCCTGTCTGGGCTCCGATGGTTGCAGTGTGTGGATCCGATGGTTGCAGTGTGTGGCTCCGATGGTTGCCTGTCTGGGCTCCGATGGTTGCCGTGTGTGGCTCCGATGGTTGCCGTGTGGCTACGATGAATGCCTGGGGTTGCAACGTGAGAAGTGAATTTGTCACCCACTTAGTCATGATATCAAGACTTACTTGCATGTAAGAAATTGATGAGAATTTGTTTTAGAAAATAAAGATCAAATGTTCAAAATCATTCCCTATTTTGCCAGGTCACCTTGAGAAGGTCATAGAAGAGCACTCCAAGGGAAAGGGGAAAGGTAAGCACCGATTTAGAAGAAATACTTGCAAAATAGCGCCATGAATAAGGTGAGTTATTCATTCCTAGATTTAGGGGGCTTTCAAGGGGGGTCGCCCTATACACAGGGTAGAAGAGTTTTGATGTTTTTACCCTCTAATACAGTGAGCATGTAACACCGGAAATACCATTCTATATGATGGTGGTCTGTAAATAATCAAGTCTGGACAAGCAGTCCAGTGATTGACATTATGAGCATCGATCCACGCAATTGTGATACGATGACATGCATCAACCAATTAATCATGTAATTACTAGGGCTTGGACGATACACAACCTGTGCGATCTGATAGATACCACAATACCTCGCTCACGATCCAATATGGTGCATGAGCCATCTTTGTCATACAGCTTTGCCAAATACCTGGCACACTAACGATTTACAGAGTGTTGAGAGTCCCAGTTGTATGAGACTGTACAAAACAAGTCGAGTTTCACTCCTCACACACCATAGTTTGATTGGCCGTTTAGTTTTAGCGCTGTAGAGATAGAGGGATGGAGCTATGGTGGGGACCTGGGGCAGGTGGTAATGGCAGATATCGTAGATATGCACTGGATCGTCAAGGGTGTTCAGTGTGTACTTTCCTGGTCCCTAAGGAATAAACAATGTTTGCACTAATTGCTGGCAGTTTAATGTGAAATCTTACAATTATTTTTCAAATGGGGTGGTGGGGTAGCCTAGTGGTTAAAGTGTTTGCTCGTCACACCGAAGACCCGGGTTAGATTCCCAACATGGGTACAATGTTTGAAGCCCATTTCTGGTGTCCCCCAGCCGTGATATTGCTGGAATATCGCTAAAAGAGGCGTAAAACCAAACTGACTCACTATTTTTTAATTGAGATTTTCCTTTGTGTTTTCAGAACTCTCAAGTTCCGATGACCCAGTTACACAGGCAACAAAAGAAATCTCTGAGTTAAAGGAAATCCTGCCCGATATTGCATCCAAGGTAAACAGACTTGTCAGTTTCAGTTATGGGAATGTGCTTGGCCAAATCAAAACATTTTATCTGACCTTTGGATTAGATTGTGACCAAGGGGGTCCTTGTGACTGCAATGTTAGATTTCAGCTTCTTCACACAGGACGTGATGACCTACAGGTGACGGCCAATTTCATCTTTTTAAGACTCGCGGGGGATCCAGGGAAGAATAGTTCAGCAACCCGTGCTTGTCATAAGAGGCGACTTACGGGATCGGGTGGTCAGGCTCGCTGACTTGGTTGATGCATGTCATTGTGGATCGATGCTCATGATGTCAATCACTGGATTGTCTGGTCTAGACTCAATTATTTGCTGACCGCTGTCATATAGCTGGAATATTGCTGAGTGCGGCGATAAACAAATTGGAAAAGAAATCAAGGGTTCAGTGACCTGAGGCACATTACCCTGCAGTGATCTCTGCTGCTATTTTAGTTATTGGGACTTCCGTACAGCCAAACCTACACTTGCTGTAGCTAACGGAAATGTAGGCCAGGTCTTTTATCAGTTTGTTTCTACTTATGTTTTGTTTGCAGATTGAAGACGCAGAGGAGGAGAAGAAGAATCTCGAACAGCTGAAGACGATGACCAAAGAAATTGTTGGAGGAACACTGACCACAGTGAGTGGAGAGGGTCCCTGTTTTATATGACAGTGTTCAACCATGCTTTATGGGGATGACGTATTCTGAATTATCAGATTAAAGTTATAATATAAATTCTGTCTACAAGACTTAAACAGTTACATTCATTTGATGTTTTGAAATAATGTTTACTTTTTATCGCAATCATATTTCTCCTGCTTGTCATGTGACTGCTCGCTTCTGTGAAATAATAGCGGGAAATGTGACACATCGGCTCTATAGTGCTTGCAATTTGGCCATTCACAAAAAGTTCTCTGAACTTGATGCCGTAATGTTTTTGTTCTGGAGTTCCCTCCCTTTCTCCATGTATATTCACTACCATATGAACATACACAATTCTAATGTACCCCATGGCAGGGAATAATAAGGCTGTTTTCTTGTTTCTTTTGTCGGACCTGCTTTTCTTCTAGGTTTATATAGGTAGGGATTTCAATGGTCGAACTTTGAGGATCGGCCAATGCTCAATAAGAAACGTAAATATTGTGAAATTGGTTCAAATGTTGAGATGTTTGCTAATGGATTTGTAAATCTTGTCTTCAAATCTTGCTTCAGTTTACGTCAACCAGTGAAACGACAACAGCAGCAACCCCGGTGAGTGTGAGGAGTGAGCACGTCTTGCAGCTCCAATCTGACAGTCCTGTCTCTCTGAGCGGGGCACCAGTGTTTGAAATCAAACTGCCAGGCTGCCATCAGGACCCACACTGTTCTGTTCAGGCCCTGGACCCGTTGCTTGATGCATGTCATCGTATTCCAAATATGTGGATCGATGCTCATGGTGTCAATCACTGGATTGTCTGGTCCAGACTTGATTATTTACAGACTGCCATCATATAGCTGGAATATTGCTGAGTGCAGTGTTAAATAAACAAACTTCAGGCCCGGACTAAACTCTTCCGGCCTCATTTAAAAAACTGCTTCTTAGTGTGACAAAAAAATCAACCTGTAAGGCGCTGTGATTCGCTGTGCAGAGTTACGTCCCTTGGGCATGCCCCAGAAACCTATGATTGTGGGTTCGAATCCCAGTTTGATTAGTTTCTAGGTGGAAACTCCACACATGGGTGTAAGTGCTGGTGAACCTAGCTGGCAACTCCACACATGGGTGTGAGTGCTGGTGAACGGAGCTGGCAACTCCACACATGGGTGTGAGTGCTGGTGAACGTAGCTGGCAACTCCACACATGGGTGTGAGTGCTATTTACCTGGTGAACGGAGCTGGTAACTCCACACATGGGTGTGAGTGCTATTTACCTGGTGAACGGAGCTGGTAACTCCACACATGGGTGTGAGTGCTATTTACCTGGTGAACGGAGCTGGCAACTCCACACATGGATGTGAGTGCTATTTACCTGGTGAACGGAGCTGGCAACTCCACACATGGATGTGAGTGCTATTTACCTGGTGAACGGAGCTGGCAACTCCACACATGGATGTGAGTGCTATTTACCTGGTGAACCTAGCTGGTAACTCCACACATGGGTGTGAGTGCTGGTGAACGGAGCTGGCAACTCCACACATGGGTGTGAGTGCTATTTACCTGGTGAACGGAGCTGGCAACTCCACACATGGGTGTGAGTGCTATTTACCTGGTGAACGGAGCTGGCAACTCCACACATGGGTGTGAGTGCTATTTACCTGGTGAACGGAGCTGGCAACTCCACACATGGGTGTAAGTGCTGGTGAACGGAGCTGGCAACTCCACACATGGGTGTGAGTGCTATTTACCTGGTGAACGGAGCTGGCCAGTTTGGGCTTGGATCACTGACCTCAGTGAGTTGACTAAACACTGTTAACATTAACTCTCCAGACATCGTTGCACTGATAGTTGGGGTTGATGTTTGTCACCTCATGGCTTGCTCCACATCTCATGTTGTTCCACGTCTCGTGTTGTTCCACGTCTCGTGTTTTGTTTCACGTCTCGTGTTGTTCCACATCTCATGTTGTTCCACGTCTGATGTTGTTCCACGTCTGATGTTGTTCCACGTCTCGTGTTGTTCCACGTCTTGTGTTGTTCCACGTCTCGTGTTGTTCCACGTCTCATGTTGTTCCACGTCTCATGTTGTTCCACGTCTCATGTTGTGTTCCAGATTGAAGTGAAGAAAGCCTCTGACATCAGCCATCTCATCAGGAGGAAGGTAGGTTGACATGATCTCATTTGTATGGATTCTCACAAGCATCTAGATTTCACTTAATACAATACCCCAGGCATCCAGGCAGCAATCTTCGCCAGTTCTTAATCTGATACAACTCATTGTTCACTTATGACCACACACACCAGGTGGCAGCGCTCTGCTAGTCAGTTATGTGCCTGTGTCATGTTAGGATCCACAGCTGATATGTTTGAATCTCCCTAATATGCCACCATTATCATTCTCAGTATGTCTTTAAGAATGTAGACCTGTGCCATGTTGGTGTTCTCTCCACATTGTGATAGAAATGAAACGGTGTCTGGTATATTTCAAGCGTAAACCTGACGAGGATGCAGATGACCCTGAATCGAAGAAATCTCGGCAGGAAGATGGCTCAGGAGACGCCCCCAAACAGAACGGCCATGACAAACCAGCTGCTGATGCCAACAGTACGGAGGTACGCTGATTGTAGAGGTGTGTGGGGTACAGTACGGAGGTACGCTGATTGTAGGGGTGTGTGGGGAGCTACGCTGTTTGTAGAGGGATGTTGGGTGGTTGGTGATGCCAACAGTACGGAGGTACGCTGATTGTAGAGGTGTGTGGGGTACAGTACGGAGGTACGCTGATTGTAGGGGGGTGTGGGGAGCTACGCTGTTTGTAGAGGGATGTGGGGTGGTTGGTGATGCCAACAGTACGGAGGTACGCTGATTGTAGGGGGATGTGGGGTGGTTGGTGATGCCAACAGTACGGAGGTACGCTGATTGTAGGGGTGTGTGGGGTGGTTGGTGATGCCAACAGTACGGAGGTACGCTGATTGTAGAGGTGTGTGGGGTGGTTGGTGATGCCAACAGTACGGAGGTACGCTGATTGTAGGGGGATGTGGGGTGGTTGGTGATGCCAACAGTACGGAGGTACGCTGATTGTAGGGGTGTGTGGGGTGGTTGGTGATGCCAACAGTACGGAGGTACGCTGATTGTAGGGGTGTGTGGGGTGGTTGGTGATGCCAACAGTACGGAGGTACGCTGATTGTAGGGGTGTGTGGGGCGGTTGGTGATGCCAACAGTACGGAGGTACGCTGATTGTAGAGGGGTGTGGGGTGGTTGGTGATGCCAACAGTACGGAGGTACGCTGATTGTAGAGGGATGTGGGGCGGTTGGTGATGCCAACAGTACGGAGGTACGCTGATTCTGGGGTGGTTGGTGATGCCAACAGTACGGAGGTACGCTGATTGTAGAGGGGTGTGGGGTGGTTGGTGATGCCAACAGTACGGAGGTACGCTGATTGTAGGGGTGTGTGGGGTGGTTGGTGATGCCAACAGTACGGAGGTACGCTGATTGTAGAGGGGTGTTGGGCGTTTGGGGATTAGGGACCACAGTGAGAACACGTTCCCTGGAGGTTGACCCTTGGGACTGACATGCATGTGTTGTGCCTATAGTCTTGTCCTGTGTAAGACATCACTGAGCTTGGGACGCGGGTTACTGTGGGTACCCAGCAACGTATGCTTGTAATACCATGGTGGGTCTGATGTTACATCACTGAGCTTGGGACGCGGGTTACTGTCAGCAACGTATGCTTGTAGTTAGCAACGTATGCTTGTAATACCATGGTGGGTCTGATGTTACATCCATGTGAATGGAGTTATACTTAACTTTGAAGTTGGACCCGTCACCTATTTAATTTTGTTTGTTTCAGAAGAAAGAGGAGACCCCTGCTGTCACCACAGAAGCGGAGCCCATGGCAACATGAATGTGCCTTTGTCTCCAGTGCAGAACTCATGATGTTAGTCTCCGGTGTAAGAACGTTGTACATACAGTTGTCCATGTATATACGTAGTTGTACTGTTTCCATTTCATCTGCCATTTGTACAAAATCAAAATATTAAATTGTTTGCATATTTTTTGTCATGTTGATTTTTTTCTCATTTCGAAAGATTTGTTTGAGATAAAAGACGTCAAACTTGGATTGATGCAATGAGAACATCAGCTTCTTGACTCTGTGTGTGTGCGTGCGTGCGTGCGTGCGTGCGTGCGTGGTGAGTGCGCACACAGAGACACACGTGGCCAGGGGCAGATCGGAGTCCTTTTAGGATGGGGGCCTTGATTTGAAAGGCTTTGGCCAATGCTCAAGGTTTCATCATACAGTAAGGGGCAGTCAGGTAGCCTAGTGGTTAAAGTGTTCACTCATCACACCAAAGACCCGTATTTGAGACCCAACATGGATACAATGTGTGAAGCCCATTTCTGGGCCCACTTGCACAGAATAATCTTAGTTACAATCGATCTTAGGCGGCTACAATCAACTTTACAATCACCCTACAATTGTCCTATTCCACTTGCACAAACCGATCTTAACGCGATTGTAAGACGGCTTGGATTTAAGATCGCGATCTTAACTAAGATTGAAATCTTCAATGGTGGAGGTACAAATATCTTAAACTAGACTCCTGTCTATGGTTGTCTGCAAACGCGCAAATCTTGCTGCGCATACAACGTGTGGAACCGGTTACGACATACAACACGTACCTCCCTCCACGCACCTTGCACAGTTGAAAGGTCTCAACTATTTGAAGGAAACTATAATTAGAATGTTGGCATATAGATTTAGTGACATTCTTATTATGAAAGTAAAAATAGAAAATAATAATAGATCTCTATGTCCAAATAACATAACAGGTAAATGTATGATCGTCATCTATTTGGGGGAGCTTTCCGTAAAATCCTAAATACATGTATATCCTTCATGTTTTAGTTTTGCCGCTATTACAAAGGATGTTATGACAACCTTTTCAAAAAACAGTAAGACGGGAGATTTCAAGAATGCATGTACGGGAAATAAGAATAATGTTTCAAGAAAGAAGTTGTTTAATATATATTCATTTGGTATTAATTATATTTTTTAAAAAGTGTGAATTTTACTTTTGCTATTTATTGGATATTTTACACAAATTTCAAATGTCTCATCATGTGTATTTGCTTGTTTGATGAATATTTGTATTAGTTTCTTATAAATTCAGATATTACAACCGCTCGTGACTGTCCCACTCGATTTTAGATATAAACGTATGATTTTGCACTTCAACTTGTGTTTACTTGTAGATTAATTTAATGATAAACTAAAGACAGAATAACTGACACGAATGTGACCCAAAAGAGATACAGGGGGAGCTCGGCGGTTCTACAACATTAATACACTGGGCAAGGTAGATTCTACGATACTTATACAAAGGGAAACCACTCCCATCTAGAATATAAACTATGATTAGCTGCCCTTGATTTATCTTAAAGGTCACGGACGTTACAAATCGCTTGCAGACGACTTAGGTTTTATCCTTCCCTTGATAAGGTATGTTGTTTTAGACTTCTTTCAGCATTGACACGGGTGGGAATAGTACTTTTAACTATCGACTCGATAGTTATGTGGTTCACTATCGCAATTAACGATATTTTTTACTTAAATCTGTGGTGCGGTCTTCGTGTTGTTGAAGTGTCAATTCGAATCGTAAAATCTAACAAAATAAAGAGGCAGTGTTTGATCGTAAAGCAGATTATTAATGTGAAACTGGCCCTGTCTTGCACGCCATTTTGTCAGGGACTACAATGATCTTAGCTACTTAAGATTGGTCTGGACCAATTGTAAGTTTCGATTGTAGCTTACAATGATCTTAACCTACAATCGCTTTGTGCAAGTGGATGGCGATTGTAGCGGAAGCCTAAGATCGCGATCTTAAGGATTTACAATAATTGTAGCGCTGAGATTGCTTTGTGCAAGTGTGCCCTGGTGTGCCCAGCCGTGATATTGCTGGAATATTGCTAAAAGTGGCGTAAAATCAAACTCACTCACCACATACTAACATCTGTACTGGAACATTGCAATGAAAAACTAAGAGTTGAAATCCAAGTCAAATGTCGTCATGGTTACTGCACTTTGATGACACTTAAAGGTCAAGGTCTATGTAAAACATGCTTGTATCAATCAGTTTGAGGCACGGATCTTTGTTTACATGTTTCTTAAATCCTATGTCAATTGCATTTGTCAAGGACACATTTTAGGTAATTGTTTCTTTTGAATATGGCAAGGATTTAACAGGATTTCCTGCAATGGACCTCAGGATTAAGTTTGGCACATTCAGTGAGGTCAAAGTCTGACAACTCTTAGTCTAGATCAGGTACTTTTTGTACCCCTCTCACAAGTGTTGTGGCACAGCTCTTATGTTCTGCCATGTCAAACCATGCAGATATTTGAACCTTGGAACTGGTTCTGTCTGCACCAAGTTCACCTGGAAACATGTCGCACATGGAACAAACCAACTGTATGCATTTGTCTTCCCAAGCAGCTAATGATGACAAACAAGTTGTTTTATTTCACTGTTTACTGCATATCACAGATTGTCTAGTAATCTTGTTCACTTGCAACACACATCACACCAGAGAGAAAGTACAATATGGCTTAAAATGACAGGCAAGGATTTATTTATACGTACATGTAGATGATTAAAGGAACTGCATAAAATCGATGAATCCATTAAAGCTTCACACAAATTGGCACAAGGACTCCATCTTTATCTTAAACCCTGCAGTAAAAATGTCAGTATTCTGGATAAGAAATAATCAGTATATACAAGATCTGTTTTATAAAAAATGACATTGACCTGTAAATGTGACTACATTTCCTTGGTCCCATGAAGATCCAGGGTAAAATAGGTCTTCAGCAACCCATGCTTGCCGTAAAAGGTGACTAACGGGATCGAGTGGTCAGGTTCACTGACTTGGTTGATGCATGTCATTGTATCCCAATTGCATGGATCGATGCTCATGATATTAATCACTGGATTGTCTGGTCCAGACTTCATTATTTACAGTCTGCCGTCATATAGCTGGAATATTGTTCAGTGCAGCATTAAACAACAAACCAACATATCCTTGCGTGTGGTTTGCACATTCATTAGTGAAATCTTAGGTTTGTTGGCTATGGTCTGCAGATACAACAGAGTTACGTCCCTTGGTTCTCAACTGTGGCTGTATTTTGAGTTTGGTCTTCTACCATGCAATGTCCCTGTTCACGAGACACGAGACACGGGCAATACATTGTACCCCAGTTCCCGGGACACGAGACACGGGCAATACATTGTACCCCAGTTCCCGGGACACAGACATGGGCAATACATTGTACCCCTGTTCACGAGACACGAGTCACGGGCAATACATTGTACCCCAGTTCCCGGGACACTAGACATGGGCAATACATTGTACCCCAGTTCCCGGGACACTAGACATGGGCAATACATTGTACCCCAGTTCCCGGGACACTAGACATGGGCAATACATTGTACCCCAGTTCCCGGGACACGAGACATGGGCAATACATTGTACCCCAGTTCCCGGACACTAGACACGGGCAATACATTGTACCCCAGTTCCCGGGACACTAGACATAGGCAATACATTGTACCCCAGTTCCCGGGACACTAGACATGGGCAATACATTGTACCCCAGTTCCCGGGACACGAGACATGGGCAATACATTGTACCCCAGTTCCCGGGACACTAGACATGGGCAATACATTGTACCCCAGTTCCCGGGACACTAGACATGGGCAATACATTGTACCCCAGTTCCCGGGACACGAGACATGGGCAATACATTGTACCCCAGTTCCCGGACACTAGACACGGGCAATACATTGTACCCCAGTTCCCGGGACACTAGACATAGGCAATACATTGTACCCCAGTTCCCGGGACACTAGACATGGGCAATACATTGTACCCCAGTTCCCGGGACACGAGACATGGGCAATACATTGTACCCCAGTTCCCGGGACACGAGACATGGGCAATACATTGTACCCCAGTTCCCGGGACACTAGACATGGGCAATACATTGTACCCCAGTTCCCGGGACACTAGACATGGGCAATACATTGTACCCCAGTTCCCGGGACACGAGACATGGGCAATACATTGTACCCCAGTTCCCGGGACACTAGACATGGGCAATACATTGTACCCCAGTTCCCGGGACACTAGACACGGGCAATACATTGTACCCCAGTTCCCGGACACGAGACATGGGAAGCTTTGGACCAAATCGATCCACATATATATGTACAATTTTTGGTAAAAACAGCTTGTTGATTTATCTGCTTTAAGGCCGTAATTCGGTTGTAAACCAGCGGTCCGATAAGTTGAGACTGGACTCCATGTTGTTGTAACATTAACTTTGAAGATGACTTACATCAAGTTACATGTGAAGAACATAACAAGGCTGTTGTACAGAGTTGACACATTCCAGTGAAATAGAAACTTCTTTTTTTCATTCCATGAGCAGCCGTACACACAGCCATCAATACTGATCACATGGTCTTTGGCTTATATATGGAAGTGATCTGCTTCGTCAGTTTCAGGTAAAATGAGCATAAATCATCATAAAAAAATGTCCTCAGAGCATTGATTTAAAACTTGAAATAAATAGATAAAATACTGATCAACAGTAATAAATTAGGAGAATAATTACATATCATTGCTAGATTGGTATGTACAGTTGGTATGTTATATATACACAATGTAAACAGAAGCAAACGTTGATGCAAGAGCCAGGTTGGACGGAAATTCTTCTAAGCGTAGCAAATGCTAGATCGTAAATATTTCAAAATATAACTCAGATCCATCCTAAAAAGGAGACCACGACAACAGTCACAAATGACTGGACTTTTATCTTTTCGCAAAATTCAACTTCAGATCAGATCTTGAGTTTTGAGAACTGTGACATTGGCGCATTGGCACCCCTGCCGTAATGCTGACTGAGAGTCACAACCTCTGTGGAGATGTGGAAGTGAATGTGAGATTCTTGGTATATCAACATGAAACAGTTTGGTAGACATTGTGTGTTCAGGGTGGGGGCTTGTGCAACACACTTCATGCAACGTGTGCGCTCTGTGGGTGTGTGTGGGGGAGATGTGGCTGGTGGTTATATACATATGTATCAATGTCGATGTTTAGGAGAAGTAACAGTGGAAGCCCACCACACTAGAGTATGTCATGAACTCGTCTAGACTGACAAATGCCCCGAGGAACGTAACCTGGCACCTGTGGCCTGGTGTCTACTCACAGGGGACAGTTGGCAGTGAGCAGGGGTCTCAGACTAACAGTGTTCATGCAGTCAGTGTTCATCAATAGTTTTTGAAACATGGAATTTTTGGACATAAGTGAGCTAAAATCTAATGTTTCGACTGCATTGTTTCAGCCAAATATACTCAACAACAAAAGTTCCTGTGACACCAATATTTTAGTGTATTTTTCAAACAAGTAAAGTTTGTTTTTTGAATATTGTAGTACATGTATGGAATCAAGTCACAGAAAAGCATTCATTCCATGCAAAAGTTGACTTTTATGCAAGCCCCATGCATTTCACTACCCAAGAATGGGTATAAAAACGTGTGTTAACGGGATTCCATATGCATTGTTTAGCATTGTGCTGACAACAACCACTCAGAAAAATAACAAAATGAGTGTCTGCGAGCCATTTGTATGCCTGAAGCAGGATCAAGTCAACGTGATGTTGCAAGACAATTGAATGTCCACAGAAACACTATTGGTGTTTATGGCAGCGTTGGCAACAGACGAATGCAGTCAGAGACCATCCTCGGAGTGGCAGGCCACGCGTAACCAATAATCGACAAGACAACTGGATTCGAACAACACACCTACGAAATCGATTCCAGCCAGCAACAGTGACTGCAAGAAGCATCCCTGGCCTTCGACGAATATCTTCACAAACTGTACGTCGCCGCCTCAGATGTGCAGGACCTTGGCGGACGCCTGGTCCATTCCATGAGACGAAGATGTGTTGCTTGCATCGCAACCAGAGGTGGACACACACGCTATTGATTTGTAAATTGACATTTTGGCATGTTCCTGTTTTGTTATGAAATCACGCATTTTCTGGAGTCAGTATGGCAAATTAAACCATTTGAACAATTACAGGAGTCTTTTATCTGTTGCAAACCGAAATTGTTTCAGATTTGGTAAAAAACATAACTTTGCATTAAATCTTATTGAATGTCACAGGAACTTTGTTGTTCAGTATAGTAACCCTCGATGTGAGATGATCCGATTCCACAGACATTATACAGTCCATGGTGTACTGTTGACAATATGTGATGTGTGAATGTGATGAAGACCGACACAAATGATGTGTAAATGTGGTGATGACATATGATATGGGCTTGTATAAGTGATGTATAATATGTTGTATATACTCCCCACCCCACCAGGGCCTCATTGTGTGAACATGGCAATGGGGATATCCTGGTGATATCCTGGTGATATCCTGGTGTGATCCTGGTGATATCCTGGTGTGATCCTGGTTTGATGACAATGATATCACATCCTGCTATCAGAACTCTCAACGTTATGCAGACTAACAGATACATGGTTGAAATCGATTCTACATCCCAACAGTAATCGGCCTGAAGGCAGCTCCCCTGCCATGGGTTTAAATGTTATGTCATATAGTTACATGTTAAACAATACATACTCATTCAACGGCAAGAGTATTGAACTGTGACCTATCGATATGTAAAAAGAAATGCTTGTGACTTAAATGTAAGTCAGGAAGAAATGTCATTAGTAAAATGATGATCTTATTATAGAGAGTATTCTACCTTAATCAAGTATGTTGAACCATGTTTATCAAGTTGGAAAAAGAATGTTTCTGAAAAAACATGGCACCTAACTTGCTCCTTGCATGTCTACAGTTGGATGCACTGAGAGACTGAAGTTTCATCTTCTTCAGAATTCTAGTCTAAAACTATAGATCGATGTTAGTATGAAGACAATTCTGTTCCTCAACAATAAACTTGTAATACTGCCTTCCAGACAGGCTTCAACACACATCACCAACACCCAGCATCCAGCAGGTCTGGGGATAGATGCACACTGGTATGTTCTGGCACAGGCCGGGATGAAGAGTTGCCTCCCCTGGCAACCACTGGTGATGTCTGTCATTGCAGCAGTCATTATCATCCATCAGAAGTTGACCCAGAAGACGTCAGTGTTGCTGGAGGGTTGACTAGTTGCTGGGGGGCCGAGGAAGGTGCGGGGAACAGCAGTAGAGGGGTCCTCAAACACAACGAAGAACATTTTCAATAAGCGGAGTTCATAACATTTGCTTATCTTCAAATTTCATTGCAGTAAAACACATGTGAAGCTATGTAGCTGATAATTGCATGAACACTTCCGTCTATCGAGTCATGCAGACATATAAAATACTGATATCTACTTGCCATTAGGGGTCCTCAACAGCATAACAGCATGGGTAGTGGATAGGACTGGTTAGTTATAACATGCTGTGTCAGCATAATGTGGGAGGTAAGACCAAAGTACCGCAGATTGGAACCATTTACAAAAAACTTTGTTAGACAATGTTGACCAAGTAAGCATCTTAATCAATCCCACAACCAATGGATCCTGATAGAGCAAAGGGACACCTTCGTGACATCATTGGGTTACAATCACACCATCAGCAGGTTCACACAGCTTGACCACACATCTCCACCTGGTCGGCTCTGTAAGCATGGTCTACTGGGGACTTGTTCTACTCTAGAATCCCCATCAGACCACCTCTAGCAGGTGCACACGGCTTGACCACACATCTCCACCTGGTTGGCTCTGTAAGCATGGTCTACAGGGGACTTGTTCTACTCTAGAATCCCCACCAGACCACCTCTACCAGGTGCACACAGCTTGACCACACATCTCCACCTGGTCGACTCTGTAAGCATGGTCTACTGGGGACTTGTTCTACTCTAGAATCCCCACCAGACCACCTCTACCAGGTGCACACAGCTTGACCACACATCTCCACCTGGTCGGCTCTGTAAGAATGGTCTACTGGGGACTTGTTCTACTCTAGAATCCCCACCAGACCACCTCTACCAGGTGCACACAGCTTGACCACACATCTCCACCTGGTCGACTCTGTAAGCATGGTGTACTGGGGACTTGTTCTACTCTAGAATCCCCACCAGACCACCTCTACCAGGTGCACACAGCTTGACCACACATCTCCACCTGGTCGGCTCTGTAAGAATGGTCTACTGGGGACTTGTTCTACTCTAGAATCCCCACCAGACCACCTCTACCAGGTGCACACAGCTTGACCACACATCTCCACCTGGTCGACTCTGTAAGCATGGTCTACTGAGGACTTGTTCTACTCTAGAATCCCCACCAGACCACCTCTACCAGGTGCACACAGCTTGACCACACATCTCCACCTGGTCGGCTCTGTAAGCATGGTCTACTGGGGACTTGTTCTACTCTAGAATCCCCACCAGACCACCTCTACCAGGTGCACACAGCTTGACCACACATCTCCACCTGGTTGGCTCTGTAAGCATGGTCTACTGGGGACTTGTTCTACTCTAGAATCCCCACCAGACCACCTCTACCAGGTGCACACAGCTTGACCACACATCTCCACCTGGTCGACTCTGTAAGCATGGTGTACTGGGGACTTGTTCTACTCTAGAATCCCCACCAGACCACCTCGGCCAGGTGCACACAGCTTGACCACACATCTCCACCTGGTCGGCTCTGTAAGCATGGTCTACTGGGGACTTGTTCTACTCTAGAATCCCCACCAGACCACCTCTACCAGGTGCACACAGCTTGACCACACATCTCCACCTGGTCGTCTCTGTAAGCATGGTCTACTGGGGACTTGTTCTACTCTAGAATCCCCACCAGACCACCTTTACCAGGTGCACACAGCTTGACCACACATCTCCACCTGGTCGACTCTTTAAGCATGGTGTACTGGGGACTTGTTCTACTCTAGAATCCCCACCAGACCACCTCTACCAGGTGCACACAGCTTGACCACACATCTCCACCTGGTCGACTCTGTAAGCATGGTCTACTGGGGACTTGTTCTACTCTAGAATCCCCACCAGACCACCTCTACCAGGTTCACAGGGCAGGTTATGCTTACCCACTGTCTTTTCATCGATGTGTGCTTGAAGTGTGGGAGTCGGTGCCAGCTGGAAGGGCCGTAGGTATTGATGATGTGTCTGTGAACAGAGAAATAGAGGTGTGTTGGTATTGATAATATGTCTGTGAACAGAGAAATAGAGGTGTGTTGGTATTGATGACGTGTCTGTGAACAGAGAAATAAAGGTGTGTTGGTATTGATGATGTGTCGGTGAACAGAGAAATAGAGGTGTGTTGGTATTGATGACGTGTCGGTGAACAGAGAAATAGAGGTGTGTTGGTATTGATGATGTGTCTGTGAACAGAGAAATAGAGGTGTGTTGGTATTGATGATGTGTCTGTGAACAGAGAAATAGAGGTGTGTTGGTATTGATGACGTGTCTGTGAACAGAGAAATAAAGGTGTGTTGGTATTGATGATGTGTCTGTGAACAGAGAAATAGAGGTGTGTTGGTATTGATGATGTGTCTGTGAACAGAGAAATAGAGGTGTGTTGGTATTGATGATATGTCTGTGAACAGAGAAATAGTGTGTGTGTGTGTGTTAGGTATTGATAATGTGTGAGAACAAAGAAATAGCGGTGTGTAGGTATGGATGATCAACGTGTCTGTGAACAGAGAAATAGCCGTGTGTAGGTATTGATGATCAACGTGTCTGTGAACAGAGAAATAGCGGTGTGTAGGTATTGATGATCAACGTGTCTGTGAAAAGAGAAATTCATGTCATCAGTGATGATGTATTCAAGCGACAATGTTTTTGTCTTTACACATTTTGTTATCAGATTAAAGAAAAGAAATATAAAATATGAATAAAAAACACACTGAGCACAAAATGCCTGACAAATAATGGAAGCCAACCATCAAGAATATGTTGGAAGCAAGTGAGAAACAGTCAGGGAGACATCGAGATACATCTGGGGTGTTAGTCGGCTCTTACTGAAACACAAGGAGCTGCTGTAGGCCATGGAGATAGACCTACCGTATATCGCCGTCTATAAAGTGACCCATGTATAGGCCTTCAAAATGGATGCTAATTTACAAACCCCGTCTATAAAGTGAATCGGAATGAAGCACGTCACCAGCACATACACAATCCCTACATTTGCAATAGAAATGTGTTTGTCTTCACCAGAAAAAAATACATTTATGCCTTCAGCAAATTCAGGGAAACAAACAGATCATAACAATTAAACTTAGTCACGACAAATTTGAAAAATGAGATAAAAAAAACACCAGACATGATGATATACCGATTTAATTTTTCCAGTTCTGATAAGGATTATTAAATATGCAGAGATTAAGATTACTGTCTGTATTTTCTCGTAAACTACCGGTAGGCCAAAAGTAGCAATCAGCGTTTCTCGGAATCGACCAGTGATTTGGTTAAAAATTACCAACTAATAGAACTTTAAAGAATTTTGATACAATGTTCGGAAGAATTGTATCGGAAACTATTATTTTAGCAGGAATAATTTATTCTAATATCATGTTTAATTAGTCACACTTTGGTAACAAATTAATGGGCAGGACTACGGGAAGTACAGGTAACCATCAACAAAAGGATTCCATAGCTCACCTGGCCAAGTGGAGTAATTGTGTTAATCAGATGTTGGAAGTCTGTTACTGGTGTCTGCTACTATTAGCTTCTGTTGATGCCTTGCAATAAGTTACATGTACTTGGAAAACACAATGTCAGTCAAATGGAACTCTCAAATTTCATTTGACAAATACTCCTTGGAAACTGTTCTGGTGGTATGTATCACAACCTCATGGATGGATGGATGGACGGACGGACGGGCGGATGGATGGGTGGACGGACAGATGGATGGATGGATGGATGGATGGATGGACGGATGGATGGATGGATGGATGGATGGATGGATGGATGGATAGAGACAACATGCCATGCCACACATTCACATGGACCTGTGGCCAAGGTGAGCTTGCTGATTATTATAAATTAAAAGATGTAACAGCGATAATAGACTAGGGAAAAACAGTTTACCACAAAGAGGCAAATCCATCACAACCAAACACATTCCAAATACTAAAGAATTGAGATAACAACAAGTCCCAGCACACACACACACAAAAGGAGGCTATAGTCAGGCCGGCAACTAGCTGTAGACCACCTGACAAATCATCGCCATGTGCTGCTCCCCTGTTACAATCAGACATCTGCTGGTCAGAACCATCTACTGGTCAGAACCCTCTACTGGTCAGGACCATCTACTGGTCAGAAACATCTACTGGTCAGGACCATCTACTGGTCAGAAAACTCTGCTGGTCAGAATCCTCTGCTGGTCAGAACCATCTACTGGTCAGAACACTCTACTGGTCAGGACCATCTACTGGTCAGAACCATCTACTGGTCAGAAAACTCTGCTGGTCAGAATCCTCTGCTGGTCAGAACCATCTACTGGTCAGAACCCTCTACTGGTCAGAAAACTCTACTGGTCAGAACCATCTACTGGTCAGAAAACTCTACTGGTCAGAACCATCTACAGGTCAGAACCCTCTACTGGTCTGAACCATCTACTGGTCAGAACCCTCTACTGGTCTGAACCATCTACTGGTCAGAACACTCTACTGGTCAGAACCATCTGCTGGTCAGAACCCTCTACTGGTCAGAAAACTCTGCTGTCAGAACCCTTTGCTGGTCAGAAAACTCTACTGGTCAGAACCATCTACTGGTCAGAACCCTCTACTGGTCTGAACCATCTACTGGTCAGAACCCTCTACTGGTCTGAACCATCTACTGGTCAGAACCCTCTACTGGTCAGAACCATCTGCTGGTCAGAACCCTCTACTGGTCAGAAAACTCTGCTGGTCAGAACCCTCTGCTGGTCAGAACCCTCTACTGGTCAGAACCCTCTACTGGTCAGAACCCTCTACTGGTCAGAACCCTCTGCTGGTCTGAACCATCTACTGGTCAGAACCATCTACTGGTCAGAACCATCTACTGGTCAGAACCCTCTACTGGTCTGAACCCTCTACTGGTCAGAACACTCTACTGGTCAGAACCATCTACTGGTCAGAACCATCTACTGGTCATCACACTCTACTGGTCAGAACCATCTACTGGTCAGAACACTCTACTGGTCAGAACCATCTACTGGTCAGAACACTCTTCAGTGGATCCCTCCCACAGTCACGGTCTTGTGGAGTCGGATGCTGATACTACTCCACACAAGCTCTATCAGATGACCATCAGAGAATATCATGGACATTTTACACCTCCTAGTTCTGAAATCATTCACCTTTAAGTACACCAAACATCTGGTTTGGATGCTGTTATTGTGTATAGAAAACATCAGCTAGGATACAAATTGAATCATTCATACAATACATATTCAGTCCAAATATTTAGGCCACTTAAATGTAAATGTTTTGGGACTTAAGGGATGAAAAGTGTCCATGATAGTCGCCTATGTGTGAACTGGCAGACATCTGAAGGCAGTGTTAAATGTGGTGGTTGGTGGAGGTGGAAGCTAGCCATAATAAGTAAACAATGTCCCACAGTAAACAATGTCCCAATATAAACAATGTCCCAGTGCAAACAATGTCCCAATAAAAACAATGTCCCAGTGCAAACAATGTCCCAATATAAACAATGTCCCAGTGCAAACAATGTCCCAGTGCACACCAGGAGCAGCACACTTGTGGGACAGCTACACCGGCCTTCATCACAGCACACTGCATACCTACCATGGACAGAGTCACAATCCTGGCAAGCATACAGAAACACAACATGGAAGTCAGTCCCTGATTGCTGCTGATGTAGCAGTGCTCATCTCACATGGATGATTATGCAGAAACTAATTACACTCACAGATTAATATACTTCAGACCATTTCAAGTTCTTGTTTTACACATCAGTTGGTAGAGTTGCCGAATGCAGGGTGCAAAGTAACAACATTGTCAGGTTAGAGTTGGTTCCGTAAATATATCTCAAAATAAGTACACACAAACATATACAGTGTATACAAGCAAAGAGATGAGGAAAAACAGCACATTTTTTAGTGTGTTTTCAAATTTTCATAAAGGGTAAGATAGGTGGTAGGCTTGTAAAACAAGAAAACAAACTGGTCTGGGCTTCCTAATACACACGCAGCCTAACATATAGACTGTGAATATTTGATCTTTTATGTATTTACAGTTGCAGAAGATGTTAAAAACAACAGCAGTTTCCTTTATAATTATTCAACACTATCGTGCATAGTGATATCTGATAATAGTAATTGACTATGTCCTGCTGAAGGATTCCCTACAAATACATGCAGTGCCCTAGCAAGTAACACGACTCCAGGCAGCTTCTTGCTTATTAGACATTCATTAGCTGTTAGACGTGAATACATGCAGTGCCCTGGCAAGTAACACACGACTCCAGGCAGCTTCTTGCTTATAAGATATTCATTGGCTGTTAGACAAGAATACATGCTGCACAGGCCGATAGCCATAGTCTACCATACATCGTAAATAAGAATTAATGTACAATCTAATTACATGCATGTTATATAATCTACAATCTACGCACATGCATGTTATATAATCTACAATCTACACACATGCATGTTAGATAATCTACAATCTACGCACATGCATGTTAGATAATCTACAATCTACGCACATGCATGTTAGATAATCTACAATCTACACACATGCATGTTAGATAATCTACAATCTACGCACATGCATGTTAGATAATCTACAATCTACGCACATGCATGTTAGATAATCTACAATCTATGCACATGCATGTTAGATAATCTACAATCTACACACATGCATGTTATATAATCTACAATCTACACACATGCATGTTATATAATCTACAATCTACACACATGCATGTTAGATAATCTACAATCTATGCACATGCATGTTATATAATCTACAATCTACACACATGCATGTTAGATAATCTACAATCTATGCACATGCATGTTATATAATCTACAATCTACACACATGCATGTTATATAATCTACAATCTACGCACATGCATGTTAGATAATCTACAATCTATGCACATGCATGTTAGATAATCTACAATCTACACACATGCATGTTATATAATCTACAATCTACACACATGCATGTTATATAATCTACAATCTACACACATGCATGTTAGATAATCTACAATCTATGCACATGCATGTTATATAATCTACAATCTACACACATGCATGTTAGATAATCTACAATCTACACACATGCATGTTATATAATCTACACACATGCATGTTATATAATCTACAATCTACACACATGCATGTTAGATAATCTACAATCTATGCACATGCATGTTATATAATCTACAATCTACACACATGCATGTTATATAATCTACAATCTACACACATGCATGTTATATAATCTACAATCTACACACATGCATGTTATATAATCTACAATCTACACACATGCATGTTATATAATCTACAATCTACACACATGCATGTACAGCCAAACTGTAGCACAATACATGCTGTATACCAACCAGTAGGAATCTGGCTGTAAGCAGGCACATGCTACAAGGCAGCCTATAGACCAACAAGCTGTAGATCTCACCACCACCACCACCAGACATGTGTCACGTGACACGGGACATGTGACCAACTCTGACCAATGATGTCACTCAACAAGTATCTGATTGTTAACACTGCACTTGGCAATATTCAAACTATGTGATGGCAGTCTGTAAATAATCAAGTGTGAACAAGACAAGCCAGTGATCATCATGAGCACTTGATCTACACAATAGTGATACGATTTTATACATCAACCAAGTCAGCGAGCCTGACCACCCGATCCTGTTAGTCGCCTCTTGCAACAAGAATGGGTTGCTGAAGATCAATTCTAACCGTCTTCACGTGGTGCCAAGTCTCAGCGGACAAGCAGACAGAAGTAAGTCCTACCACATTTCTGTAGACAAGCCGACCCCAGTGACAAAAAAAATAATATTATAAGTGTCTTCAGCTATAATCCTACAAAATGCTTTAAGTATCTACAATGGAACCTCTCTCTAAGCATGTTAATTATCAATACCAAATTTGACTCGACGGCCACTGAAGAGTTGACCTGATCCCTACCGCCCCTATATTGCACAATGCTTTGTGAGATAGTTGTTTATTTTCTCTCTTGAAAAAGAATCCATAGAAATGGGTTGAGAAAAATTGGGTTTTTGATTGAAATCCTTAGCTCTGTTTACACTAAAATCATTAGGATAGACATGTCTGCGAAACTTCCACCATAGCGACCATCTGCAGACTTGATGAGGGTTGCACGATGTCTGCCAGTGAGACATGTCTGGGTGGTTATATGATGCTAGTGGCCACACATCAACAGCTGGTTACATGATGCTAGTGGCCACACATCAACAGCTGGTTACATGATGCTAGTGGCCACACATCAACAGCTGGTTACATGATACTAGCGGCCAAACAACTACAGCTGGTTACATGATACTAGCTGCCACACATCAACAGCTGGTTACATGATACTAGCGGCCACGCATCAACAGCTGGTTACACTATACTAGCGGCCACACATCAACAGCTGGTTACATGATGCTAGTGGCCACACATCAACAGCTGGTTACATGATACTAGCTGCCACACATCAACAGCTGGTTACACTATACTAGCGGCCACACATCAACAGCTGGTTACATGATGCTAGTGGCCACACATCAACAGCTGGTTACATGATACTAGCTGCCACACATCAACAGCTGGTTACATGATGCTGGTGGCCACACATCAACAGCTGGTTACATGATACTAGCAGCCACACAACAACAGCTGGTTACATGATACTAGCGGCCACACAACAACAGCTGGTTACATGATACTAGCAGCCACACAACTACAGCTGGTTACATGATACTAGCAGCCACACAACTACAGCTGGTTACATGATACTAGCGGCCACACAACAACAGCTGGTTACATGATACTAGCAGCCACACAACGACAGCTGGTAACATGATACTAGCAGCCACACAACTACAGCTGGTTACATGATACTAGCAGCCGCACAACAACAGCTGGTTACATGATACTAGCAGCCACACAACTACAGCTGGTTACATGATACTAGCAGCCACACAACAACAGCTGGTTACATGATACTAGCAGCCACACAACAACAGCTGGTAACATGATACTAGCTGCCACACATCAACAGCTGGTTACATGATACTAGCGGCCACACAACAACAGCTGGTTACATGATACTAGCAGCCACACAACAACAGCTGGTAACATGATACTAGCAGCCACACAACTACAGCTGGTTACATGATACTAGCAGCCACACAACAACAGCTGGTTACATGATACTAGCGGCCACACAACAACAGCTGGTTACATGATACTAGCAGCCACACAACTAAAGCTGGTTACATGATACTAGCGGCCACACAACAAAAGCTGGTTACATGATGCTAGCTGCCACACAACAACAGCTTGTTACATGATACTAGCGGCCACACAACAACAGCTGGTTACGCTATACTAGCGTCCACACAACTATAGGTGACAACATGATACTAGCGTCTACACAACTACAGCTGGTTAAACTATACTAGCGACCACATAACTACCGCTGACTACATGATACGAGCGTCCACACAACTACAGCGTGTTACATCATACCAGCGGCCACTTAACTACAGGTGACTACATGATACTAGCGTCCACAAAACTACAGCTGGTTACACTATACTAGCGGCCACATAACTACAGTTGACTACATGATACCAGCATCCACACAACTACAGCCTGTTACATGATGCTAGCTGCCACACAACTACAGCTGGCTACACTATACTAGCGGCCACACAACTACAGCTGGTTACACTATATACTAGCGGCAACACAACTACAGCTGGTTACACTATACTAGCGGCCACACAGCTACAGCTGGTTACACTATACTAGCGGCCACACAGCTACAGCTGGTTACATGATACTAGCGGCCACACAACTACAGCTGGTTACACTATACTAGCGGCCACACAACTACAGCTGGTTACACTATACTAGCGGCCACACAGCTACAGCTGGTTACATGATACTAGCAGCCACACAGCTACAGCTGGTTACACTATACTAGCGGCCACACAGCTACAGCTGGTTACATGATACTAGAAGCAACACAACTACAGCTGGTTACACTATACTAGCAGCCACACAGCTACAGCTGGTTACACTATACTAGCGGCCACACAGCTACAGCTGGTTACATGATACTAGAAGCAACACAACTACAGCTGGTTACACTATACTAGCGGCCACACAGCTACAGCTGGTTACATGATACTAGAAGCAACACAACTACAGCTGGTTACACTATACTAGCGGCCACACAGCTACAGCTGGTTAAATGATACTAGAAGCCACACAACTACAGCTGGTTACATGATACTAGAAGCCACACAACTACAGCTGGTTACATGATACTAGAAGCCACACAACTACAGCTGGTTACACTATACTAGCGGCCACACAGCTACAGCTGGTTAAATGATACTAGAAGCCACACAACTACAGCTGGTTACATGATACTAGAAGCCACACAACTACAGCTGGTTACATGATACTAGAAGCCACACAACTACAGCTGGTTACATGATACTAGAAGCCACACACCTACTGCTGGCCACACTATAGTAGCAGCCACACAACTACCGGTGGTTACCTGGGTGACAGTTTCAGGGCGGCCCCCTCCAAGCCCCGGGCTGCTGCTGCTGCTACATGGGAATTGTAGGGTACACTGTGATGCTCTGTGGGTCGACAACACAGGGTGAAATACACTTGACACATGTACAGCCAGACTCACCACGTAGTGGGACCGCATGTCCATCACCTTCATGGGTACACTGACATGACACTGATGCTAACTCTAAGCACAACATCAACTTGTTATTGTCATAAGGTAACAGAATATTTGCTCGTAGTGACCAATAATGGCACTGTATTCAATTCCTTATATTCATCACCTTGACAACTGTGTTGCCATGGTCACCTCTGATAGAGGACAACAATACCGTGTTGCCTACTCAATAATACCATAAAACCCTGGTGTCTTCATGACATACAGCCATTGTGTTACACCTGGTGTCTTCATGACATGCAGCCATTGTGTTACACCTGGTGTCTTCATGACATGCAGCCATTGTGCAACATCTGGTGTCTTCACTTTATGAATACATACATTGTGTAACACCTGGTGTCTTCTCTTCAGAACATACAGAGATTGTGTATCACCTGGTGTCTTCACTTTATGAATACATACATTGTGTAACACTTGGTGTTTTCTCTTCAGGACATACAGAGATTGTGTAACACCTGGTGTCTTCACTTACTGACATAGACATTATGTAACACCTGGTGTCTTCCCTTCATGACATACATACATTGTGTAACACCTGGTGTCTTCCCTTCATGACATACATACATTGTGTAACACCTGGTGTCTTCCCTTCATGACATACATACATTATGTAACACCTGGTGTCTTCAGTGCATAATATACAGACATTGTGTAACACCTGGTGTCTTCTCTTCACGACATACATACATTGTGTAACACCTGGTGTCTTCACTGCATAATATACAGACATTGTGTAACACCTGGTGTCTTCTCTTCATGACATGCAGACATTGTGTAACACCTGGTGTCTTCTCTTCATGACATACATACATTGTGTAACACCTGGTGTCTTCAGTGCATAATATACAGACATTGTGTAACACCTGGGTCCACTTGCACAAAGCGATCTTAGCGCTACAATTATTGTAAATCCTTAAGATCGCGATCTTAGGCTTACGCTACAATTGTCATCCACTTGCACAAAGCGATTGTAGGTTAAGATCATTGTAAGCTACAATCGAAACTTACAATTGGTCCAGACCAATCTTAAGTAGCTAAGATCGTTGTAGTTCCTGACAAAATGGCGTGCAAGACAGGGCCAGTTTCACATTAATAATCTGCTTTACGATCAAACACTGCCTATTTATTTTGTTAGATTTTATGATTCGAATCGACACTTCAACAACACGAAGACCGCACCACAGATTTAACGTCAAAAATATCGTTAATTGCGATAGTGAACCACATAACTATCGAGTCGATAGTTAAAAGTACTATTCCCACCCGTGTCAATGCTGAAAGAAGTCTAAAACAACATACCTTATCAAGGGAAGGATAAAACCTAAGTCGTCTGCAAGCGATTTGTAACGTCCGTGACCTTTAAGATAAATCAAGGGCAGCTAATCATAGTTTATATTCTAGATGGGAGTGGTTTCCCTTTGTATAAGTATCGTAGAATCTTCCTTGCCCAGTTAGTGTATTAATGTTGTAGAACCGCCGAGCTCCCCTTGTATATCTTTTGGGTCACATTCGTGTCAGTTATTTTGTCTTTAGTTTATCATTAAATAATCTACAAGTAAACACAAGTTGAAGTGCAAAATCATACGTTTATATCCAATATCCAGTCACGAGCGGTTGTAATATCTGAATTTATAAGAAACTAATACAAATATTCATCAAACAAGCAAATACACATGATGAGACATTTGAAATTTGTGTAAAATATCCCATAAATAGCAAAAGTAAAATTCACACTTTTTAAAAAATATAATTAATACCAAATGAATATATATTAAACAACTTCTTTCTTGAAACATTATTCTTATTTCCCGTACATGCATTCTTGAAATCTCCCGTCTTACTGTGTTTTGAAAAGGTTGTCATAACATCCTTTGTAATAGCGGCAAAACTAAAACATGAAGGATATACATGTATTTAGGATTTTACGGAAAGCTCCCCCAAATAGATGACGATCATACATTTACCTGTTATGTTATTTGGACATAGAGATCTATTATTATTTTCTTTTTTTACTTTCATAATAAGAATGTCACTAAATCTATATGCCAACATTCTAATTATAGTTTCCTTCAAATAGTTGAGACCTTTCAACTGTGCAAGGTGCGTGGAGGGAGGTACGTGTTGTATGTCGTAACCGGTTCTACACGTTGTATGCGCAGCAAGATTTGCGCGTTTGCAGACAACCATAGACAGAAGTCTAGTTTAAGATATTTGTACCTCCACCATTGAAGATTTCAATCTTAGTTAAGATCGCGATCTTAAATCCAAGCCGTCTTACAATCGCGTTAAGATCGGTTTGTGCAAGTGGAATAGGACAATTGTAGGGTGATTGTAAAGGTGATTTTAGCCGCCTAAGATCGATTGTAACTAAGATTGTTCTGTGCAAGTGGGCCCTGGTGTCTTCACTTCATGACATACAGACATTGTGTAACACCTGGTGTCTTCAGTTCATAGTACCTGGGTATAGTCTGATTGTTTATTCAGTAAAGACCCTGTTAATATTAGATCAGTTTTATTACGAGCACTGCAAGCCCACGTCAGATAGGACCTGCTCACAGTAATGATGACAGAGATTAGCTTTCAACAACGATGATGTCGCCACTTTGACAGAGCTAAGTGTGGCTACAGGCAGGTGAGTAGGTGAGTGTGAGTGAGTTGGGTTAAACACCGCTTTGAACAATATTCCCATCATATCACAGTGTGTCAGCTTAATGAGGGATGATAACCCAAAATTATAAATGTCAGAAACATTTACCACTTTTGAGAAACCCACAAGCATAGTTAGACTGTATGGTGCTCACAAACCAAGGATCATAATCAGGGTTACTAAGATATTGAATCCTGTTATGGCTAAGGGAGGCAACTCTACATTGAAGCAAATTACAGTGTCTTTGATGACTAGGCCCCAGCTATAGACAGTGAGTGATCAGTTGGTGGAGTTAAAAGTATGGAGCAGGGTTTATGACCGTGATGAAACAGGACACAGCCCAGCAAGGAGTGTGGAGAGATGGAGACTGTGTGGGTGTGGAGTGATGGAGACTGTGTGGGTGGGGAGTGATGGAGACTGTGTGTGGGTGTGGAGAGATGGAGACTGTGTGGGTGTGGAGAGATGGAGACTGTGTGTGGGTGTGGAGAGATGGAGACTGTGTGTGGGTGTGGAGTGATGGAGACTGTGTGTGGGTGTGGAGTGATGGAGACTGTGTGTGGGTGTGGAGAGATGGAGACTGTGTGGGTGTGGAGTGATGGAGACTGTGTGTCGGTGTGGAGAGATGGAGACTGTGTGGGTGTGGAGAGATGGAGACTGTGTGTGGGTGTGGAGACTGTGTGTGGGTGTAGATCAATGGAGACTGTGTGGGTGTGGAGTGATGGAGACTGTGTGTGGGTGTGGAGAGATGGAGACTGTGTGTGGGTGTGGAGAGATGGAGACTGTGTTGGTGTGGAGAGATGGAGACTGTGTGGGTGTGGAGAGATGGAGACTGTGTGGGTGTGGAGAGATGGAGACTGTGTGTGGGTGTGGAGAGATGGAGACTGTGTGGGTGTGGAGAGATGGAGACTGTGTGTGGGTGTGGAGTGATCGAGACTGTGTGTGGGTGTGGAGAGATGGAGACTGTGTGGGTTTGGAGAGATGGAGACTGTGTGTGGGTGTGGAGAGATGGAGACTGTGTGAGTTTGGAGAGATGGAGACTGTGTGGGTGTGGAGTGATGGAGACTGTGTGTGGGTGTGGAGAGATGGAGACTGTGAATGGGTGTGGAGAGATGGAGACTGTGTGTGGGTGTGGAGAGATGGAGACTGTGTGTGGGTGTGGAGAGATGGAGACTGTGTGTGGGTGTGGAGAGATGGAGACTGTGTGTGGGTGTGGAGAGATGGAGACTGTGTATGGGTGTGGAGTGATGGAGACTTTGTGTGGGTGTAAATTGATGGAGACTGTGTGAGTGTGGATAATTTGGAATGTGGTTGTAATTGGTGAAACTGTGGTCAATATGTGACGTGTGAAGATGCGTTTGGTTCATAGTGTACTCGTACTACACTGTGTTTGGAAGTGAGAGGTAGACTGATGCTGGACATGGCCAGGTGGGGAAGCAACAAGCAAGGGGTATGTGGGACATAATGTAGTGTAGTGTTAACCCGTGTGAGGTAGTGTTAGTGTTGACCAGTGTGAGGTAGTGTTAGTGTTGACCAGTGTGAGGTAGTGTTAGTGTTAACCAGTGTGAGGTAGGGTTAGTGTTAACCAGTGTGAGGTAGTGTTAGTGTTAACCAGTGTGAGGTAGTGTTAGTGTTAACCAGTGTGAGGTAGTGTTAGTGTTGACCCGTGTGAGGTAGTGTTAGTGTTAACCAGTGTGAGGTAGTGTTAGTGTTGACCATTGTGAGGTAGTGTTAGTGTTGACTAGTGTGAGGTACTGTTAGTGTTAACCAGTGTGAGGTAGTGTTAGTGTTAACCAGTGTGAGGTAGTGTTAGTGTTAACCAGTGTGAGGTAGTGTTAGTGTTAACCAGTGTGAGGTAGGGTTAGGTTGACTAGTGTGAGGTACTGTTAGTGTTAACCAGTGTGAGGTAGTGTTAGTGTTAACCAGTGTGAGGTAGTGTTAGTGTTAACCAGTGTGAGGTAGTGTTAGTGTTAACCAGTGTGAGGTAGGGTTAGTGTTGACTAGTGTGAGGTACTGTTAGTGTTAACCAGTGTGAGGTAGTGTTAGTGTTAACCAGTGTGAGGTAGTGTTAGTGTTGACCCGTGTGAGGTAGTGTTAGTGTTGACCTGTGTGAGGTAGTGTTAGTGTTGACCAGTGTGAGGTAGTGTTAGTGTTGACCCGTGTGAGGTAGTATTAGTGTTAACCAGTGTGAGGTAGGGTTAGTGTTAACCAGTGTGAGGTAGGGTTAGTGTTGACCCGTGTGAGGTAGTGTTAGTGTTGACTAGTGTGAGGTAGTGTTAGTGTTAACCAGTGTGAGGTAGTGTTAGTGTTGACCAGTGTGAGGTAGTGTAGTGTTAACCAGTGTGAGGTACTGTTAGTGTTGTTGACCCGTGTGAGGTACTGTTAGTGTTAACCAGTGTGAGGTAGTGTTAGTGTTAACCAGTGTGAGGTAGTGTTAGTGTTGACCCGTGTGAGGTAGTGTTAGTGTTGACCCGTGTGAGGTAGTGTTAGTGTTAACCAGTGTGAGGTAGTGTTAGTGTTAACCAGTGTGAGGTAGTGTTATTGTTGACCAGTGTGAGGTAGTGTTAGTGTTGACCAGTGTGAGATAGTGTAGTGTTGACCAGTGTGAGGTAGTGTTAGTGTTGACCAGTGTGAGGTAGTGTTAGTGTTGACCCGTGTGAGGTAGTGTTAGTGTTAACCAGTGTGAGGTAGTGTTAGTGTTAACCAGTGTGAGGTAGTGTTATTGTTGACCCGTGTGAGGTAGTGTTAGTGTTGACCAGTGTGAGGTAGTGTTAGTGTTAACCAGTGTGAGGTAGTGTAAGTGTTGACAAGTGTGAGGTAGTGTTAGTGTTGACCAGTGTGAGGTAGTGTTAGTGTTGACCAGTGTGAGGTAGTGTTAGTGTTGACCAGTGTGAGGTAGTGTAGTGTTAACCAGTGTGAGGTAGTGTTAGTGTTGACCTGTGTGAGGTACTGTTAGTGTTGACCAGTGTGAGGTAGTGTAGTGTTAACCAGTGTGAGGTAGGGTAAGTGTTGACCAGTGTGACGTAGGGTTCGTGTTGACCAGTGTGAGATAGTATTAGTGTTGACCAGTGTGAGGTAGTGTTAGTATTAACCATTGTGAGGTAGTGTTAGTGTTGACCAGTGTGAGGAAGGGTTAGTGTTGACCAGTGTGAGATAGTATTAGTGTTGACCAGTGTGAGGTAGTGTTAGTATTAACCATTGTGAGGTAGTGTTAGTGTTGACCAGTGTGAGGTAGTGTTAGTGTTGACCAGTGTGAGATAGTATAAGTGTTGACCAGTGTGAGGTAGTGTAGTGTTGACCAGTGTGAGGTAGTGTAGTGTTGACCAGTGTGAGATAGTATTAGTGTTGACCTGTGTGAGGTAGTGTTAGTGTTAACCAGTGTGAGGTAGTGTTAGTGTTAACCAGTGTGAGGTTGTGTTAGTGTTAACCAGTGTGAGGTAGTGTTAGTGTTGACCAGTGTGAGATAGTATTAGTGTTGACCAGTGTGAGGTAGTGTTAGTGTTGACCAGTGTGAGGTAGTGTTAGTGTTGACCAGTGTGAAGTAGTGTAGTGTTGACCAGTGTGAGGTAGTGTAGTGTTGACCAGTGTGAGATAGCATTAGTGTTGACCAGTGTGAGGTAGTGTAGTGTTGACCAGTGTGAGATAGTATTAGTGTTGACCAGTGTGAGGTAGTGTTAGTGTTAACCAGTGTGAGGTAGTGTTAGTGTTGACCAGTGTGAGGTCGTGTTAGTGTTGACCAGTGTGAGGCAGTGTAGTGTTAACCAGTGTGAGGTAGTGTTAGTGTTAACAAGTGTGAGGTAGTGTTAGTGTTGACTCGTGTGAGGTAGTGTTAGTGTTGACCAGTGTGAGGTAGTGTTAGTGTTGACCAGTGTGAGATAGTGTAGTGTTGACCAGTGTGAGGTAGTGTTAGTGTTGACTAGTGTGAGGTAGTGTTAGTGTTGACCCGTGTGAGGTAGTGTTAGTGTTAACCAGTGTGAGGTAGTGTTAGTGTTGACCATTGTGAGGTAGTGTTAGTGTTGACCAGTGTGAGGTAGTGTAGTTTTGACCAGTGTGAGGTAGTGTTAGTGTTGACCAGTGTGAGGTAGTGTTAGTGTTAACCAGTGTGAGGTAGTGTTAGTGTTGACCAGTGTGAGGTAGTGTTAGTGTTGACCAGTGTGAGGTAGGGTTAGTGTTGACCAGTGTGAGGTAGTGTTAGTGTTGACCAGTGTGAGGTAGTGTTAGTGTTGACGAGTGTGAATGCAGGGAGTTATGTATCAAGTGTGAGTATACACATTTGAACTATCACAGAGAGACAGGTATCAAATGGAGACAAGCGCTGTATTGTGGTAATCACAGGGGAAATCCTGGAGAGAGTGACACAAATCAAGCAAGCCGTGATGGAAGCTCAGAGTAAAGTCAGACTGGCTATACACTAGAAGAGGAAGCATTAGAAATTACATACATTTCTAGTAACTTTCCTCAGATCTATATTTAAAATCATGAATCTAATATTTCTCAGTTGTCTTAAAACCAACATGTTCCAGTGTTCTCCTTCTTTGATCTCACAGGAAGATGAGTGAGGTAAACACAGGAGCGGCAGAAATAAAATAAAATAAGGGCATCTACGTCACAGCACACCCAACAAGACAAACATGAAGACTAGCACGGACACCACTCTATTCCTCTGTATCTAATCATGCAACATGACCAGTTGACCAGTGTCTGCGTGCCTACACCCAACAAGACAAACATGAAGACTAGCACGGACACCACTCTGTTCCTCTGTATCTAATCATGCAACATGACCAGTTGACCAGTGTCTGCGTGCCTACACCCAACAAGACAAACATGAAGACTAGCACGGACACCACTCTGTTCCTCTGTATCTAATCATGCAACATGACCAGTTGACCAGTGTCTGCGTGCCTACACCCAACAAGACAAACATGAAGACTAGCACGGACACCACTCTGTTCCTCTGTATCTAATCATGCAACATGCAAATCTAAAGTTGGGAATAAGTAATAGCAAGCCAACTAAAATGTCTCAATGTGATGGAAGAACATCTACACAGTTAGTCTGGAATGACGACACCATCACTGTCTAAGTTTGCAGTTTGCCGGCGAGATGGCAGATGACCACATGTGCAGGGGACGGCAGAACGGTTTGTAATCAACAAGCACTCACTAGATCAGTTCCCTCACAATAACAAACACCACTCCCTGAGTTGACCTCAGTAGCACACCTTTAAAGTCCGCAATATCAACAGTACACTAACACTAACAGTAGACTAACACTAACAGTACACTAACACTAACAGTACACTAATACTAACACTTACAGTACACTAACAGTAGACTAATACTAACATTACACTAACACTAACAGTACTCGTACACTAACAGTACACTAACAGTACTCGTACACTAACAGTACACTAACAGTACACTAACACTAACAGAACACTAACAGTACACTAACACTAACAGAACACTAACAGTACACTAACACTAACAGAACACTAACAGTACACTAACAGTACACTAACAGTACTCGTACACTAACAGTACACTAACAGAACACTAACAGTACACTAACAGTACACTAACACTAACAGAACACTAACAGTACACTAACACTAACAGTACACTAACAGTACACTAACAGTACACTAACACTAACAGAACACTAACAGTACACTAACACTAACAGAGCCGGGACCAGACAAACCAGTGGTCAAAAGCCTGACTCTGAACTGACACTCAGCAGCCAATGTGACATCTGTTCATGAGCCTCCGGAGACAGAGATGAGTGCTGTAGACTGCTGCTACACCCTGCCTATCCCGACTACACCCTGCCTATCCCGACTACATCCTGCCTATCCCGACTACACATGCTGCACCCTGCCTATCCCGACTACACCCTGCCTATCCCGACTGCACCCTGCCTATCCCGACTACATCCTGCCTATCCCGACTACACATGCTGCACCCTGCCTATCCCGACTACATCCTGCCTATCCCGACTGCACCCTGCCTATCCCGACTACATCCTGCCTATCCCGACTACATCCTGCCTATCCCGACTACACCCTGCCTATCCCGACTACATCCTGCCTATCCCGACTACATCCTGCCTATCCCGACTGCACCCTGCACATGGGTCTATCACTGTCATCTCTGTCAACCATTACCTTGTCCCCCGTCATCTGACGCTGGGCTCGCTTCTGTCGTCCGTTTGCGCTGTCTCCTACGCCGTCTCCGCCGCCGTTCAAAGTCACTGTCCGCACTCCCCTGTTTGCTACCCATACCTTTGGTCACACCGTTCTTTGGGCTTCGAGTCAAGCTCTTCCGGCGTCCGAAAGTCGACCTCCTCCGTCGAGGCACCTCACTGCAAATAGTGGTATAGTTTTCAAGACAATTCGGTAGCTTAGTGGGATCATACACTTTCCTCATTTCAACTTTCAACATTTTCATATGACAAAGATCAGTTAAAGTTTTGCTGATTTTTTATCTCATGAAACAGAAAACACATGATGTTATTTCCTCAAGAATACGAAGACTTGTGAGAACATTGGAATCACTTGCTTCACCATGAGACTCTGTTTTGTCCTAAGCACAACCCCACACACTCCCAACCCACCCATGTTGGACTAGCAGATCCTGGCATAGATAAGGGGCACCATTCTGCCATCACCTATGACCTGTCTGACATTCTGATGTCTAGACGCACCCATGAGCATCTGTTCCGTCGCGGACTGTGACAGTACTCTGTATGATGGGAACTGCATCCTTAGTGAGCGTGATAGGGATGCTGTCCCCCGGGTGAGATGCGTCCTCGGGTCCCTTGTGACCTTCATTACTCCTGCCTCCTGGTTGCATGCTGCCGTCAACCTCAGCTGGGTGAGTTATCTCCCCTGGTTTGTGCGGCCCTGACTTGGTCCCCGGCTTGGTGGCGCGCAGGTTCCCCTGGGCCAGGAACTTGGAGTGGACATCCATGCCCTGGGGGGTCAGGAGGTTCAGCTGGGAGCGGTTCGTGGGGAGCGGGATCCGACTGGGAGAGGCCCCCTTCTTGGCTAGAGCCAACTGAAAACACAATGTCCTGCTCACCACACACCAACATTCAACCAAGCGCCAGTGCATATAGATATACGTAACTATCATGTTCCAATTGATCACACACCTAGGTTAAAGAAGCATTTGCTTTGTCTTTCAGAAAAGTGTTTCATATATCAAAATGAATGTGAAATAAGTGAAAACAGTATCATAAGTTACTATTGGCAGTGTAGACTGGCATCGGTGTTATATTTCAATTTATCCACGATGAATTTTGATGAATCGTTACAGACCTAGTTGATGTTTAGAGGTTATTATATGGCTGTCATACCCCATATCAGCCCTAGACCGCCATATCAGCCCTAGAACGCCATATCAGCCCTAGACCGCCATATCAGCCCTAGACCACCATATCAGCCCTAGACCGCCATATCAGCCCTAGACCGCCATATCAGCCCTAGACCGCCATATCAGCCCTAGACCGCCATATCAGCCTGAGGGTTGTCCACATGACGGAAGAGGTTAACCCCGTCAGCATGCTGACAAGGTAAGGATGTCATCTGTGGGATGACTCCACGCCCCCTGCTACATAAATGCCATATAATAACCTTGTTATCACATACCATAACATCAAGTTGTTAAATGTATCCATTCGTAAAACATCTCTAACATGTTCACCTTGTTTGGAAGACTCTAATTCCTTAGCACCTGGGCTGATTCCGATCGCCCATCAAAATGCATTGACAAGCCATATCAGCCCGGCAGGGGGTTTAATAAGGGTCTGGTTATTACAACCCCTATGATATGACAGTCTCCATGTTGGCAATATCACACATGCAAAATACCTCATACCACTGATTGGTATATGACCATAAAACTCATCGCTCCCTTAATATCAGACAAGGCCTCAAGGGCCATTCAGCAGACACAGATACAGTTGGAGGAGGGCTGCCTCTCTGTCTCACCAGGCCACTGTTCTTCAGCTCCTGGTACTTGTCCTCCTCCCTCATCCTCAGCGAACAGTCTGCGGACTGCTGCCGCCTCTCCTCTGACCCTGACCCTGATCCTGACCCTATTCTCAAGGCCATCTTGGTGGATGCTGGGACCGAGGAAGCAGACGTTGGCTTGGCAGGTGAGCTACAGGACGGCAGAGTGACTCGGCGCCGGGTCTGGTTACCGAGGGCGCCGCGGGTAGCTGAAACAACAGACATAGAAACGGAAGTCCTGAGAGATGCCGCTAGGGATATTGCATGATGTCACAGGGTCATCCCCAACAGGACGGAAGCAAAGTCATCTCATGTTGAAATAACTCGCAAGGAAACAAACAAGTTGCCAAAAATAAAACAATAGTTATCACTGGGCCTACCTTCTCTGACCGGCGCCAACTCCCGCTTGTTGCCCGGCCCCAGAGTGGGCTGTCTGGTGTACCCGCCGCCGCCGCCGCCGCGCACTGTGCGGGAGGTGCTGGCTGTGTTGGTGTCACTGACAGTGGAGCGAGAGAATGCACCGCGGTTGTTCTGATGGATGTTGGACTCACTCAGGTTCCCGCGATTCTGACGATTGTTGTTCAAATTGTTGCCAGTCAAACTGTGAACAGTGGCAATGTATCATAAATGCTATGAGAAAATGACAACTTCCACAGACAGACAAGATGACCAGCATCACAACAACAGGGTGTCCGGCTCAACAGGCCACCCACAACATGCAAGTCCCCTATTACAGAATGTCAAATATATTTGAGTATTTTTGCTCTGGTAGGTTGAAAAAGACTGTTAAATGGGAAGTCTTTGGGACTTGTTTAATAGTGCATGTAGAGTCCTCCCTCGTTATACTATGCCCCATGATTATAATGCCCTAATGCAAAATGCCCTGGTTATAATGCCAATGCCAATGTTTTTCAGACCAACCATTCCAATTCCTGGTTATAATGCCACTATGGTTAATGCCATTATTAAATTTGACAAAGAATTGGCAATGTTGTTAATCATATTGAGATGATTCCCATTTCTAAATCAACAAACAAATTCCATTGATCTCAGTTGTTTCACAGCTAATCCCCACTCAAGAAGTCTAATCCCTAAACAGTTGTCTCATGTTAAGATTCCTTTCCTGCCACCCACAACTAGACACGTACAGCCCTGATGCTGTTATCATTCATGTCCCAATACTGTCAACTCCAGCTTCATCATCTGAGAGCCTGTACTGACAACACACTCCCAATTAGGATGATGTCATCTTTTCTAGAAAAATATGAACATTTTCCATCTACATATTCAGTACAATACCACAATGATTCAGATACATGCAGACACCATGATTCTTACAAAATATTTCTCTAGAAAGTCGACAATGACACCGTGGTGGATGTTGTAGCAGACACTGCTGCAGTACCTGTTTCTGCCGTAGCTCCTGATGACAGGGTTGCGTGGAACCCGCGGCCCGCCTCGCAGACCACGCAGGTATCGGCGGACGGCATCGCGCACACCATGCAGGCTGGAATGTTCTGACAGGGTGAGCCTGGTCCAGGGGTTGGTCTCCATCATGTCTAACGCTGCTGTAGCCACAGCCCTGCCCACCTGCAACACAAGGCCAACGATGTACTACTGTCTATCAACATCACTAGTTCCTTCATATTTAGAAGTGACATAAATACCACACTCCACCACCTCACCAGTGAGGTATCAAACCTTGGTCTAACTACAGGCTCCAACACCTCACAAGAGAGGTATCAAACCTTGGTCTACCTAAAAAGCTCCACTGCCTCCCCAGTGAGGTATCAAACCTTGGTCAAACTACAGGCTCCTCTGCCTCCCCAGTGAGGTATCAAACCTTGGTCTAACTACAGGCTCCAACACCTCACCAGTGAGGTATCAAACCTTGGTCTAACCAAAGGGTCCACTGCCTCACCAATGAGGTATCAAACCTTGGTCTAACTACAGACTCCACTGCCTACCAAATCTTTCCTATACACAAAGTCCATATGGATGTCACATACCTCTTCATAATGGGCCTGAGTGTACTTGGGGGGGAACCCGGCGATTGGAGGGGGTGTGGCGCGGCCCTGGTCATGGAAGGCCGGGGGGACAGAATTGACCATTCTGCCGGTGTTGTAGTTGCACTCCAAGGTGTAGCTGAAACACACACAGCAGTATTCCTGTCAGCTGGCATAGACAAGGCAGGGGCTAGTGCTGACATGGATAACAATACACACGACATACACAGCACTGATGACGTCATGCAGAGGCCACTGTTGACATGGATAACAATACGCACGACATACACAGCACTGATGACGTCATGCAGAGGCCACTGTTGACATGGATAACAATACACACGACATACACAGCACTGATGACGTCATGCAGAGGCAACTGTTGACATGGATAACAATACACACGACATACACAGCACTGATGACGTCATGCAGAGGCAACTGTTGACATGGATAACAATACACACGACATACACAGCACTGATGACGTCATGCAGAGGCCACTGTTGACATGGATAACAATACACACGACATACACAGCACTGATGACGTCATGCAGAGGCCACTGTTGACATGGATAACAATACACACGACATACACAGCACTGATGACGTCATGCAGAGGCCACTGTTGACATGGATAACAATACACACGACATACACAGCACTGATGACGTCATGCAGAGGCCACTGTTGACATGGATAACAATACACACGACATACACAGCACTGATGACGTCATGCAGAGGCCACTGTTGACATGGATAACAATACACACGGCATACACAGCACTGATGACGTCATGCAGAGGTTGACATGGATAACAATACACACGACATACACAGCACTGATGACATCATGCAGAGGCAACTGTTGACATGGATAACAATACACACGACATACACAGCACTGATGACGACATGCAGAGGCAACTGTTGACATGGATAACAATACACACGACATACACAGCACTGATGACGTCATGCAGAGGTTGACATGGATAACAATACACACGACATACACAGCACTGATGACGTCATGCAGAGGCAACTGTTGACATGGATAACAATACACACGACATACACAGCACTGATGACGTCATGCAGAGGCTACTGTTGACATGGATAACAATAGACACGACATACACAGCACTGATGACGTCATGCAGAGGCTACTGTTGACATGGATAACAATACACACGACATACACAGCACTGATGACGTCATGCAGAGGCCACTGTTGACATGGATAACAATACACACGACATACACAGCACTGATGACGTCATGCAGAGGTTGACATGGATAACAATAGACACGACATACACAGCACTGATGACGTCATGCAGAGGCAACTGTTGACATGGATAACAATACACACGACATACACAGCACTGATGATGTCATGCAGAGGCCACTGTTGACATGGATAACAATACACACGACATACACAGCACTGATGACGTCATGCAGAGGTTGACATGGATAACAATAGACACGACATACACAGCACTGATGACGTCATGCAGAGGCCACTGTTGACATGGATAACAATACACACGACATACACAGCACTGATGACGTCATGCAGAGGTTGACATGGATAACAATACACACCACATACACAGCACTGATGACGTCATGCAGAGGCCACTGTTGACATGGATAACAATACACACGACATACACAGCACTGATGACGTAAACAGTTATGATATCATGTATGTTGCTTTTGATATCCCAAACTAAACTTGTGTCAGAAATGTATTTATGACACACTAACACTCATTTCCTAGAATCAGTACAAGGATAACACTCAAGTACTTACTTCTCCCCTGTGGGGACTTCAGGGTAGAATAGATTCCCAACTCACCTGTGTATGATGCCAATAGCCTTGAACACAGCGACTCTGCCGCTGCCTTCTTTGGACATCCCATCACGCCTGTCCTTCGAGTACATGTTCCGCTCCGAGAAGTTGCAGCCCGTGAAGTCAAAGTGTGCTGTGTTGATGGAGATCAACTTTGGGAACATCATGTTTTCCACCTGGCGATAACCACAGTTACAGTCAGATACACATGGTTACAGTTAGATACACATGGTTACAGTCAGATACACATGGTTACAGTTAGATACACATGGTTACAGTCAGATACACATGGCTACAGTCAGATACACATGGTTACAGTCAGATATACATGGTTACAGTCAGATACACATGGTTACAGTCAGATACACATGGTTACAGTCAGAAACATGGCTTACAGTCAGAAACACATGGTTACAGTCAGATATACATGGTTACAGTCAGATACACATGGTTACAGTCAGATACACATGGTTACAGTCAGAAACATGACTACAGTCAGATACACATGGTTACAGTCAGATACACATGGCTTACAGTCAGAAACACATGGTTACAGTCAGATATACATGGTTACAGTCAGATACACATGGTTACAGTCAGATACACATGGTTACAGTCAGAAACATGACTACAGTCAGATACACATGGTTACAGTCAGATACACATGGTTACAGTCAGAAACACATGGTTACAGTCAGATACACATGGTTACAGTCAGAAACACATAGTTACAGTCAGAAACACATGGTTACAGTCAGAAACACATGGTTACAGTCAGAAACACATGGTTACAGTCAGATACACATGGTTACAGTCAGATACACATGGTTACAGTCAGAAACACATAATAGATAAAGACTATTGTCCTGCTTGTCAGTCCTCATGGAGAGAAGCTGTCTTTTCCACATCAAATGATCAATAAAAAAGAATCTTACAAAGATGCCTGCCTCCCTCAACAGTTTGCCATAGAAACTTCTACAGACCGAACCTGTCTCATGACTTCATTTCCAGTAGATTTTATTGTGAATATGAGGATGATTCTTTTTTAAGCTTCAGACATGTTGGACTTTCTCGAAAGTCAGAAAATGAGAACAAATTAATCTTAACTTTTCATCCTAAACAATACTTTTTTGTATGTCTTAGAACAACAGATTTTACCGACTGACATGACCTGACACTGTATATTAACTAAGGACATGTCCGTTCCACACAGAATAGCATACAATATCATGCAGTGTTTGAAAATATGCAAACAAGTCAATTGGCCTCTCCATAAACCTAATGTTGAAAGTTTTAAATTTAGGGTGTCAAGATTCCAACACTACAAGAGTTGACCTGAAGGACCCCAGGAACCACTGATGTGGAACACGGAATATGTTACCAAGAAAACATGGATCTTTTTACACTCATAAGCAAAACTCACCATCATCATGACCCTAGTGCACTGAGCATGATCATGATAAGAAGCAGTCGCAGCTCACCTGAGTATCTTCATTCTCATAGTAGTTGCCGTAGATGAAGCAGCCTCGTTTCGACGCATGCCCATGTAAATCCACATAAAAAGCTATCCCACTCTCGTGAGGAGGAATCTCTTTGAGTTTCGGATCTGACAGATGAGGGGAGTTAGTGCTAGTGACGTACACGTCCCCCTCATCCTCCGACCCTTCGTTGCCAAGGTTGTCTGTGTCTCCATCACCCTCATCATCTGTATCAGCCATCAACTCATTGGCCGGGCCACCATCACATCGGAAGTCATCTGACATGTTCAGTTCTGACAGACGGAGTCTCAACTCGCTGTCCACGCGGCGCTGGTCTTTGGTCATGTCGAGATTACTGAGTACACTACAACATGAAGACGACACGTGGTTGGTAGGCATGGTGTCCGGAGCCAGTCCACCATCGCTCAATGATGTGTCTGTCCCGTCAAGATCTGCAAGGTTCAGAGGTTCGATCTGAAATGACTTTGGTTGAGCTGAATCCATGTGACTTGAGTCTAGTCCTTCAACATCAAGCGTGGGCAGCTTGTTCGTTTCATGAAGCCATGTGGCCTCACTTCCGCCCGGATTCCGGTCACTTCGATGACTGTCCACTGGTTCAACACAGTCTCTGATCACAACAGTTGTAGCATCACTGCCCGGCGTCCTTGACGAGAGAGGGTCAGCTCCAACCAGTGTCCGAGAACTCAGGGCTTCCCCCTGACCTGACAGGTTGAGCCTAGGGGTACGTGTTGCTGGTCGCTGTGGACTAGACACAAGTTCTCCCTGTGGGAAGTTGACCTGAATGTCAGACAGGTCACCCTCTTTCTTGATGCGGTTGTGGACATGGTGGTAGATGATGACGCTCTTCGCAGCGTAGATGGATGGATGGAGGGTGAAGCTTGGGTCAAGGTACATGCGGTTCAGGTTGACGCCCCGCTGGTCAGTCCTGTAGTGACCTCGCATCACCCCGTCCGGATTCAGCATCGGTATCAGTTTAAACACATACTGTTTACGTAGCTGTTGAGCTCGACAGTCATCTTCTCGCAGGATAAAATCCAAGAATCCATTAAACACAAAACTTGCCGGTGTTTCCCCTGGATGAACACGACTGCTCAGTAAATACACCTGGAACAACAAATAACTCCTCAGTAAATACACCTGGAACGACAGATAACTCCTCAGTAAATACATCTGGAAGAACAAATAACTCCTCAGTAAATACAGCGGAACAACAAATAACTCCTCAGTAAATACACCGGGAACAACAAACAACTCCTCAGTAAATACAGCGGAACAACAAATAACTCCTCAGTAAATACATCTGGAACGACAAATAACTCCTCAGTAAATACACCTGGAACAACAAATAACTCCTCAGTAAATACACCGGGAACAACAAATAACTTTTCAGGAAATACATCTGAATTGACAGGTAACTCCTCAGTAAATACACCGGGAACAACAAATAACTCCTCAGTAAATACATCTGGAACGACAGATAACTCCTCAGTAAGTACATCTGGAACAACAAATAACTCCTCAGTAAATACATCTGGAACGACAAATAACTCCTCAGTAAATACACCTGGAACAACAAATAACTCCTCAGTAAATACATCTGGAACAACAAATAACTCCTCAGTAAATACATCTGGAACAACAAATAACTCCTCAGTAAATACACCGGGAACAACAAATAACTCCTCAGTAAGTACATCTGGAACAACAAATAACTCCTCAGTAAATACACCGGGAAAGACAAATAACTCCTCAGTAAATACATCTGGAATAACAAATAACTCCTCAGTAAATACACCGGGAACAACAAATAACTCCTCAATAAGTACATCTGGAACAACAAATAACTCCTCAGTAAATACATCTGGAACGACAAATAACTCCTCAGTAAATACACCGGGAACAACAAATAACTCCTCAGTAAATACATCTGGAATGACAAATAACTCCTCAGTAAATACACCGGGAACAACAAATAACTCCTCAGTAAATACACCGGGAACAACAAATAACTCCTCAGTAAATACACCGAGAACAACAAATAACTCCTCAGTAAATACATCTGGATTGACAGGTAACTCCTCAGTAAATACCCCGGGAACAACAAATAACTCCTCAGTAAATACACCTGGAACAACAAATAACTCCTCAGTAAATACACCGGGAACAACAAATAACTCCTCAGTAAATACACCGGGAACAACAAGTAACTCCTCAGTAAGTACATCTGGAACAACAAATAACTCCTCAGTAAATACACCGGGAACAACAAATAACTCCTCAGTAAGTACATCTGGAACAACAAATAACTCCTCAGTAAATACATCTGGAACAACAAATAACTCCTCAGTAAATACATCTGGAACGACAGATAACTCCTCAGTAAGTACATCTGGAACAACAAATAACTCCTCAGTAAATACACCGGGAACAACAAATAACTCCTCAGTAAATACATCTGGAACGACAAATAACTCCTCAGTAAATACACCGGGAACAACAAATAACTCCTCAGTAAATACACCGGGAACAACAAATAACTCCTCAGTAAATACACCTGGAACAACAAATAACTCCTCAGTAAATACATCTGGAACAACAGATATCTCCTCAGTAAATACACCTGGATAACTTGTTATCAGTACACTGAATAAAACTGTGATTTCATAGTCAATCATTAAACTGAATACAACTGTGACATCCAATCATTACACTGAATACAACTGTGACATCATACCCAATCACTAAACTGAATACAACTGGGACATCATAGTCAATCATAACACTGAATACAACTGGGACATCATAGTCAATCATAACACTGAATACAACTGGGACATCATACCCAATCACTAAACTGAATACAACTGGGACATCATAGTCAATCATAACACTGAATACAACTGGGACATCATAGTCAATCATAACACTGAATACAACTGGGACATCCAATCATTACACTGAATACAACTGGGACATCATACCCAATAATTAAAACTGAATACAACTGGGACATCAAAGTCAATCATTACATTGAATACAACTGGGACATCATAGTCAATCATAACACTGAATACAACTGGGACATCCAATCATTACACTGAATACAACTGTGACACCATACCCAATCACTAAACTGAATACAACTATGACATCACAGTCAATTATAACACTGAATACAACTGTGGCATCATAAATAAGCATTACAATGAATACAACTGTGACAACATAGTCAATCATTACATTGAATACAACTGTGACATAATAAACAAGCATTACAATGAATACAACTGTGACATCATACCCAATCATTACACTAAAAACAACTGTAACATCAATCTTAACACTGAATACAACTGTGATATCATACCCAATCATTAAACTGAATACAACTGACACCATACCCAATCATTACAATGAATACAACAGTGACATCATACCCAATCATTATACTGAATACAATTGTGACATCATACCAAATCATTACACTAAATACAAAGTTCTGTGACATCAAACCCAATCATTATACTGAATACAACTGTGACATCAAACCCGATCATTACACTAAATACAACTGTAAGATCATACCGAACCACTGAACCGAACACAACTGTGACATCATACCCAATCATTATACTGAATACAATTGTGACATCAAACCCGATCATTACACTAAATACAACTTTAAGATCATACCCAATCATTACACTGAATATAACTGTAAGATCATACCGAACCACTGAACCGAACACAACTGTGACATCATACCCAATCATTACACTGAATACAACTGTAAGATCATACCGAACCACTGAACCGAACACAACTGTGACATCATAGTCAATCATTACACTGAATACAACTGTAAGATCATACCGAACCACTGAACCGAACACAACTGTGACATCATAGTCAATCATTACACTGAATACAACTGTAAGATCATACCGAACCACTGAACCGAACACAACTGTGACGTCATAGTCAATCATTACACTGAATACAACTGTAAGATCATACCAAACCACTGAACTGAACACAACTGTGACATCATAGTCAATCATTACACTAAATACAACTGTAAGATCATACCGAACCACTGACCCGAACACAACTGTGATGTCATAGTCAATCATTACACTGAATACAACTGTAAGATCATACCCAACCACTGAACTGAACACAACTGTGACATCATAGTCAATCATTACACTAAATACAACTGTAAGATCATACCGAACCACTGAACCGAACACAACTGTGACGTCATAGTCAATCATTACACTAAATACAACTGTCACATCATACAATCATTACACTGAATACAACTGTGGTATCATACCCAATAATTACACTGAATACAACTGTGACATCATACATGATCATTACACTTAATACAATTGTGACATCATACCCGATCATTACACTAAATACAACTATGACATCATACCCAATCATTATACTGAATACAATTGTGACATCATACCCAATCATTACACTTAATACAAAGTTCTGTGACATCAAAACCAATCATTATACTGAATACAACTGTGACATCAAACCCGATCATTACACTAAATACAACTGTAAGATCATACCCAATCACTGAACTGAATACAACTGTGACATCATACAATCATTAAACTGAATACAACTGTGACATCATACCCGATCATTACACTGAATACAACTATGACGTCATACCCAAGCATTACAATGAATACAACTATGACATCATACTCAATCATTACGCTGAATACAGCTGTGATATCATACCAAATCATTACACTGAATACAACTGTTACATCATACCCAAGCATTATAATGAATACAACTGTGACATCATACCCAATTATCACACTGAATACAACTGTGACATCATACCCAATTATCACACTGAATACAACTGTGACATCATACCCAATTATCACACTGAATACAACTGTGGCATCATACCCAATCATTACACTAAATACAACTGTTACATCAATCATAACACTGAATACAACTGGGACATCAAACCCAATCATTACACTGAATACAACTGTGACATCAAACCCAATTATCACACTGAATACAACTGTGGCATCATACCCAATCATTACACTGAATGCAACAGTGACATCATACCAAATCATTACACTAAATACAACTGTGATATCATACCCAATCAGTACACTGAATACAACTGTGATATCATACCCAATCAGTACACTTAATAATACAACTGTGATATCATACCCAATCAGTACAATTAATACAATTGTGATATCATAGCCAATCATGACACTGAATACAACTGTGACATCATACCCAATCATTACACTGAATACAACTGTGGCATCATACCCAATCATTACACTAAATACAACTGTTACATCAATCATTACACTGAATACAACTGTGACAGCATACCCAATTATTACTGTTGACAATAAGTAGAATCATTTTTCGTTTTAATTTAAGCTGCTACTGAATAGCAATTTATGTTTTTCCGTAACTTTCGAGAATTACTTCCCCTTGGTTTGTCACCTGCGGTCCAACACAGTTGGAAACATGAAGAAATCGGTAGAGGTAAACACATGTATGACGTGCTATGAGACGCATGAAGCAAACACAAAACACAATTTCATGTATCCAAGTGGTGGTGTAGCAGGAATAAACATTTTGAAACGAATGACGTTAATTCTTTATGTTCTCTCACGAACATAAAGTTTCCAACTTGGTGTAATGCAGTGATCGAAAACTGAACACTATTTACGAAACACGTGTTTTGGAAGATTGTAGTTCGCCATGTCAGACGACGATTCTGTGAACACAAACAGGGATGAATTGAAGCATGTCCGTCGTGGACATGCAGCCCATGCTACTGCTTTGTGTAATAGAGCTTCAAGTGAAATGACAGCCGGTCGTTCCAAACGAAAACTCGGGCAAACACTTGAACAGTTAGAAGCGGCAATAAAATCGTTCACTATTGCACACAAACGTTATATTGACTCGCTTGACACTGAACAAAATCGGGATGGCATATGGGTTGAAGTCTGCTTCAACACGATCTCTCAACCAGTTCTGCAGATCAGTGAGGTTCGGGTCTCTGAAAGAAACAA